TGCAGGATTATCCCCGATACGGCACATGCGGCATTCATCAAGGCTTGCAATTACTTCAAGATCAAGCTGCACCGAGTGCCTTGCCCGGAGCCTGAATTCAAGGTCGACGTGCACGCTGTTCGCCGTTTAATCAACCCCAATACTGTTCTTCTTGTCGGATCAGCACCTAACTTCCCCCACGGCATTGTTGATGATATCCCTGCTCTATCGCGTCTCGCCACCAAGTACAAGATCCCTCTCCATGTTGACTGCTGCTTGGGATCGTTCGTCGTGGCACACCTCAAGAAGGCCGGCTTCCCCTCTCCCTACGAGGAAGAGGGTGGCTTTGACTTCCGCCAACCTGGTGTGACCAGCATTAGTGTCGACACCCACAAGTACGGGTTCGCGCCCAAGGGTAACTCGGTCTTGATCTACCGCAACAAATCATACCGAAACAACCAGTACTTCATCTACCCAGATTGGTCCGGTGGTGTTTATGCCTCTCCCTCCGTGGCGGGCTCCCGCCCTGGTGCTCTAATCGCCGGTTGTTGGGCTAGTTTGATGAGCGTCGGCGAGGCAGGATACATTAATAGCTGCACCGAGATTATCAACGCGGCACGGAAGTTTGAGACCGCTGTTCGGACCGATGCGATTATCTCGCTACACATGGAAGTCATTGGAAACCCCATCGTCAGTGTGGTCGCCTTCCGCAGTAAAAACGGTGCCATTGACATTTATGATATTGCCGATGATCTGTCCGGTAAAGGCTGGCACCTCAACGCGCTGCAATCTCCCCCGGCTATTCACTGTGCCTTCACTATTCCCACTGCCAAGGCTGTCGACCAGCTCATTGCTGATCTGACTGAAGTCATCGGCAAAGAGCTTGAGAAGGCTGAGCAGCGCAAGCGTGAGGGTAAATCGTATATCCTCAATCGTGGTGATACCTCTGCTCTGTATGGCGTGGCTGGCAGCATTCCCGATAAGAGTGTCGTCAGTCGTCTGGCAGAAGGGTTTTTGGACACTTTGTACAAGGCATGATCTTTGGAATGAACATGTCAATTTTTCTTGCTTGTATCTTCTTTGCTCGGCCTGTCCGGACTCCCAAGGCATGAACTTGGTGTCTCCTAGCTGTCTTTACCTAAACTGCTGGTGCAGTGGCGTTATCATTATCCAGGCCCTTTCAAATTGCACATATTTGTTTCAAGTGTTGGATCCCACTAGACAGTAATAATGCATATAATACAATAGTTTGCCGGAAAGACATTTGCCCGATAGATGTGGACGTAGAGTACATGACCAAAAGAGAAAAAGAAAAAAAAACCCGCTCCATGCAAGCAAAGCCAAAACAGAAAAAAGAGGACGCAATCGATCAATCGATCAATCGTCCGACCGAGTGAATGGCATTTCAAAAGACTCAGATCCCATCGCAGTCTTCAAGACTGGCCAGAAAAAATCTTGTCTCAAAAGAGTCCCAGTCCACGAGAAGCTCAAGGAAAACAATCACTGACCACGAAGCTCTCCCCGCTGCTCAGTGCAGCTCTTCTCGGTATAATACCCGGGATCAGGCTTGCGCTCGAGATGCACTTCCTGCTTGGTGAGGCGGTACTGGCACTCCTCAACCTGGACAAGTTCCTTCACTTTCATGATTTGACCCGCGACGGAGGGCGAGACGCTGTGGAAGACTGTTGCCATACGCTTCTTCAAGCCAAGCGCCTTGAGGACATCTGTTGAACGGCGCGGGAGTCCAATTGCGGAGCGGACGAGGGTGATTCGGAAGTAGGACATGTTTAATTGTGGAGATCAAGGAGATCTGATATTCGGATGTTTGTTCTTCTGATGGTGTGGTTTGGATATTGTCCGGAGTCGTGAAATGGAACTCGGAATGAGTGGAACGAGATGTGGTGAATTTAGAAGGATACCGGGGTATCAATTGGCGAGAACTTGCAGCCGGTACCTGTAGTGCAATTGATCCTATAATCTGGCGGAGAAACGTCGCGGATTTGGCGATGATCGCGATCCCGCAAATTCAATTAAAAGGCGGTACGTCACGTGCATATTCTGCCATGATCCGATGACAGCAGCGACGACAATCTATCGGCCTGTGATAGCTGATATAGTATTTCACAATTTATAAATTGGGACTATGGGCTGCGCTCTTTCTGGCGTGACAGTACCTGGATTTATATCATAGTTATCTTCTACGTACTATCTTTCCGCAAGCAACGTCACATGCCCGCATTGTTGACACCTTCACCCCTCGCCCTAGCTTCGAGCGATTGAGCCGAAACAACGATACTACAACATACCTGATACCGTACTGTGATCATGGCACAAGCCGGTAACATTGATACTACGGTCTCGCTACCGCGACTCGAAGACCTCCTACGGCACCCAGAAGATCTAGATAAGATCAGTGGTCTCAAAGCGGAATACCTGCGGAAGAAGACGGCAGTTGATTCACGATTACGTGAAGGTCTGCGAGACCAGTTGGAGGCTGTACAACGCAGCATTGGTGCTCTTACTGAGGGCCAGCGACAAGTCTCGAAAACAAAAGACGAGCTTCAAGGCATCGACAAGCTATGCGCCGAGTCGCAGGATAGCGTTGAGGACTTTGCGCAAATTGACCAACTTGCGCGGATCCAGCGGCATTTCGATGCAACACTTATGATGAAACGAGGATTGGAGAACTTCGGTGCCGATATCCAGGAAGTGGAGGATTTGCTTAGAGAGGATGATGACGATATGGAGAATCAGCCTAATATTCTGCGGGCTCACATGCAGATCTCGCGGTTAAGGGATTTCCGTGATGAGGCCTTGGATCAGATTCGCAAGGCGGAGGATCAGAGCGCCGAAGAGACTCTGACAGAGTACTTTGAGGGATTGGATTCTGTGATTGAGTGGTTTGATGATCACCTTGGCACGGCTTGCATGAACCTCATTCCCTTAGTGCAGGCTGATAACAAAAGCATGGTCGTGCGGCTTGCTGTTGTTGTCTTGAATGAAGAGAAAAACGATGATACAGTCCGAGCGTTGCAAGAGGCACAGAAAGACCACAAGGACCTCGCAAGCCGTTTCAAATCTATGAACATTGGTCCTAAGACTGTGCGGGGCTACAAAGACAAATTCATCCAGGCTATAGAGCTTTACGCCCAGGGCCAGTTTGAAGAGACCCTTGAAAGCTTCCTTGCAGATCCGGAAAATCTAGAAAAGAAATTCCGGTGGTACTTCAATGACCTATTCACTGTCAAGCAAGGCATGCAGAGCCTTGTCCCAAAGAAGTGGAAGATATTCAAAACATACACCGATATCTATCACCACATGATGCATGACTTCTTGCTCAGCATGATCGACGACCCCGAGCTTCCAGCCGATAATCTGCTCAGTATCATCCACTGGAGCGACAAGTACTACAAGAAAATGAAGAAGCTGGGATGGGCATCTACAGATCTCCAACCCAACATTCTCGACGACCGCGAGCCAGAACTAGTCCGAAAGTGGCAGAACGTCATCATCAACGCCGTCGAAGAATGGATGGACCGCATTTTCAACGCAGACAAGAAGTCTCTTGTGGAACGTGCCGCAGATGCTCTAGACAACAACGCTGAAGGCCACTTCCGCACCAAGACACTGGCTGACATGTGGCGCATGCTCCACGAACAAGTCATGGCATCGGGGGCATCAGACCGCGCAGACCTAGTAGAGGGCATCATTGACGCCATGTTCCGGGCCTTGAAGAGCCGACAGAATGCATGGCAGACACTCGTGGACGAGGAATGCGCGAAGCACCAAGCAGAAGGCGCCGACCAAGAAGGCGTGCAGTTGCTGCAAGACTGGCTGATCGGCATAGCCAACGACCAGATCTCTTGCATCGACGACAATGAGGAGGGCAACCAGTTTGGCTACCTAACGCGTTTCAAGGCCGATTTCGAGCCTATGGTCACACCCAAGTACATGGGCACCACGGCGACTATCGAGCTGGATGCACTGCGCGATGGCTACGTGGACCTAAGCACGCACTGCCTGGCGCAGTTCGTGAGCCTTGTCTTCCGGGTGGATCTAGACACCGTCCTGCCAGACTTCTACACGTCCCGCTGGTACGGCGAATTTGCCATGAAGCGTATCACCTCCACCTTTGAAGACTACATGGCGGACTACAACTCCGTGCTACACCCATCCCTGGCCGAGATCCTGGTCGAGGAGTTCTCTGACGAGCTGTTGGTGCGGTACCTGTCTGCGGTGCGCAACAAGGGTGTTAAATTCCGTCGCAATGTCGACCCCTTCACAGACAAGTTCAAGGACGACGTCCTTACCGTCTTTGCCTTCTTTGAGAAATACCCCGACTCATTCGAGGGTACTATCAAGCAGAAGTGGCGGCTGGTTGATTGGCTTGTTCGCCTCCTTGCCACCGAGAAGGGTCCCGCGCTTGTGGAGGTTTACGAAGCATTCAAACTTGAGTACTGGGATCTACAGCTTTCGTGGGTGGAGGCGGTGCTACGCACCCGTGATGATTTCGAGCGCAGCATGCTTACCGCCATCAAGGCGAAGGCTGCGGAGTTGTCTGTTGAGCGGGGACAGGAGACGATCATGAGTCGGTTGAGATGATCTCGTGTACTTGACCGTGTGGCATTCTCTCAACCGCACTCATGTTCCTGCTTCGTCTCGGCTCCATATACCATTCACTGCGCTCGGCCTTGTTCACCACACTATCACACGGCTTGGGTTGATGTACTAGCCATCTGGCTTTGAATTTTAGGCCAAAATCCCCCAGGGGTGTCTCAAGCAGAGATGGTAGACCATCTCTTCGTTACTCAGCTGACCTCGAGTCGCACTCTACCGCAACGCACATGCCGATGAGCAACCCCACCCACATGTACCATCCGCACCCAAGCAGGCTTGGGATCTAGTCTACTCATTAATATCACTAGCAATACAGCAATGGAAGCGAATCTCTCAAACAGTTTAGTTTTCTCATAAATATGACCAGAAACGTTGCCCTGTTTACGTAGATGATCCCAATCTGATCATCTTCTGCTGGATGGAACGGCGTTGTGCGGAGCCTTTGTGTTCGAGAAGGGACGCGATGCCGGGCTTGGATTAAGGTCCCGTTCTGCAATGACTGTGTATTCCGCACCGAGACGCCCATTCAAACCATGACGGTCGTCGACACCAGGATGTAATTTCCTGGCGCCCATTTCACAGATGCAGATAGTATCCAGAGGAATTTCCTTCGCCCAAATGAAAGGATAGCCACGGGATGGTGGGGCAGAAGGGGCCGGACTGCTGCTAGGCGTGGACAAAAGAGTGTTTTTGTCGGGGATTGGTGGAGATTTTGCGCGGCGGGGTTCATTTTTTATTTCTGCGGAAGACCCAGCAGGTGCTCGGTGTGGAATAGTCCGCTTGTCATCAGAATAATAATTACGATATTGTGAGATCAGATTGCGAGCATCAAATGTAAGGCGTTTGGATGAGTTGTTGTCCTTGGCATCTTTGCTCTGGCCCTGCCGTCCACGAACGTAGATGGTATTGACAATAGTCGCGTGCAAAAGGAGTGGTCGTGGTTTGGGTTTCTGTAAAGACCCATCACTAGAGACAGTAGCGGGCTCAGAGGCCTGAGGAGCGTCTTGGACAAAGCGAATGGTTGGGTTTGGTCTTCCTGCAGGCCTCGTGTCAGGCTCATTTTGGATGAAGCCAGCCTCGACGAACTTGTCACGTAGCTTTAAGCAAAATGGAAGCAAGCGACCTGTGGGATCAACCGGAGAAGCATGTAGAATGGTTGCCGACTTGCCTTGCGGCAGAGCATGCAATGACTCGAGAGAAACCGTCAAAGGCGATGATTGGCGAAGGGCGACTTTTTGTTGTGTGTGAGCGGCGACTTGTTCCGCCTCGTTCATTATGTCTGCCAGGTCGAGGGATCGGAAAAACGCAAGAGCTTGATCGAGACGCTCTTTATTGTTGAGACTCATCACTCCGAGAGTAAGGTGGAGTGTGCCCAGTGGCCGAAAGGCTGTGCTGGGCAGACCCAGGCGAGAGGTGTCTCCATGGTCTTTGGAGGGTGATTGGGAAGCTGGCCCAACTTCAGCAAGATGAGCCGTTTTGAAGGCCGTGAGGGATTTGTCCAGCTGTGGCAGCGATTTGGTATTTATAAGAGGGAGACAGAGAAAATGGGTCAATTGCGGCCGCTTTGGCCGTTTTTGTGGATGTGGTTTGCGGGGCTGATGCCTTGATAAGCTTGCGGTGTCTGTCATGATGCACCTGTATCTCCACGAATGTGACAGCATGGAATTTCACAACCCCTTTGCATGAGCCAGTCGCCGAAATTTCCACTTGACAGTTGCTGACAGGAAGGAAGAAGCTTTCGTGGAAGTCGGAAGACGCACGGACCCGGGCCCACAACCTTGTATCGACTACATGGGACTTCATGGATGTTTCATTGGATGTCGCTGAGTTAAAGGCCACGATAATATTGGTTATTCAATGCTTCCAATATTATCCTCACAGTGACAGGCCACTTTGGCACGTCGCCTTCCCCAATACCCGATCCAAACGAGCGGCGAGACCAAAAGCACCAAAACTACACATCCCAGGAGCGTACCACTCCAGCGAGATCCCGAGGCATCCAATTAAGGACCTGCAAAATACAATAGATGACTCTTATGCATTGCGTCAGTCCGAATGATGATACAAATACGCATGCGTAGAGATAAAACGTAGGGCAATCACCAAGGCATCAAGATTGATGCTGTCCCACATCTCGAACAACGAGGGTCGGGAGCACTTCATCCATTTTGAAAATGAGTCATACGGATCTACCTCCAACGCCTCAACGAGTTTCACACAAAGACGTCCCTTCTCTTCGTATTTCAAGTCCTCTGGAAGGGGAGCGTTTTATAACGTTTAAAAGGGAACTCATCGAGCACATCACGCTCAGCTGCCTCGGCCCTGAAATGCTCGCGGAGCTGGTCAATCGATGCTCCGTCGAACTGGGAAGCATACTCAATGACCCATGACTAGTAATGGGCCAGATTTTATCCCAGGGAGTGATGTTGAACTCATTTGCCCTAGAGCTGTACTAACGGGAAGATTCGTAATAATTGTAGAATCCGTATTTTATATACTTCGTGGTGAGGTCGACTTTGGATGTTGCGGTGGCTTGGAGATTTGTGGAGGGGGAAGATTCCAGCCCCATCTGAACCTTGGAAGGGCCGCTTTATAGTCCCCCTCAGGGCTGTAAGTAGCTTGATATCAAACTTCCTGTCCCCCTTATAATACCCTACTTGTACTGGTCCCTGGTCAATCCAGTATCTCTAGCATAAATTACCGTTAGTTCCTTGACATCATTCCTATATTGCCTCGGCATATTCGCATTCGAGTGAGGGCCATGGACGGAGTACGGAATACGGAGTAGAGAGTAGAGAGTCAATGTTACTGTCTCTCCATGTGATACTTTTAAGGTTGTATCAATCAAGAACTCGTAATTATCAGGAAACCATGAATATTAGGCAATCTCCAAATCTCCAGTCGGCCTTGTTACTACGTATCTCATTGCCGAATAGGTGAAAGCCCAGGTCAAATTTCCCCATAATATATCCCGAAAATAACCATGAGATGTGGCCCTACTGATCACCCAGCGCATCCCAAGGAAAACCTTGCAAGCGACTAAAATACGCTCCACCCTCCAGCCAACCTTGAGAGCTCACTTCGTTGCGCTTGAAAATAATCCATTCAATGAGTAATCTCAGCAAAATTGGACTGGTCTCCAGTACTTGACGGTGGTACCTACTACCCATCCTGTGAATCAAGTAGAGACAAGATGGAATGTTCACTGCCAGACACCTGTAGCTCAGCAGCGAACCCACATGCACAAAACGTAAAAGGCTTGAAGTCATTTCCTGGCTGCATACAGAGTACCATGGGAGTTTCAAGTGTTTTGGGACGGGAGTCAACCATGCTTGGGGGAAGATGGAGCTGTCATGGTTAGATTATTACAGAAATTTGAGGTTGCAAAAGATGGATTCTCACTTGATCAAAACCGATAAATGCCATGTTGAGCAGAAAGCAGGGCCGAGTGGCAGACAAATTCAAGCTAGTAGGCATGTTCCGCCTGGTTGACGGTGCAAATGGACCTGGAAAACCAACAACCGTCAGCAAAGCTGGTGAGATCCCGTCGCAGAACGCTATCTAACTATCTATGGAGGCTGATGCCGGTGCAGTCAACCTTATCTACATGTGTATCCGCTAGGAGACCTCACCTGAAAATTCAGACTGCACAAACAAACTGTGCATGCGGGCTAGATGTCGAGGTATGTAACGCGAAAACCCAACCTGAAGTGAGCCTGGCTCATGCTTGGCGGGTTTTACCAAATTGTTCACGGGTCCGTTTTGGTAGATGTATTGAAAAGGATGAAGCAGCGACGGGTAACATGGTGATGTGAGTTAGTATGTTTTGACGCGCTTTCCGGTAATAAGGAGGAATGTATGATCATTGGAGGATTGGAATTTGTAGTCCTTTGCGGAGACTCTGTAGACTCGAGTTGCTAAATGAGAAGTTTTGGTATATCCCCTGGTGATATCGACGGGTATGCCTGGTAAAAACCAATAACCGTCAGCAAAGCTGGTGAGATCCCGTCGCAGAACGCTATCTAACTATCTATGGAGGCTGGTGCATGTGCAGTCAACCTCCTTTACACCTGTATCCGCTAGGAGACCTCACCTGTATTTGCAAAGAGCAGATTGGAGATTGATCTCTGCTTTCGATGTTGACATTAACATCGATGACGATGGAGGCGATGATGGTTCCATGGCCTGTACATCCCATTTGCGGGATGCGGTAACATTGTATCCCGCTGGTCCCCTTTCAATGCCACAAAAGGGGCGAATATGCAGAAATCCTAAAAGCAGAGAAGAACAAGTTTCCCTGCGTCAGCCAACGGACTGGTGAGGTCTTCCACTCGCTGTCGCAAGTCAAAAGGGCCTTGGGATCAGGGTTATCACTCGAGTTCTCACCTTGGGATCAGGGTTATCACTCGAGTTCTCACCTTTTATAGGAATAAAAGTCAACTGGTGCAAGATGGACTGTGTGAGGATAGAATTGGAAGCGTCCACAACAGCAGGCCAGAAGCCGGAAAGAATATGTATGGATTCCCTAAAGCCTAAATGCAGAGGAGACAGAAGTTTCCCTGCGTCAGCCAATGGACTGGTGAGGTCTTCCACTCGCTGTCGCAAGTCAAAAGGGCCTTGAGACTGGGTTGTCGTTGGAGTTCTCACCTGGGTCCTCATGGGGCCTTTCATCCTAATGTACCCATGAGTAGAAAAGGCACATGAAGCAGAGTAAACATGCTCACACGCATGGGCTGAGGTCTGGGTATCTTCGGTTCATTGGTTGAGTGATAGAAAATCAGGATAACTGCTTTGGGCCATGAGCCAATGACAAAGATAAACATATGATGGAGGTATCAGGCGGCAGACATAATACCATGGAGTGGCGGGAAGGAGCAAGAGGGCAAGGGAAAGAGAGACAAGAATACAAAATAGAAGACAAACCAGACCCGACAAAGTATCGAGGTAAAGGGGACAATAGTGGAAGGAACCCTAGTGGAACAATAAGGAAGGAACAATAATGGAAAGGACTACTAACCAGCTAACATGGTCCATTCGGCATGACCACCTGGGGGTCACCAAGAGGAACAAGATGCAAATGCATCGTAGAGACACAGGAATAGAGAGAGAGGTTGGAAGACGATGGTCATGAAGCCATGAATGATGGACAAAAGTCTAAATCCCCGAAGGGGGGATGGGAAATTGATGGAATGTGAATGAAAGGATGGAAGATGGATGTAGGAGGAAAGAAAAAAAAGAGGAGAGAAAAGGACAGAGAGTATTTATATGTCGAGACCGGAGACTCAAGCTCGGGGGGGTTCCTTCCGTATTAGGAAACGGAGGATTGTCTCAAGGAAAAGTCGCACCTTCGCGAAGTTAAACTAAACTGTATCTTGGCTCTGGAGATGGCTATGCTGAAGAGATGTGACAACGAAATCCAGTCATCAGTTTGGAGTCCCTGGTATCTCGTGTTGTGAATTATCAAGCTCTACCTAGATGGATTGATATCCTGTAGAGTATTATAGAGATATGCGGCCATTTGTAGCCATCTATGGAAGTCAAACAAAGCATCTCTTACAGAGGTAGACAGTATCTAGACGAGACCATATGGACATGTTGGCCAAATAGACTTCAGCCCAGGACCCGTCTCACACATGTCCGACGACGAAGATATCGATGGAATGCATTGGACCATACAAAACGTACTTGGTATCTGATGACGCAGGTGTCCACGGGACTATTCGACCATCAAACGAGATACCTGAAAAGATATCGGAGGATTCCCCTATACATACGTGACCTCTCTACCCAACGTCATCCCCATCGAGGGGTCTGGGTATTCAGATTATCAGTCCTAAATCGTCAAAGGCAAAGGCCAAATAAGCCGCCTACTAGCATATGAATATGACGTGTCACGTAGTCTTCATTACACGGCGAGAAGTATCCAGCAAAAACCGGAAAAGGCAGATATTACAACGGTTTGTAAGCGGTGGAGGTGACTAAATCGCCTGCGCGGTATGATCGATTTTGATAGGCACGTAGAGAACGCATAGCACAGCAGGGTATCAATTAGCTCCGAATGCCGACTTCATAGTAGAAAACACAAATAGACACAGGAGCCCACGACTTCGCATTTGTGGTAATGACACTCATGAAGCCTCCTTCTTGCGACCCTCCACAACACGCATAATATCCGAGGCGCTATCTTTGTCACCCTTCCTTTTCTTGGGGCCACGCTTTCTCTTTTTCCCGCCTCGTTCGTCGCCGTCGAAGTCAAGCAGGGGCCCATCGTCCTCCTCCTCTCCGTCTTCGTTACGACTTCCTCCGAAGCCCATGTCCATATCAGCGGCATCCATGGCCTCTTGGCGGCGTGCCTCTTCAATGAAGCGCTTGTGACGAAGAGCTGTGTCAGAAGACTGGTCAGCTTCACCTTCCGCCGAAGGAGAGCTCTGTCGGAGGGCTGCAGCTCGTTTGAGGGCAGCAAGAATGGTTGGATCTTTGGTAAGAGGATTGGATCGGTCAACAGGTTCCTCTTCTGCTGTAGTTGAGGTCGTAAAGTAGTTTTTGGGTTTCACAGGTGCTGTTTCAGAGGTGGCAGGCTTCTTCTCCCCTTCGCTGTCAATAGCCTTTTCGGGTCTGTCAGTGGCCGAATCTGCCACTTCACCATCTTCATCAGACGATGACTCGTCTTCGAGACCAGCCAGAGGATTGTAATCATCACCGACACCGGCAAAGATATCTTCGTCCTCATCTTCGGGTGCCATTTGTGCAGCAGCACGGGCAGCAATTTCAGCTGGAACTTCCATACCGAGGGGTGTGAGACTTTGATCAGGCATCAAAAGGTCTCCTGCGGCAGGCACAAGGGCTTCAACCGGCTTATCAAGCCATCTAGTCTTTCTCTTCGTATTTCCTTGCGCATCGGTGATGAGAAGCACTTCGCGTCGGCGGCCAGTCTCGTCACGCTCCACAAACCGCTTCTTCTCAGGCTTTCCGTCACCCAGCTTCTTGAATTTTGAGCCAAGTATGGATTCCGGCGGCGGAGGAGGCGCAGCAGCAGCAGCCCGGCTTGCCTTTAATTCCCGCAAGATTTCATCACGAGTCTTAGGCCTAGCAGGCGGCGGTGCCATAGTCCCCTTCTTCTTTTCTTTCTGTTCCTTGGGCGCGGCAGGAAGCTCCTCGAGTCCCTTCCCTTCCATCAGACGCTCGAATTCCTCATCTACGTCTTCTGTTTCAGGGGGCGGCGCAGATTTTTCGGCCGCTTGCGACACGTCCTCGCCAGCTTTGATTCTTCTTAACAAATCCATATCCAGTCCTTTGACCATGTGTGTGCTTTCAATGTTACCTCCGACTCCGAGTTCTCGGCGCAGTTTGTCAAAGGTAGCCTGGCCGATCTGTCCCAACTTCACCATATCCTCGAGCGCCTTGATGCGCGACTCCAAGTCCGTACTGCTCTCATCCTCTAAATTGCGCAATTTTGCACGATCCTGATAGCCTGTCGGTAGCGAGGTACCCTTCGGCGCGGCGGAGGACTTGAATCGCTTGGAAGGTCGATTACCCTCGTGACGTTGCTCAAAAAGCTGGCGGGCGAAGTCCACACCGGTGACTGAGCGTCTTAAATAGAATCACAGCTGTTAGCCTCCTTCGGAATCATGGCAATCTGGAAATCAAGCGACGTACGGGGTCATGGGAATACTGGACCGCATTCGCGATCCCAGGGACCCGCCCGGGGTTGCGCCGCCACGCGACACATCACGACCAGGCGTTGAGCTCTTGTCCGTAGGTTTTGACGATGACTGGTCGGCTATTAGCCGGCGAAACTGCTCGTTATTCATGACTCGCAAGCTCAAGTTACTTGAGACTGAAGTTACGAAAGGCTCATGTCAAAGAGGTGAAGATCCGGCTTGGCACTGGTAAGATAAGACTTATCGGCGAAGGGGCCAGAGCCGAATGCCTGAGATTTCAGGGGTTGGTGCCTGAAGTAGTTACGACGTAGGACTCTTAAGGCATGTTATCTCGCTCAAAATGCCTGTCATAAATCTCTCTAGCAACTTCAGCATTTTCATCCTATAACAGACCGAGAGATAAAACACGAGTGCTGATTACTTTACTCAAAAAAGAATAGAGGAATATACTGTGTCAAAACAAAGTCTTGTAACAGCCTCGAGAGAACCAATAGTAGTACATTCACAAATCAAAACCAAACTTGAGTCGGACGTAGCCCGCTATTTGTGAATATAACTACCATGTGAGCCTATGGATAAAAATCATGACCGATGAACAGTGAAAAAGAGATGAAAGTAGTATAAATGCATAGTAACGAAAGGAAACGAAAAAAGTGGCTAAACACACAATCGCGATTTGGTACATTTCGCCATCAAAAACTCAAAGGGTAAGGAATCTAATTACATGCACATCAACAATCGCAAGGGGGCCATTTTGATGTTCATTAAATAGTCTCCCAGCCTCCGTTGTTGATCTCTGACTCCAGCTTGCGGCTGATAGTCGCAGGGATCGAATGTGACAGCCAGACATCGCGCAGTAGCCGGTCGTACCGCTTTTGATTGAGGATAAGCTGGCGATTACGGCGGAGACCAGGGTCGACTTCACCGTGGCGGTCGAGGTAGGGCGCATAATGCCAGGATCCATTCGTGTTGTGCAGGTAAAGAACCGTGCATTTGCGAATATTGATGAAAAGGCCTATGTTTTTTCCGCACCTAACATGGAAGACTGATTAGCTGGAGAGTACTTGCGAACGAAGTGCAGGGGTATAATCACTTTTGAAGATGTTGGTTGCAGCCGCCAAGCTTGTTTTTCATACAGCAGACTGCCTGTGAGCAGAATATTTCTCCGCAGAATAAACAAATGCTGGGATCAGTGAGCTCCTTCTTGGAATTGGGACAACGACGACGGTTTGCCTCTTCGATCAAGCTATCGAAGTACTTAGGCAGGCCAACAAGCTCGAAGATAGCAGGGTGCGACAGACTTGGCCAGAGACGATGGTCTTCGAAGCGGATGCCTGAGCGCGAGGCATTCCAGTGGAAGATCCACCCTGAGATGACTGCGTCGATGGGACTGTTTGTCTTGCGTGCGGGCTTCACAGACATGAGAATCTCGTCAATGGAAGGCAGATGAAGTGCTTTGGTCAGGCGTTCAAGCTCAGAGGACTCCACATCGGCAAATCCTGTGTTGGGGAACTCAACGCCGTGTTGAACATGAAGAAGGATAACTGCCTTGCGCAGGAATGCTAGTCCATAGCTCGTAACAAGTCGCCGAATAGCGGCGATGATGCTGGGAGTAGCAGTCTCCTCTCCGTCTTTGACATAGCCACTCTCGGCGGGGAAGGAGGAGCCCTCGGCACGACCGACAGAGTTTGCCTTGAGTTCAGCAACGATCGAGTCGAAGAACTGCTTGGTCACTCCAAATTGTTCTTCAGAGAAATCGGCTGCCATAATATGGTCCTCCGGGTGGGTGGCAAGTTCCTCCTTCAATCCCAGTGGCCAAAGAATGAAAGTGACAGCGACCTTCACAATCTCAGCAACAAAGCACATCCGGACAAGATGCCTGATATCAATATGAAGGACTGGAAGCAGTGACAGCGATGCTTCTGCGAGGAACACAAAGGTATCCACGGCGAGCAGAGGCTCAATGTTGCGTACATCATTGAGCAGAGCTGTGCCACTCAAACAAGGGTGTCCCACAAATAGTTGGCAGATCTTTTGACGATGCATCTCCTGGAACTCATTTGTTGGACGGCTTTTTGAAGGTCCCGTTGAGTGAAGGGACCCCACAGCAGCATATGTCAGCACCGTCTCTGATAGAACGCGCAGATGAGTGAGCGTCAACGAAGGGATTGTGTCGAGCAAAGTCGAGCCAGGCTCTGAATCAACCCCGCGCTGCGCGATCTCCACTGCAGCAATGCTGAAACCAAAGCTGCGAATCAAAGAATCAGTATGTACAAGATCTTCATTGCTATTCGCTTCAGGGGTGTTATTGAACATTGAATTGACATGGTTCATCTCGAGTGTCTTCTTGAGTCGCCTGTAGATCTGCAGCAACTCCGACATAGGGCTCTCCGGGGGACTAGGCACCTGCTGAAGTGGACTGGAAGGCGATAAGTCTTCGGTGGGAGCGAAAATACCTGGCATTGGCATGCGCGCCGGGGTGATGTATTGTGAGGAGACAGTTGGTGGGAAAGACGAGACCCTCAGTTGATCAATGGTATTTGAAAGTGGAGGGACTAGTGCCTTAGACAAGTAGTCAATGAAAATGTCGTTGTATGGCTGGGGATAGGCCTTCTCCTTCTCCATGAGGACTGGGAAGTTTTGCTGTTGGTTCAACTCTTGCTTGAGGCCTGACTGAATCCACTGGTCAAATGATTCAGAGGCGTTGAGTGGAACAAGGGGAGACTCTTCTTTGCCCTTCCAAGTGATGGGGAGGAAGGCGTTTCCGAGAGCTTTGCAGAGAGGACAGACAAATTCCATGAGATCAGTGTTCTCGGGATGGTTACGCGCAATCTGCTGGGTGTGTCGTCGCTGCGTCGCCGTATAGTACTGTTCAAAACAAGAGTAATGCATTATGTGCCCACAGCCAGTAGTCACAGGGCCACGAATAGTACTCTTTGCGTTGAATCCTTTGCTCAGTCCAATCTTTTCACTGACGACTTCTCCCCCAGAAGAATCAAGACGTTTGATCGAAGTATGATTTTCCCCGGATATACCGAATGGTCGCAGTTCTTCAGCGGACCTGTCCAGACTTGTGGGTGTTTTGAGCACCTCACGAATTCTATCAGAGTCCCTGATATCGGTCTGTCGCAGGATTGTGCTGTCTTGAACCAAGGCAAATGTACCATAGAGTCTCGAGTCATTGGTCTCTTCCTGGCACAAGATACACGTTCCGCTAGGGTACTTCCATAGCTTCTTCTCTGGGGTGGCGTCTGTATCGGACTCAAAATCGCTGAAATCTTCTTCGCCCCAATCAATGTTACCCTGGCTGTTCAAGAATTGTTGCTGCTGCTGCTGGAACTGAGCCATAACCTTGGCTTGCCTCTCCAGCGCTTGCTTCTTCTTGGCCTCTTTGTCGTTATCTGCATCGATTGCAGGAGAGTTTGTGTCAATTCGGTCGAAGGGGAATTTGAGAGACGCAGTTGCCGATGAATACGTGCGAGGGCGCTTTTGCCACAGGCGTTCAAGTATATGTCTGATTTTAGGGCCAGATGCGGTGAATTCGGGCGTGAAGGAAATTCTCTCCAATAAACCGACGATGGTCAAATGGCCAGCCTTGATCTCTCGGGCCTTCGACAAAGCATTCCAGTTGAATGAATTGGAATGCTCTTCTACCATATCTGTCTCCTCGGAATCATCTTCCAGCACCGCTGCAAGGATAAGATGCAGAATTACTTGAAGGAAAGTCTCAACACGTGTCGGTGGGATGGTTGGTGTACACTCTTTCGATGAGATAACATATTCCAAGCATTGGTGAACAATCTGCGCAAACAGCATTGTTCCGGCGAATCGGGGCAGATCTGAGAACACGCCGAAGCTGATAGGTCGAAGTTTCGGCTCAAAAACAATGTCAGAGGCATTTTTGCCTGTCTTTTTCGCCATCCATTCCTTATAAATATTCTCTGCCTCGTCTCTTTGGTTTTTTGTGTAATGTGCACTATACGGATCAATAAGATCAAGATATTCGGGCTTCAGTTCGAAAGTACCAGAGTCACTCAAGCCCTCAGGTGGACGGAAGCTAGCGACTTCTTCCAGCACATCTTGGAACATGTCCGAGTCTAGAAGCTTGTCGCTAAGGCGAGTCGAGAGGTCGGAGAAAGACAGCGGCTTGAAGCACAAGACATGAGCGATGTCACGTTTGATGTTTTCGTGGGTGAGGTGAGTGCTATCATCGATGGCAGTCAAAGATGTTCGGTCCGTCAAGAGGATCACCAGTAGATGAACAAATTCTTCTGCCACATCCACAATCTGGGTGTCTTCGTATCCAGAACGGGGCATGTAGTTCCGAGCCATCCACTCAACCATACCAAAGCGGTGTGCAATGGAAGCAAGGACTCTACTAGGATCACAGGTAACTAGGGCAGTCTGGAGAAGGAAGATATCTCTGTAGTACGCAAAGTCACGAGAAGAGACTCCACGGTATTGCGACATTTGATGCCGAAGACTAAGGCCATTGCGCACCCACATGCCAGCCTTCATTTGGGCCAACCAAGCGCATACTCGAAGTGGATAATCAAACATGGTCAGAAGCAAGTCCTCCGGTCCAAGAGTAAGCAATACATCATCAACTTTACTAGGATCGGCAGTCTTGGCGGCGTGAATCTCACTTCTTGCCGCATTGGCAGCATCAAAGAGAACATCGCGCATAGTCTCGCTGCTAATGTTTCGGCCGCATTCAATGAGCCATGACAATGTGTAGTGAAGGGCGTGGTGGAAACTGATAGATCCACGCTCCACCACGAATTCAACGACGCGATGGCAGGGCACTTGGCCAGTGGCGCCGACCTCGAAATCGAAAGGTGGCAGCAGCTTGAATCTCACTTCATCTTTAATCTCTGCCTGGTCGAATCGCTTGCGTTCTAGGCCTGCTGAATGGAGAATCGCAGTAGTGGTGGTGGTCTCGATTGCCCTCAGGAGGTTGTCACCGTTATCAATTTCAGGGTCACGGAAAGATTCGCAGAATTGGCGGCAAAGTCGGTTGATTTCTCGCATGAGAATCGATGCACTAATCCAAGCATCCGTTTCGTATTCAACGTGTTCACCAACAGCACGGACATTAGGGCAAATGCCCTGTGAAAGCTTGACGAGGTCAAGGAACTGAGGAAGGTATTGTTCCTCAGTCCGCACACGATGCTGGACATATTCCGATTGAAGAAGATATCGGAGGTCAAGGAAGAAATGATAGAGACGTCTGTTTGTAACTGAGCCAGCATCGAATGCCAGCGTGGCATTGGGATTGACGGATTGTGGTTCACCGACTTGTCTTGTGGTCAAGAAGGTATAGAGAATAGCCATCACCTTCGTGAGGAAGTTGCCTCGCACGACAATCTCTTCAGTGATAGAGGGGGTCGTGAGAAGCTGTAATGAAAGGTTGACAATCGAGTGATCCGGCTCTCGATCCGCAATGAGGTAGAGTTGAGCCAGAGCTGTATACAACGCTGACAAACGAAGACCCATGATGCGCTTAAACTGAGGAACGTTGACAACGGTGCTGATGTACAGATCACGCAAGTCGGTTCGTGTCTTCTTCCACAACCTTAAGTCGTATAGCACGAGCCAGTCTAGGCGAGTACGCTGCCACAGATCTTCATACGGAGGTACTTTTTCACCTGGAGCGGGAAGGGACGGCTGGACTTGCCAGTGACTGTCTGTTTTTGAAGGCCTTTGCCGATGCAAGCCAGGGGTCTTGGGGATGGGGATATAGCCGGTAGGGGCAGATTCAGGGCCAGGACTTTGAGACTCAGATGGGCCTCGTTCGGCAGAGGACCGATCTGTCGTTTGAGCCTGTGCGGGTCGAGGAGGTAGCGGCTGGATGCCAGTAATTCCGGCGAGAATGCGCTCTGCTAAGGCAAGTTCCTCGTCGGCACCCGCCAAAATCATATCTTCGTCTTCTTCCTGACCACGAGTGAGTTCGATGTCCATTTCATCGTCATCTTCATCATCCGCGTCGTGGGCTTCGACATAGTCTTCATCTTCATCTTCGTCTATAACATCATCGTCAAGGATATCGTCATCGTCATCGTCATCGTCAGTGGTTAGGAGGACTTGACCATGGTTAGGTAAATTGATCATGAGCGTGCGACCTGGAAGGCTCTCGGTCCGTTGATGATCGTCGATGCCCTTCATGCCGATATCTTCGTTATATCCACCACTGCCCTTTTTCCAGGGCGAAAGCATTTCCTCACAGATGATTTGTCTCAAAATCTCATTGTCCTCAAGGATTTCACAGCCAGCAATATCGGCCAACCACTCAACTATCGTTGCACACATTTGCTCGCGGAATGTATCGCGCGCAGAGCGCACCGTGACGGTAACCTTGATTTCCTCAATTATCTTAGAAACACCCAACAGTCTGTTCAGATCCTTCGAATACTTTATCACACTGCGGCCCATATCGTTCGTTTCATGAGCTCTCGCAACGCCAAAGCTATCTCGTTCACGACAAGCACGTGTGACCTGATGAGATACATCGCGAATTGTATGCTTCTCATCATTCCACAGCAGGACTGCAAATTCAGGTTCTTCCTCCTCTTCATCACCAGCACCATACCAGTTTGGGCGCAACCGAGATGCCTCCTCGTCTTTTCTAATGCCCTCAATAGTCTTTGGCAGCCGCAATTGCTCCGGGGAGCAAGAGATGACATCACAGAAATAGTCAAGCACACGGGATATAGTCAAGCGGATGGAGCCCACAAGCTCAGAAGGTAGTGCCCGTTGTGCCCGTTCCTTGCCCTTAGTATTGCCACTATCGGTGTGGATTGCGCAGAACAGCGGAAGGCGCCATGCTTCGTCATCACCACAGTCGCAGCAACCACAGTTTCCAGAGGAAAGCGAAATCTGATATTGATGTCCGGTATGATCTGAGGAATCGAAGCATCGACTACACAGCACACAGGTATCGTCTGCAGCACATGTCACGCATCGGTATGTGGCTTCCCCAGCACGGAAGATATGACCGCAGCGCTTGCCCCTCGCTGCCTCACTGTACTCGGCTCCTTCCCGGGCCCCCTGAGCCTCCGCCAGTTTCCATGGTCCCACCGGAGTTCCTTCTGGAAATAGCTGGTGTACTAAATCATTGTCGTGTCCGACAAGCGATCGGAAGAGAAGCTCTAGCAGGTCCTTCTCGGCAGCGGGCCCATAGCGGAAGTTGTGTTTCTTGGGTAAACGGAGAAGACCATCACCTAGTAGCTTCTCACACTCCCCAAGCATGAGCATGATTTGTTGTTGTGGCCGATTTATCGTAGCGACCGCTCGGGCTATCACAAGTGAGTGATGGAACGGAACGTCGTTGTCGCGACGATGCGCTCAAGGTAGTAATGGTCCGACACAGGTAGTTTCTTCACGGGTATGCAGGCGGACAAGAAAATTTCAAGTGAATATTCAAGAGATGAACCGAATCGAGTAGGGTTCTCAGATGTAGTTCACGTTCACACGCTGATACTTTGTTGGTGGGGGGAAGAAGAGCAACGGGTGAGGGTGGACCAATGCAGGCGAGCAGATCAGCACAGGTACAGTGAAGTCATACGCGATTCAAATTCAAAATGTGGAGCTCAAGTAATCCCGAAGAGCAGAATTAAATCAAAAAAGTAGAAGGAATCAAATGAAGAGTGTTTGTTGAGATCGGAAAGTAACATTTTTCCTTATGACATCGATGGAACCGGCCTGTCTCAGTAAACGCCACATCCAGGCTCACGAGCCTAACCACCTACGACACGCCACTAAACATTTGAAGTTTTTAAAGAGATTGAAAGTCAAAATACAGATTTCCATCTATCACGTACAAGCCCACATATGGGATGAGAAATAACAGGCACTAGCTTCGGTTGGCTTTCCCGTGCCCCTTTACCCGCGGCGGTAAAATATACCCAACATCACTTTCGGCAAGCCCATTTACTCGTCATCCTCCTCCTTAACCATATAACGGTGCTTGATGTCCTTCCATTGGCGCTGTAAGGTGAGAAAAATAGTCAGCGTGGGTCCTAACCTCGGGTATTGTAGTACATCGGAAAAGAGGTTCACATACGCCCTGGTTCCAGCTGTCCCAGACCTTGTTGGAGGTGATATCGAAGGCACTGTTTTGAGAGTGGGTAGTCAGTATTCCGTATAAGTTGTGCAGCATGTCTTAACATGTGCCGAGACTGGATTTAACCCACAGCTCAAAAGCGAAGGCGCCGGCAAAAGCAGTGGTCAGGAGAACAGTGTTCTTGCGCATGAAAGTCCTAAACACAGCAAAGAGTGCTTCGGTTAGATTTCAATTGGACAATTTCAATCGCGATCGTAGGACCTAGGAAGGGGAGACATGCGAGTAGATAACGTTTGCGAGCTGTCATGCGAGAAGTCAGTCAGTATTGGACGTAGCAGTGTAAATGGGAGGACTGAAAAGAGGGATATAGACATACGCCGGCCATTGTGAGAGATTGGGGTGTTTGCACACGACCGAAATTAAAGGATTGGACAGGAGGATGGGGCAACGAGAGTTGAAGTTGTGAGGTTGAAGTTGCGAAGGCTGAATCTGCGGGAATTGCCGGTCCGCTGATTGGCCGACCCTCCGGCCTTCCGCACTCAACTTTCAATGTTCGTGTTGTTTTTCTCCTTCAATCTTTAAAGATATTGATCTTTACCTTGGAGCTTGACTTTGTCAAGTTGCTATCAGATATTCTCTGTTTTACCAGGTCCATCTCTCAAATTACAGCTTACACACCCACCGACCACACCATGTCCTCCAACGTCGCCCGGTCCGGCATCACCACCGATGCCCGAACCGGCGAACGATACATTCCCTCTTCAGTCCGTGCCGACGGCTCTAGGCGCAAGGAGATCCGTGTGCGCCCTGGCTACAAACCCCCGAGGATGTCGAACTCTACAAGAACCGGGCAGCGGCAGCATGGAAGACCCGCGCAAAAGGCGGGGTGCCAGGTGCGGAAACATTAAGCAGCGAAGACGACAAGACCAAGACCACAACGATACCTACAACTACCACCGCTACTCCCGCCAGTAATAAGAACGCCAAACGCCGCGAGGCCAGGCGAAATGCCAAGGAAACCGACGAAGCCGGTCCCACCACCGAGGGCAAGGGCGCGCATTCAAACAATTGGCGTGTCCCCGCACCCACACCTAAGAAGCAAGAACAGCCCGCCGAGGAGCCTGTCGATCTCGAGGCGGAGAAGGAGAAAAAAGCCCGCAACCTGAAGAAGAAGCTCCGCCAGGCGCGGGATCTTCGCGATAAGAAGCAGCAGGGAGAGGCGCTGTTGCCCGAACAGTTGGAGAAAGTCATTAAGATTCAGGAACTTGTCCGGCAGCTGGATGTGTTGGGCTTTGATTCCAATGGGGACAAGAAAAATGGTGACAGTAATGAGAATGCTTGAATGCCCCTTTGAACCTTGAAACGCGGGGTCAGATTAAATTCAATATCCCATATCCATGTGTCGAGTATATGCCAATATGCATAGCATTGTCATCAGGTATTCCTGCAAGCACACTCCGACCTTGTTTGGAAGCCACCAGACTATCCCACATCATCGTGGCAAGTGATTGGGAGTGGGGTGGGAGAAATATTACCCCTATGGTAGGGCACAATGCAACCAGTCGGTTCCAGCCTTACAATCGCCCATTGCTTGCCTACGAGGAAGTCTGGATGCTGTCACATCTCTCAGCCATTCCCTCAATCGGGAGTCTGGGTGCTCTCCCCCTTGACCCTGATGGAATCAATACTGAAGATGGCATCAGACAACACAAATGGAAAGTCCAACCTCATGTGGACATACCACGGGCAGGGTGGCAGCTAAGTTAGACATGAGAAATTGAACATTTGATGGATATCCGGCCAATGCCGTCGATTTCCAACCTTTAACAAGACAAAGACTATCACTACAACGATACATTTATTATACATTTTGACGTGCTCTTGTATACATTTCCAAGCACAGATAGGCAAACCACACGAACCAGTCTGATGACATCAGACTTTGGAGTCAACCAGGCGAACCGGAGGCATCACAATGCCACCCCTTAGTATCCAGCGTTCATAATCAAAGGAAGTCCACGGACGCCACGGACTAGGCTCACCATTGAGCCGGTTTCTTCCAATGCCGTATGTCGCAGATAGGATACCCTGCTTGACACAGTCGCCCACACCTACGCCATTATACCAGTTTCCTGCGAGAGTAAGCCCGCCGCTGTACTCTTTGCGAACTGTGTTTGAGAGCCTATACATGCGGTCCAGATGGCCGACCGTGTACTGGGGAATGGCATCCTTTTGGAGACGACTCCGTGCGACAGTTGGGGTATCAGTAATATTCATGTGTCTCTTGAGCATGTCGCGGGCCATTTTCACTGCGGTATCGTGGTCTGGATATTCATCGAAGCCATCCCAATAATGTCCACCTAACATGACGGTGAGTTTTGTTCCAGGTGCGGAATCTTGCTTGACTTCAGATGACTCATGGTCCGTTCCGTTTCCTACACTAGAAGACGAGGCGAAAATGACACCAAGACCACATTCTGGGTTCTGCTCGTAGGGTATGGAGCGCGGTATGAGGTATCCAAAGCCATCCTCCACCGGTAGAAGGTTGGGGTTTGGGTAATAGAGATTGATGACCATTGCCGTAACAGCGTACTTCTGTTTGCGTAGTAGGGATGGGGTCAAGCCGACCGGCTTGACCTTTGTATCACTAGTTTTGCGCATGACGTTCGCAAGAGCAACTGGAGGGATAGTGGAAATGACATATTTATAATGAGACGTCTTGATTTGGCCATGCGTTGGTGACCAATGATCCATCTATTGACAGTCAGCATCACTCCTAGGGCCCAGAGAGCTCGGGGATATAGAGTGGCGGTGCAGAGGAATTTACATACCGCAATGAAAGAAGAAAGGTCGTCGACTGCACTCAAGGCTTTGATCTCCGTGTTCATCCGGAAGCTGACCTTGCCAGATGCTTCCAATGAAGCGATCAGTGCTTCAATAAGCTGGCCAACTCCCCTCTTAAAGGTGAAAGTACTAGCTCCAGCTGCAAGGACTTCTAGATCCTGTTGACGGCGCACTAATTCAGGGCCTGCAGTAATGGCGTCTATGGCCATAAAATCATCCATATTTCGAGTCTTTGTTTTGGAGATTGACCTGGAAATAAGCGACGCCGTAACTCCGCCAGAAACAAACCCATCAATGCCACCAATGCCACCCTCAAGGTTGCGAATGCTACCCAACAGCGTCTGGGCACTCAATCGATCGATATCACCAGCATAAACTCCATGGTACACAGCTGAGACTAGGTTATCTGCAACATTGGGACCAAAACGACGTCCGATGAAGTCCGCGACAGACTCATCCTTCGCCCATTCAGTTGGATGCCGGGATGGAGCGAATATATCTTTTACTATCCCCGAGATGAATTTGTTAAATAGCGGTTCCTTCATAGTATTCACGAATCTGTCGAAGTTCTCCCCAAAGGAAAGTTCAGGCTTCGGCGCTGGCAAGCGAACGAGACGGTCCGGGTAGTAGATGTAACGATTTTGGGCCGCGGGGCTTGTCTTCGGGGTGACAATGAGGTCTTTGTACAAGCCTAAATTTGTAGCCTTTGAAGGAGGTCAGCATGTCAAGGCAAACCGATCTCCGAATATGTTGTACACGGGAGCAATACTCACCAGGTAAAGCAGAGGGAGGGATCCTGGGAGCGAGCTCCTTAACGTCCGCGGCCCGTACTCGAACACGATATTGCCACCATCAACAGGGATTGTTTCGGAGTCAATCCAGCCACCGAGTCGGTCCGTCTTTTCGAACACGTTAATTCTTTTGCACGTAGGGTCTTGCGCGAGTTGCCAGGCGGCTGTGAGGCCGGTGATACCACCGCCAAGCACGGCAGCTGTGTATGTGCGTTTTTGGTCATTGAGAAGATTCAATTGCCTTTGTCTTGGCCTTAATGCTCGAGAGACATGTGATAGCCGCATCTCTACTGATTAGAGCAAGGTTTGATTCGAGGTCGGTTGGAGCATTCAAGCGAAAGGTGCAGGTCCTCGGAAGCTTCCGTTCTTACTTAAGCTACGTGGGGTGGGTAGGTGGAGCCCTGGAGCTTAGATCTTCCCCTTACAACCCTACAAGCTTGCACATGGTTCATGAGACATTCGCGAATTGGTTCTCGCGTTCGTATTATTCTTTGGAAGATCAACGGGGGAATCTATGAACAGGACAGATAATAGTATCTGAAACAAAAGCAAATGCATAAAGAGTATCAACGCCCTTCCCTCCAGCCATTCCTCGTTCATTGGTCAAGATCGGATTGTACATATGGTATTCTTCGCTTCGAAAACAGACCGTTGTGGCATATTGATTTTGCTGGGTTTTGGTTTTCGAACAGTGGATTTTCTTCATCGGGTCATGTCAGGCGGAGTCACGCGGTCACCTCAGGGTTCTGGGTATTCTCCTCGGTATTATCCGGTTTGATCAACTCTTGGGGACCATCCACATCCGTAACAAATTTGCGCTCGCTGACATGCTCTCCAGAGCGTGGGGTCCATACTTTGTCGGTGTAAGCACCGCGCTGGCCCTCGGCGTGCTTATAGGTGCATTTGGGGTTCAAGCAGGGATTGAACTTGCAAGCAGTCTCGATATGTGTAAACTTGCATCCTTCGATTTTGCAGTCGGCTCCATTGCGGCAGACCGGCATACTTGGGTGCTTGAAGTGACAGGTGGGGTTGGTACAATGCGGGAAGAACCGACACATGGCCTCTGCCTGGTGGGCGGATCGCACAGCCGGCGAAGGGTGACGTCCAGTGCATTTCTTGTTCTTGCAAGCTGCACCAAATGAGCAAGTATCAGAAGGATCGATTGATGTACCTTCAGGGGCGGCAGGTGATTGATGGGCGAACGGGCAATCCTGGCGCGAGCATCGTTGATTGAAGCGACAAACACTGTCGGGGTTGCTTTCATCCTGTTCACCACCCGCTGTGCCGTCCATATCAACATCTGCTCCTTCTGCGGGTCTTGACTTGTTGTAACCGCCACCGCGCTTTCCTCCACGCTGGCCACCTCGCTCGACACGACTGAAGAGCGAACGACCCTGAGGACCATTTTGGGAGCCAGTTTGGAAAGCGGGGTTAACAGCAGGAGGCATGAAGCCAGGCATGATTTGCGACATCAACCGGGCCTGTTCTTCCAACATTGACATAAGCTGCATCTGGCTTTCGGGGGTCAGCTGCACCATGGGGTTGCCTGGCATTCCCATAGCACGGCCACCACGACCATGTTGCTGTCCGACACCTCTCATTTGGCCACGGCCATTGTGGCCAATGCGCCCGTTTCCTTGTCCGCGCACACGGTGTAGGGCTGCATCCGAACCACGATCCAGGTTTCGATTGATTTGATTCAACATCCTTCCCTTGCCGTTTCTACCGTTACGCATCGCTTTCGGCCCGGTGGGGCTATTAAGTAGAAATGTCAGCATGTTGTAGGCATTAGTAGAGAGGCACAGTAAAAGGAAACCTACATTGACTCGTTTCCGGCCTCGCTCATCTCGGCATCCTGGCCGTTGGCCCGACCAAACGGATTGGCCATCGTTTGAGCTGAGTTGTCAAATTCCATCGCAGAAGGGTTCAACTGTCCCATGGGAGCATTGGTCGAGGCTGGAGCAGCTCCATTTATTTGTTGATTGAGCATCTCCACTTGGTTGAAAAGCCATTGCGAAAACTCGAGGGCCGCAGTGTCGCCTTCCTGAAGGCCGAGGAAATCATTTGAGAGTTCGGTGGCGATTTGCTCTTCGGTCTTGCCGTTGACCAGCATGAGAACGATGTATTCAATCAATGGCGACTCTTGGCCCTCACTCCAGCCCATCTCCACCAATTTCGGTTGGATAACATTTGCGACTGCTTGCGCAAGAGGAGTCTCCAAAGTAATTTGAGGAAGCATGGCGAAGGCGATTAGGAAGTCAGGAAAAAGTGATGGGTTGGTGAGAAATTCACAAAGAGAGCAGTGCTGATAAAAGAACTTGCGCCACCCGATAAAGGTGTTTCAGATCTTATCAGGACAACTAACAATGAAGATGCGATGAGAACGATATCTAGGAAAAGTTGGAATAGAAAGAGAGATTGATAGACCAGTAACAGTTTCTTGGAGGAAAGAGCAAGACTTTGGCAAGCAGATTGAAGTGAAGCTAATGACCCGATGACCGAAACGGACGTTTGGTCACGTGGATGTGGCTGTCCGGCGGTGAGGTGGGGCAGTACATACAGTGCAAACAACCGCATGTACTGTCGAAGTTGATTTGGGGATATCAATGAAGAGCCCTTGCTCCTATTGAATCATTTCTTGACAGCGAGTTGGGAGGGATAGAAAAGACGAGCTGCTGAAAGACATAAGGAGTAGAGGTTTGACTACTAGACTTTATGTTTATATATTATTCACAATGACCATTGTTCTTCTATTCAGCTATTGAGCTGTGTTATTGTGAACGGAGTGAATGAGGTATATGGGAGTTCTATACACAAAGGGAAGTATCCAGATAAAAAACTGACTGTTCAAGTGACATCCGACAAGGGAACAGTAATTATCTCAAGGCCTTCGGTACTGTGTGGCCTAAGGCACAAGAATAGAATTTCCTGATATATCAGGCTCTAAGGACACCTGCATGTGCACAATAATCTGCAGTGCAGATATGTTTATGTGGCTGCAGGCCGTTCATGTCCCCTCGCAATCATATGCCATCAACCCTGTCTGCCGAGGTGTCATTTTGCCTATCTTCCCCAGATCGTCGGTTATCCCCACAAATATACATACTTTGTACAGCGTGAAACCGAGACCAAAACTGCACCTTGGAGATCTGTGCCTAGCCCCATATTACATCGATAAATCATTCAAATCTCACAGCGGTATGGATGAGCGAACCATGAAGTCACATAATGCGGGGTTCGCAAGCACCGCTGCTTTGGGCCACCTACTCCGTACGCCTTTTAGGGATGGGGAACACACATCATTGGATATCTGAAGAACTGGGGTGCTTGTGGCCCCAGATTGATACTCACTATAACCCGTATGGCCCGTGTTGTCGGAAAGGTTCTTCTTAAACTAGCCTTCCCTGCTAGTATATGTTTACATATCAATTTCTCTTTTCTCATCTGAACGTGCTTCCTCAAGGCCGGGAGACAAACTAGATCCAACTTGGCGGCACCATGATTGAAGACCTTTTCGTACGGATGACCCTCAGTCGGGCCTCACTGTGGGCTCTAGGGCTATTCGTTGCATTCTGCGTCTTCAGAAAATTTCAAGCTTCAGCACAAATCGCCCGGCTCGGGTTGAGAGCTCCTAGGATCAAGTTTCATCTCCCATATGCTCTCGACTTCATCTTCCAAGGCTACAAAGCCAACCAAGTGAACCGCGACTTAGAGTTCTGGGACGAACAAATGGGGCAAGCAGGCGGCCTGACAAATGTGAAGACAGCCGAACTCGATGCTGGCATTTCCACCCGTATGATCCTTACCAAGGATCCAGAAAACATTAAGGCAGTCCTCACAGGCCAGTTCGCCGACTATGGCAAGGGTGAGTCCTTCCACCAGGAGTGGAAGGAGTTCCTAGGCGACAGCATCTTTGCCACAGACGGGGAACTATGGTCACGTTCCCGCCAGCTCATCCGTCCCATGTTCGTGCGTGACCGCATAGTTGACACAGAAATCTTTGAGAAGCATGTTCAAAAACTCATTCCGCTTCTCGGCGGCAGCGACTCACCCAGCAGCAGCAAGATAGTGGACGTCGGGTCACTCTTTTTCCGGTACACTCTCGATGCAGCAACAGACTACCTGCTCGGCAAGGGTACCGACAGTTTAGATAATCCGGCGACCCGGTTCGCCGAAGCCTTCAGATATGTGCAACAGCGCCAAGCGGAATTTTTCCGCTTCGGGTGAGTGATGATACTCGATCCTGTGTGACGCGAGTACAGCCTGTCATTGGAGCTTTGTGGAAGCTAATCTAACATTCAACACTAAAACAGAATCTTTAGCCGTGCCATGTCACGCACCGAGTTTCGCAAGAACCTCAGGATAATGGACGAGTTCATTCAGCCATATATTCAAACGGTCCTCGCCCGCTCAGCCAGTGAACCTAACGAGAAGCTCTCAAAACGTGAGACCTTCCTCGACGCGCTAGCTAGCTTTACCCGCGATCCCCGTGTGCTCCGTGATCAACTCGTTGCCGTTCTCCTCGCAGGCCGCGACACTACAGCCGCCACACTGTCCTTCTGCCTCTTTGAGCTATCACGCAACCCAGAAGTCGTTGCCAAGCTGCGCGACGAGATCCGTGACAGACTCGGCGTTGGCATCAATGCCCAGAAACCTAGCTACACTGATCTTAAGGAAATGAAGTACCTTAATGCAGTGCTACACGAGACGATGCGTGTATACCCAGTCGTGCCATTCAACGTGCGCAACTCTCTGCACGATACCACTCTCCCACGCGGCGGTGGACCGGACGGACGCTCACCAGTGGGTGTGCGTGCAAACTCGCGGGTTATCTACTCAACGATGCTAATGCAACGAGATCCTGATTTGTATGACGGCCCCGAATCGGAGAACTACTTTGATCCTGGGAAATGGATTCCTGAGCGGTGGGTTTCCGGCTGGCAGCCTAAGCCATGGCATTTTGTTCCTTTTAATGGTGGCCCACGGATCTGTATTGGCCAGCAGTTTGCTACTATTGAGATGGGGTACACGGTCATTCGGATCTTACAGAATTATGAGCGGATTATTGCGCTACCGGTTGGTGGCAAAGATAAAGTTGACGACCCGGTGCTTCGGTTTGAAGTTACCCTCAGTCCGGGCTCTGAGTTGAACTGCGTTTTCCTCAAGGAGGGTGAAGAGGCTGCGCGTAGTGCCACACAGTCGAATTTTGCTTGAGCTGTTTGGTTGATTCTTCGGGTCATAGTATGAAATATTCACGACATGAGCTTAATGCCCTGGCTTCAGCGTTTCGAAGTAGGTGGATTCTATGTTGCTCTTCCATCATTAGTAGTCAATATGAAGATCTCAAAGGAAAGCCCACACAGGCCTCCACTTCTAATTGCAAACCCTAACATAACTACATACCTTGTGCAGAGAAAGAGTGCCTTCAATAACAGGTTGCTGGCGAGTCGACTCAGAAGACAGAGAGTGTTCGGACCTCTTAACACGTATCCGGGGAAATCGGCAAGACTCCCACCCTTCCGGCCATTCCATTTTCCCCGGGCAGCCCTCGCTCCCTTTGCAATTCAGCGGACATTAAGGGGTATCTTCCAATCCGATTGGCTGGTAACAGCGACTATATCGAGCAATATTTAGGGAGGCACATATTTGGGGAAACACTTCGGCAGGTTGAATATTCTCACAAGGTATTTGGAGACATTGCATTATCTGATAAGTCTGCCATATTAGACACAACTCTGATCCAATCAGAATACAATTAATAGCAAGTTGACTGTTTCCGTAGCTTCCTAAGCCTTTGCAAGATCTCGACTTTCCGCAACTCCAAGAACAAATCCTCTTCGTCTGCATCATCCAAATCACCCAATACACTCCCCAGTGCCGTCTGTACGGGTGGAGGTCGGACTTCGATCTCCTTGACCGAGATACGAGCTCCCCCTTGGTAGCTGTGTTGTAGGTAGAGGTCTTGACCACCTCAGAGATTAAGAAATGATTCGAGGTTTGTGTGGCCTTGGGTGAAGGGAGATCATCGTTCTTCAATGGTACATAGGTCTCGTTGGTCACGCCAACAACTTCTTCTTGCTCGGTGCTCTTTGATCCCACCCAGCCTCTACTCATTTGCACGGCCTTTTCCCATTGTCCGAATTGGGTATCGCTCTCTTGTCGCGAGACCTGGGGCTCGAAGACAGCCCCACCGGAACGATTGATATCGCGTAGTTCGGCAAAGTTACGCCAAAGGCCAACAGCAAGGCCGGCTGCGATTGCTGCACCGAGAGCTGTAGTCTCTCGCATCTTGGGGCGGTAGACAGGAATGGATATCAGATCTGCTTGGGTCTACATTCGCGATAAGAATAATTCTTGTACACTCATCGATGTAGAGGAAATCATAATATCTTACCTGCATCGCCAAGTCTGAGTTACTCATACCCCCATCTACTGCCAGTTCGGAGAGTGTGTGGCCGCTGTCTTTCTCCATTGCGTCTAGAATTGCTTTGGTTTGGAAGCAGGTTGCCTCTAGGGTAGCGCGAGCGATGTGGCCCTTCTGGGTGTACTGGGTAATACCGACTGCGTACACTGTCAGATTAAATATACTAATAGCCAGGCATCGAGAGACTCACAGATTGTTCCTTTCGCGTCATCAATCCAATAAGGCGCAAACAGTCCACTGAAGGCAGTGACAAACACACATCCACCATTGTCGTCCACCGAGTAAGCAACGTCGTTGACCTCCTTAGACTCCTGGAAGAAATTCAAGTTGTTCTGCAAGAATTTGATCCCAGATCCAGCAACAGCGATGCTCCCCTCAAGGGCATAGATAGGCTTCCCACCAAAGTGGTAGGCAACCGTAGCCAGCAATCCATGTGTCGACAGCACCGGTTTGTCGCCAACATTGTACAAAAGAAAGCATCCAGTGCCATAAGTATTCTTTGCCATTCCAGGTGAGAACCCTTTCTGCCCAACCAAGGCCGCAGACTGGTCTCCCAGACAGCCCATAATCGGAATCCCTGCCAAGGCCCCAGAAGCAACGACTCCATACGCCGTTGCATCAGATGAGGGCACAATCCTAGGCAGGTGAATCTTGCCTCTGATCCCAAAGAAGTCCAGAAGCGTCTCATCATACTGCAACGTCTCCAGGTTCACAAACATGGTCCGCGAAGCGTTTGTCGAATCCGAGACAAAGACGTTGGCAGCCACGCCACCGTTCAAACGGTAGACTAGCCAAGCATCGACGGTACCAAACGCCAGTGTGCCGCGTTCAAATGCATCCTTCACTCTTGGGACATGCGCTAACATCCAGAGTAGCTTTGTAGCGGACGAGTAGGTTGACAACGGCAAACCGCAGAGTGTCTGGAGCTGCGCTGCCCCTGCTTTTTGTTTGAGTTCCGCGACAATTGCCTGAGACCGTGTGTCCGTCCATACAATGGCATTGTATAAGGGTTCGCCGGTTTCATGGTCCCAGACTATGGTTGTTTCGCGCTGGTTTGTTATTCCGATGCTTTTAATGTTGCCTCGACTATGGCCTTTCGCTTCGAACTTCTGGACAGCTTCTTCGATGCAGGTTTCTACTGAGGTTACAATTTCGAGGGGGTCGTGTTCGTGCCAGCTGGGGGATGGTTAATATCAGATCCAAGGTAGACTTATGGTCTAGCTATTGGATCGGAGTGGGACTTACCCCGGATTTGGGTAGATTTGACTGAACTCGACTTGATGGGATGCTACTGGCTCACCCTCGCGGTTGAAAACTAAGAATCTCGTGCTCGTCGTGCCCTGGTCGATTGACCCCACAAAGGTGTCTGCGGGCTGCATGATTGTAGAGTGTAGAGGAATTCAGGAACAGAAACCGTCTATTTCAGTGAAAGTTGAAGGAATACAATAAAGGAAAACCCCCAAGATACAACAGGGGGCGACATAAGTCAAGTCATCGTCCACGGGTACATAAGATCTCAGTCACACGGGGGAGAGGGGAAAGAGAAGGGATTGGTGGGATTACCCCTGGTCAGACGTGAGAAAGGTGACGGGCTAAGCGACATAGATTATGTATTGGCATGTATTGGCGCTTCGTATACTGGAGTTGAACTTGGAATTAGAATGGTCTTAGTCAAGTGTCAATGCCCTCGGGAAAACATATCCTCGGATGATCGTTCTCATCCCGACTTTCCCCCTAACCCCTGTCAGCGTGACTTTCCTGCATACTGTGGAGAGAGATCAGCAGATGATGGACGACTCGGCTCATTTGACGAAGTGCCAGATCCAATTTGGTGGGGAATCGTGCATTGACTCGGTCTTATTCTATTGTCATATAGCAGCAGGACAGCCATTTGCCAAAAGATATGGCCCGGATGACCCAAATTGGAACTGTCTGACTCAAAATTGCAATTCTTTCAGCAATTCTACACTGGCCTTTTTGTGACTTTGAACCACTGGAGGACAAGACCTCATTTTTACCACACACACAGAGTCAAATCCGAACACCCCCGGTCGTGGTGATGCCACCTCCAAGCAGATAGTCACACAGCCAGCGGTCAATTGTGCCACTACCGATGAAAACCGAGAGCGACAACATACTACCCTCGGCGTCATGGGAACCAATCTCTTTCCGCTACTTTCGCCTCCCTTTGAAGACTGCCGCCTCTGCCAAGATGACACAATTTGGACTTTCCAGAAAATTGCAATTGGGCCTGCCTAAGGTCTGGCACCCGAGTTGGCGATGAGTAACAGAAGACATAGAAGCTTCTCCTTTTGGTCTGAGCAGTCATGGCAAATACCGGTAAGTGGGAACTATACACAACATTGCGGTGTCCAAAAATTACCTAAAGGAGCGGAAACAACCCACCCGGGATCGGACAGTGACTTCCGGCTACCCAGGCCAAACGGTCATTCCTACAAACGACCCCTGAAATGAACTATCGGAGATGCGCTGTCACAAAAAGTCTGCTCTGTGGGGAAAAGAAACAAAACAAAAACCGGTAACAAAAAGGACAATGACCGGCCTAACCAGTTCAATCAAAATGATATGTGCACTTGATGATTCCGAGTCTGTCCGGATTTGACTTCAGCTGGTAGTTTCCCTGCAAGCTTGCACGCCCTCTGGAGCTCTGGAGCTTGGGACAAGGAGGACAAAACTCACAGACACACACTATCCCCCAGGACAAGTCCCTGCATCAGCCAATAGAACCACCGTCTTGTACGAGAGACAACCCAGCTTGAGTGCAAAAGGACCGGTTACACGGTAGTCCCTGGTTCTACGCCGTTGATATACCGGACTACTACATTCTTTTGGTGCTGTTGAGGAGTTTCCCCCGACTGGTCGTACTATATCAACTCGAAGCCCCAACCCTGGCTCCCAGAGGTTGGGATCTCCTTTCGATGGCTACCTGGAAAGAGCTTGAGCTTGATTCAATGTCAAAAGTCCCCCGTGAGATTCTTTCCTCTACAAGTCATGACAGTGGTTGTGGCTCGCTGTGTCTGGCTGATAAGAACGAAACGGCTATCCATCATATCAACGCGGAAGTCGAAAGCCCTTATACTCGCCCCCTGCTCTGGTTCAAAGTGAGGGAGTACTGTCGTGATGCGTTCTCAGAGTTCTTTGGGACGATGATTCTGATTTTATTTGGAGACGGAGTCGTTGCTCAGGTGCTACTCAGTCATGGCGAGAAGGGGGATTATCAATCTATCTCTTGGGGATGGGGGTAAGGCTCTTTGTTTTCTGTCATCTCTTCATGCTCTCTTCTAACCAATTCTTATTCAACAGACTCGGTGTCATGCTCGGGGTATACGCCAGCGGGGCATCAGGAGGTCACATCAATCCCGCCGTGACATTTACAAATTGCGTCCTACGCGGGTTCCCTTGGCGCAAACTCCCCGTGTATGCACTATCCCAGACCCTTGGTGCAATGTGCGGCTCTGCCATTGTGTACGGCAACTACAAGTCAGCCATCAACATCTATGAGGGTGGGCCAAATATCCGCACAGTTCCCGGTTACTCGACGACAGCCACAGCCGGCATCTTCTGCACTTATCCAGCGGAATTCATGACAAAGACGGGGCAATTCTTCTCCGAGTTCCTTGCTAGTGCGGTGTTGATGTTCATGATATTCGCCCTGAAAGACAACGGCAATCTAGGTGCCGGGCAGCTGACGCCTTTGGCGCTTTTCTTCGTTATCTTTGGCATTGGCGCGTGCTTTGGATGGGAGACCGGATATGCTATCAACCTGGCACGGGATTTTGGGCCCCGGCTGACATCCTACATGATTGGATACGGGCATGAAGTATGGGCTGCAGGAGACTATTACTTCTGGGTACGTTCTACCTACATGACATGAATCAACCTTCTGCACTTTCTCAGCTTACCAATGCTTCTGCCTTAGGTCCCTATGGTTGCACCAATATTGGGTTGCACCTTCGGAGGATGGATCTACGATCTATTCCTGTATACTGGGATGGATAGTCCGATTAACACACCCTGGATGGGAATCAAGAGGCTGTTTGGACCCCTTAATCAAAGGCGAGTCGTACTGCAAAGTCCAGTCTGACAGAATCCCGCTCTTACGCGTTACATCACATGTAGGCGTGGAATGATGATCCCTGCACTGGACTTGTTCTATTTTATCTTATTCATGATCTGTTAATGACAGTGTAAAAAAGGGTGGAACTTAGCTACGGTCGTTATGATTTGTATTTTGCACTTTTAGCCAGTTTCTGCAGCATTCCTTTTTAGCGTTGCGCAATCTACTTTCGCAATTCCAGCATTACTAGTGATTTAATCTTTTTTTCCCTGTTTGAACGATGTGCTTTGATCAGTATCGAGTACATGTATGGGCCGGCCGTATCTATCGGTCATGGGGTCTATAGGTAACCTCCGAGATTCATACCTCAGGATTCATGCACGATGACTGTTATATGTTTATTCCTTTATTCACAAGAAATTCATCCAATCCATGTGTCATGTCTATCTATCTGGGCTGCATGATTCCAGAAGAAAGCACAGCAGCTGCAGCTGCTGTGCTTTCCAACTGGCACATGATTGTTGTAATCATATTGAGCTTCTGAAGAAATAATATCAAAGATAGTGGGTTGTAATTTGCAATATACAATATTCATTTTTATACATCGTAGCTAAGCTAGTTATCAGAGACCTACAGGATGCTGAGGCCTTGCCCTAAACAGTAGGGCCTTGCTTCTTCCAGGAGTACTCTTCTCCTACTTTCCTTCCTATCGAATTCATATCTCCTGTGCTACTTCAATTACACTTTCTCTAAGCTTGTATCAGGTAGAGAGACCTAGTAAGCACATGGTAGTCCACTTGCTGTGAAGGCGAACGACGCAGAACCCATTTGCCTCTATCCGCATTATTATGCACTTACATCTGACGACTTATAGGCATCTGCATTTTCGTCGCAATGACTGACGCTAGCCCAAAGCCTCCTCTTGACCTTCTTGACCATCGCCGCGATCTTTTTATAGACCCACTGTTATGCATATATTGTCACCTCGACCTAGTGTGTTGTCAATTTGAAGATACCGACATTGCCAGCAGAGAACCCACAAGGGACCGAATTATGACTGAGCTGGCGGCCCATACCATCCTGTGCTTCTCCAAAACCTCAGTCATGTCTGAGGACCCAAATGATGTCAAGTACATTGATCCCGTCAGACTTTGATTTGTCCACGCCAGCAACATGTAGCTGGGTTGATTCAACACCAGATGTACTATGGCCAGAAGGATCAGTAATTGATAGGACAACTGGGACAATATCTTGAGACGCAATATTGGCCCTCACTTAGCTTCTTTCCAGAGTGCTTTCCTGACACTCGAAGAACCGATTTCAGCAACCTCTATCCTAAGCCTCACCGAGTCTATGGTTACTGGAGAAACTAACATCAAACATAAAAAAAGAAAAGCTTGGATCAGACCTCAGATTAGACCATAGGTATCACAAGAAAGCTGATCCACTGGAAGGTAGAATTCCCATAATGTTGACAGCTTCTGTTCTCAGTATTTCGTCAGCATAGCGGTCCAATCAGCCCCGTTTTCCAACAGCATATGCTGCACAGCAGGAGAAGCATATTTCCAAGCATAGTAAAGTGGTGTTTGTCTCTCTCCATCCATAGCATTCACATCCGCGCCCCAACGTATAAGACATCTCACTATCTCTTCTGAGGTGCCTGAATCATCTTCTTTCCGGCAATATGCTGCAACATGCAGTGAACTAGACCTCTGTGGAAACACAGGAGTCAGTGTCGATATATCACTGCCGTCGCAACCCCCAATGGCCGGATGTTGTCGGCGTATAGGGGGACGTAGACTGGCACGTATAGGGGGACGGATTTCGCAGCAGTGAATGGCGTGATGCAAAACAGTATACCCCTCAGGGGTCCTTTCATTGAGATCAAATCCACGTCCAAGAAGCAGCTCCAGTATGTCGCACTTCTTAGAAATTACAGCGCGCATTACAGATGCGAGACTAACCCGAGCTCCATGGTCTAGAAGCAGGCGGACCGTCTCGAGAGTGCATCGACTTGCAGCCAATTTCAACATGCTCGCATGAAGATTTGCTCCACGTCTAAGAAGCAAATCGACTGTTTCGAGGGTTCCTTTTTCAAGTGCTTCACGTATCAATCCCCCCCTGTCATCATCAGCCAAGGCAATGTCCGCTCCATGATCAAGAAGGACCTCCACCAAAGATGCATAGTTTGGCTTTCTGCGCACTGCCCAAAGCAACGGAGAGACTCCGTGGACTTGAGCATTTACATCGACACCGAATTGCATGAGAAGTTTCAACATCGGCATTTGGCCGGAAGCCACTGCACAGTTAATCAACCCTCCGAATAACAGGTTAGATCCTTCTGTCTGAGCCCCTGATTCAAGAAGTAGCCTGAGGGTACTCTCATGACCCGCAAGAAGAGCTCTGACCGCGGGATACATTCGTCCTGCCCAGCGTTTTTCTTCTTTGACGACGTCGTTTAATTGAGCTCCGTGATCTAGGAGCAGCTTTACTATAGCATCATGTCCACCGTTCGCGGCTATGCTCAGGGGTGTCTGTCTTGGGGTCATAGGTAGAACCTCAGGTACAACCCTAATTATAACCCTAGGTGGAAGCCCAGAGTGTCTACCAGGTGGAAGCACAGGTGGAAAGCAGTTTTTTGCTTCCCGTCTTCGAGACTCGGACATGGGCTGGACATCCACGTAGGCCCCCCAGTAAAGAAAATGTCGAACGCCTCTTTCATTCCCATCGGTAGCACATTTGAATAAACCTTCTCCTTTGGAGAACTTCACATTTTGCTGATAGAGACAGGGAAGAAGAAGGTCGTATAGGCGATGGTTCACCTGTAGTAGGTGTGAGAGGTCTTCATCGGATTTCAATATCGTACTTATCAGGAGTAACAACTCATTGGGTAATTCAAGTAAAGAAATCATAGGATCGAAAAGTACTGTGGAATAAGAAAGCCTAGTCCTTTCTTTCAAATCAATGATATGTTGGATTCAAAGGAAACCGCACTAGGTAGCTAGCGTATGTGTGTATGTGTCATCCATGCTCCGTAGGTGTGTCAACTGGTCAGTCAGAATATGTGAAATAGTTGGGGTGCTTAGTACAAATTCGAGACAAAAAATGCCACGGGCTAAGATGTTTGGTGGAGGGCGATCAGAAGGGATCTTGATCATGGATAGGAGGCTACAGATTTGGAGTCAATTGGATTCGATTATTGATTCGACTTCCGATATCAGGTAATGTGATGGATTTGAAGAAGCATCCTCGACTTGTAAAGTCTCCAAGGCATTCCAGCTCCCAAGCGGAAGGGTGTTGAACCAGCTTCATACGCTTGCACCTGGGCAAGGTCTACAAATAGTGCTACAAAGTAGGTAACTCTACGTCCAAAATACATGCACAATTGAGAAGCAATATCAATGCTGGTATGAATATGATACTGATACATAGGCATAGTGAAGGCATGCAATGAACATGACACGTATCTCACATAAATAGAAACAGAAGATCCAAGTCAGCTAGCTAGCAAGGCTAAGAGAAAGAGCACCTCGAACAAAAAATCTAATGCACACCATTACCGCTTGCCCTTCTTGCGGGGAGCGACAACCTTGAACGCAGAGCTGGCAGCCTCTTCCTCGCGCTGAGCAGCAGCCGCAACGGTAGCAGCAGATCCCTTCTTGGCAACCTCACTCCAGCCACCGCCACTCTTCTGCTCACCGAAAGCACTGGGTGAGACTGGGTCGACAATGCCCTTGTCGGCAAGCTTGCGGCGGCGGATGAATTCCTCCGCGAAGCGGCGTCCGTCCAGAGTTTGGGAGTTGGCGTAGACGGAATCAGAGATAATTTCAGCCTCGGCGGGCAGGAAGAGCAATTGCTGAACGAAATCGTCGACTGGAGATAACATGTTAACATGGAGAAGGTGTGGATTAGATAAAGATGAAACTCACCATTGATGCTGCTGTTCAACCCCTTACTCAGAGCCAAAGTAGCCCACTTGGTGAACTCCTCGACGGCCTGGTTGGGGTTAGACTGAGAGATGCTGCTGCTTGCAGCACTACGGGTAGTGGTCACAGCTGCAGGACGGGGCTTAGCGATAAGAGGCGAGATTGGGACTGTTCCGCTCGCTGTGCGGGGTCCGAGGGGCGGCGCAGTTGGCACACCCTTGACCTTACCACTAGCACCGACAGTGGTCCAGGCACTGGAGCCCTGGCCAGCGGGAGAAGTAGGGGCAGGGCCCTTACTAGCAAGATCGGCGTAACGCTTGCCGACAGAGGAGGGAATGGGGGGGCTTGGGGTCGCAGCCATGGCAGCGGCGGCGGCAGCAGCTGCGCGGTTCTTGCGGGCCTCCTCTTCTTTCTGGATCTGGGCGAGGGTCTTCTTAGCGGTAGTGGCGGTTGGCGCGGGCTGGGCCTTGGTGGCCCAAGGGGAGCCAGCCGAGGCAGGTGTGGCCGGAGATCCAGCGCTAGCCCAATTAGCCGACGAGGGAAGGCCAGGGGCTGCCTGTGCCTGCACTTGGCTGAGACGCTCTTGCTCCGCAAGGAACTGGGCACGACGTGCTGCAGCGGCGACTTCCTCGCGTTGGGCGGCAGTACGAGCCTCGGCTTCCTGAATCTCCTTGAGAGAGGGACCCTTGGGCAAGTCATTTGCCTCCTTGGCCCATGGTGCCACAGAGGTAGGCGCAGCGTCAACGGGAGTCTGTGTCTGGGACCGGGACCCAGTGGCCAGAGACTCGGCGACGTTTTGGCGGTTACGCTGGGCGGTAGGTGCAGGGAGCGGCGAGGCGGAGGGTGGGGGAGGGAAAGGCTGGGGCATGGCGTGGTCGACCTTACTTCCCCAGGCGGACTCGGGAGGGCCATGGCTATGGTCATGTTCCTGCTGCTGGCGTTGAGCAGAAGCAGCCTTGTGAACTTGCTGAGAAAGAGTAAGAGGCTCAGAGCCGGTAACAGAGTCGGTCAGCTGTTGGGCTGCCTCCTCCATCTCGGCCGCAACCTCTGCTTCAAGTTGCTGAGATACAGCGGCAGGGTGGGTCGGCAGGCCCTCGGCAGTGCGCATGCCCATCTCGCCTTCCTGGGCCCGAAGAGCATGGAACTGGCGAAGACGCTCCTCGCGAGCGTGCTGATCAAATGGATCATCTTCGTGGGCCTTGTCGAAGTCTTCCTGCTCTTGCTGAAGCTGAGCACGATCCTGAAGCATCTGAGTAACCTGCTGGGACTGCAAGAAGTTGTCGGGCTGGCGGCCAGAGAATGAGCCAGCATTACCAAAGGCAAATGGATCCTGGCGGCCGACATTGAGGCGATCAAGTAAAGTGGGGAGTTGATCCTGGCTGCCGAAATCCGTTCCCAGCATTCCAGGTCCCACGTTCAAACCACCCTGTCTCGGTGCAACGCCATCGAAGAATCCAGGGACACCTTGGGACTGTTGCATGGGCGCCTGAATCGGGGACGGCTGGTAGCCAACAGGTGAAGTGATGCTTGAGAAGCTAGGCTGGCTTTGAAGGCTGTGTGCGCTAGACTGGTGCTGCAGCGGAGGGTTCATAGAAGATGAAGGAGCACCAGGAGGGGCCATCTGCTTCATGATGGCCTGCTGCTGAGCCAAGTGCTCCTTCTGCCGAGCCATCAGGTACTGTTCTTCCTGCTTACGGCGTTCAAGCGCATTCTGCTGTTCGGCTGTCAAGGTAGTGCCGAAGCTTGGGAAACTACCCGGGAAAGGAGGCTGCGCAGATCCGGCAGTTGTGTTGGTCCACTGGGCAACGGCCGGTTCTGGGCCATGAGGAAGGCCAATCTGGGGCACAAGGAACGGCTCGCGTGAGTTCCCAATGCGTCTCACTAGCTGAGCTAATGGCTCGAATTCAGTATCCTCAAGCTTCTTGATTTGCAAGTCTGGGCTGAAGAACCCGGCCTTGAACCAATCATGCATCTCCAGCCCAGTCCACGGGCCCTGGATATTGCCTTGGGGATCCCGGTAGATCCAGCGCATCCTATCCGGCATAACCATGGTACGCTGCTGGGAAGCAGGGATGCCTGCACCAGGAGTTTGACTAGAAGGAATGTCATGACCAGCCAGGTTGGGAATAGACCCAACGGCCGAAACGGGTGTCTGCGAAGCAGGCGTTGAGCCAGGGTGGCTTGCCTGGCCCGCTTTGTCGCCTTGCGAAGGGTCGAGTCCATCCAGGCCGACAGAGTCGGGCCTTCCTTGCTCGTCCTGCATGGAAGAGAAGAGAGCACCGAGCTTGCTTGATCGGCCGATGCTTCCAGTGCCAGTTATACCGGCGTGGGGGCTAAATAGGCCACCTCCACCAAGGGTTGACAAGTTTGGAGACTGAAGATCGCCCATAGAGCCAAATATGGGGTCACCGAATCCGCCACCAAATGCAGAACGCTCACGAGTGGGCGTGCCGACGGCAGCACCAGATGACCAAGTGGAGGCTCCACCCAAGGAAGACAGGCCACCCAAACCACCGAGGCCGGAGAAAGTGCGGTTAGCGTTGACACTTGAGTTCTGGCTGCGGTCCACGGTAGGAAGATCAATTCCAGAGCCAACCCGTCTCATCGAGCCGAAGGCGTTAGAGGTATCCCGAAGTCCACTGACTCCAGGATGCTGGGCCTGCTGAATATCCGATCCGTCAGTGTCGACATCTTCGGGTTCCACACGTTCGCCATGGCGGTCACCATGCGGGCTCTGGTACGGATTGGTGTTGGTTGGACTGGTCGGCTCGTGTCCCTGGAGCAGGCTGGGAGTTGGATTCCGGGAGTTCTCCTGGCTTTGCATCAGCTCCCGGAATCCAGGAATGCTCGAGGTCATTCCAAATGCACCAAACCCGAGATCAGGTTGAGCGGGACCTTCAACATCCTGAGACCCACCAAGAGCGGCGCTACCACTGCGAGGCTCGTCGAACGGATTAGTTTCGCTTCGGTTGACACGAGTTTTGACGGAATCCCCCCAGGGCGATTGTGAACGTCCATCACCTTCGTTTTCGGCAAGACGTTCAAGGTTGCCCATAGGCTTTTCCTTAGCGGAGCCGGCCATATCTTCGGAGCTATCCTTGGACAACAACCCCTTGAACCTGCTTTCTCCGCGGAGACTTCCGTATCCCGGTTTCTTCTCAGCCGTGGGAGTACCGGAGGCGGAACCAGAACCAAGGGAAAAGGCACCAAAAGCACCCATCGGAGAGAAATTGGCATTATGGGAGGCTGAACCCCAGGGAGAGTTCGGTCCACTAACGCCCGTATTGATGGGGTTGGTGGAGCTGCGCTTTAGGGTGCCAAAGGGAGAAGCAGGATCCTCCCTGCTATCCTTGGCCTTCTCATCCACCTTCAGATTAGGTTCTCGGAAATCGGTTTTGCGACGCAACAGGGCCGGTGGGGGTGTAGAGGTATTGGCCTCATCGCGGAAAAATCGAGAGTTGGAACCGGTAGGAGACATGGGATTACCAATAGATTCTCCCGTTTCCCGGCGTCGGGGACCTGGGCGACCGGCGGTTGGGGAGGAGGTGGTGTAGTTATTGATATGGCCCTGAGGATAGGAGATCGATGACTTGCGGCCTCCAGTTCCCGGGATGACATTTTCCTTCGCGGCGTTTGTTGGGGGTGGCTTCAGAGGGGAGTTGACTGAAGCGGCGAACATCTATGAACCTTTTAGTAAAAGCACTCACCCAGGCCCGAAAGCACAACAAAACACAAACCTCTCTCTCGTCTTCCGTCATACCAGTGATTCCGAGAGGCTCGACCTGGCCGCCATGATCCCAGCAAACTTCAGGCCCCGCGGAGTTGTTCTTGTGGTCATCCCGCTTCCCCCAAGCTCCATTCACTGGGGCTGAGACAGTGTGAGGATCCCAGTCGGCCACGAAGTATTCCTCCACATTCTTACTCAAGGTTCCCTCCTCCCGCTGCGATTTATACAACTCTAGAAGTTGATCCTTGGAGTACCGGGCGTCCCCATTCCGTGCAATGCTAGAAGTATTTGAGCTCAGGTGTGGGGGGATATACGCGCCGCCGGCCGTGGTTGTCGAGACAGATGCAGGCTGGCTACCATCCCGGTGTTGAGATGGGGTAGTCGCAACAGAAGGACGGCGGAAGGTCTGCGTAGCTCCATTCATGCGGTTTCGAGACCTAGTAGGTATCGAAGGTTAGCATCGGATATCTGGAGCTTAGAGCATTGACGGTCACGACAGCAAACAACGATATTGAACCGACTCTGTTAAGCAACAGCTAATGGAGGGGTTTCAAGAAGGTGAAACAATAGGTGCATACCATTCTCCGCTAGTCGAACCATCCCCCCTCCGGCTGGGGTCATGGGTGTTGCCGGCAGCGGCCGAAGCGAAACTCGATGGAAGTGGTGTAGGCATTGTGGTAAAGAGGCTTGTACGGTCGGATGTTGATCCCCCACGTAAAAACCGATCCTGAGATAATTATCGCGAAACCTGTGGCGGGCTTGCAAGAGAATGTGTGATGCGAACGGAATAGGTCGCAGGACACGAGATTGGAAAATTGGGTTGAGTTGGAGGATGACAGCTAGGAGCTAGTCAATCGAAGAAGTGGAGAGCTGTAAGAGAGGTAATGCAGATATGCGAGCGCCAGACTAACAAGGTCGAGAAAGAGAGAGATCGAGTTTCGATTTCGCTTGGGAAGTTTCCTGGAGCAAAAATGATTAAGCGGTGGCCGTGGCAATACGCGTGCCTTGCGGTAAATACCCGGTATGGGACTCATAGTGGTCGCGTGATTTGCCGCCTAAGAGAGATGATTACAGCGCATTTGTTGGAATCACAATTACATACCGCCAAGAGCAGGTATCCGATACACGCACAACACTGTGTCTTCATACTCTGCCCAATGTACCTGATACCTTGCTTTACACCGTTCTGCCCAACTTTGTGTAGCATAAACAAGAGACGGTGTATAAAAGATGTGAAGAGAGTCTCCAAATAATCTACACGAGCTTTGACTCAGACTTTTACTCTTTTGTCAACTTTGAAGACCAGAGATAGCAAATACGTATGCAGTTAGGTGGCTTGACGCAAGCAGAGATTTGTGGAAACAACAGGATAGACCTGTATTCCCCACAATAACCACGCTCCCCTTTTGATTGGGTGTTCATCTGCTTTCAAGCAGTTCACCTTGTAAGTTAGGGATTGGATTGGGCTTCTTAGAACAAAGGAGAGCACCTACTCCATAGACGTTCCACAGATGCAAAGGGGGTTGAAATACATCTACCTTTTGTTGCCCAACCTCTACAATGCTGGGCAAACATGTGTCTTAAAAAGATAGATTCAACGGTCTTAATATCTTGAGATTTGGGCTGGAATCCGGTTGGGTTAAGAATCCCATTATCTGCTGTCCCTGTGGATAGGGCTGGATCATTGTATTGCCCTTTGACCTCTACTTTCCCCCTGTTTGCCCTTTGACTTGATTCATTATACAACTACAATGCTTTCTGAGGTTTGCTCGCTCTAAAAGTGTAACACAGAGACAACATCAAACGACACAATGAACGGTTCAGCCCAAATTGATATGATGGGCTCAGTCTTGGAGCTTCACGGATGTCATCAAGACTCTATAAAAGCGACATTCCCTTCGCCGGCAATTTCCTCTTTACATTCCTTTTGCTTCAAGACAATTCAGTCAAGTTTCTCTGAGCTATAGACTTTCTTGCATAACAAAGCTCCTTCTCTCTCTCTCGTGGCTTCCGATATCCAAGTTCATATCGTCTTTGATCAAAGAAGATGAGGCGGTCCAGAGTCACTGGTCAATCTAAATCCAACGATACAGATTTTGGCTGGTACTTCGCTGGCGAGCCAATGGAGAAGAGACGCTCTCGAGGCGGCCGAATCAGGCTAGTTCGCTACGGACCTGAGAGGGAGATTTGTGCCCACAGTCGATGCCCGTCGCCATCTCCCAGTCCAGAAAAGGCACCTTGCTCCTGCAGCAATAGATGCGAGGCTCACCCTCACGGGACACGCTCCCCATCCCCCAGCAACACCGACTCATCTCTTTATGAGATCATACAATGTTGCGGAGGATGCCATGCTATCAGACGCGAGCGCGAGTTCTCTCCGCAGGTGGAGAAAGTAATTTGCACCTGCAAGTATCGGTGTGAATGTCATTCGCACGAATCACGTCCTATTACGCCCAGCAGCAGTGAACATTCGAGCTCTGAATCAACCACAAAACGCTACGGTAGCCGTCACTCAATGAGACGCGAGCGTCGCTCCAACAATACACGTCCTACCACGCCAAACAGCAGTGATTTTTCAGACTACGATCCTCCCAGAAGACGCCGCAGCGGTCGCCGCATCCCCCAGCGCGAACCAGAGCATCATCCTCAGGTGGAGAAATGCCAATGCGAGGTCCACGCATCCCCTCTCACTACACCTGTCATAGCAGATCAGAGGTACAACTCCCCGCGTGCGTCATTCACGACAGCACCACGCCCCAGCCCAGTAGTCCACTACTACCATTGTCCCAAGGCGTCTTATTGCGAAAGTCACCCGGAAAATTGCCGAGCTTCGATACCTGCACCGTCTCCGGTGCCGAGACTGACGCGAACTCCGACACGCTCCCCCGGTCGAGTGACAAGTCCCGTTACAGCTCGCAGGAAAAATCAGAGCCAAAATGCACTTGCAGAAGGTCTGCTTCTCCTCCAAAGCAAGTGCCTCCCCCAAAGCCCAGCGCCGTCCCCGAAGATTACATCACCCAGGCCTGATGTTCAGCATTGTACCTGTTTCTACATGGATGGGTACCATGCTGATGATTCTGGCTATTATGACGACACTGCTTCTGAGACCTCTATTCAAGCCATGCATGACCATGATAGGGATGTGGACGAGTCGTTTTGTGTTTACCATCACCGCTGTCGTCCGAGATTCGAGTGTGGTCTCGGCTGGGTGTGCGGGAGGAAATAAACAAGGCTTTCTGTATTCCACTTCAATGGAAGGACGACCCATGTTGCCTTCTTTTGCTGCTTTCTTTCTTTATTTTTCTCGCTATGCGACCTCTTGGGGCTGGGATGCCAATCCTATATATGGAGATTCTTGTCTGGAAGACTGTCTTTTCCGAGTCAGAGGTCCAGGAAAGCTCTTTGTTCTCTTTTTTTCGTCCGTCTAACTTGCGCTCTCGGGGGTATTGATTGGGATACTCGTTCAGCTCTAGCTTTATAGAAAAATTGATTTGATGTGATGAAACCTTCAAATCCGATGTTTCCTTTGGCACTATTGTCGTCTCTGCTTCAGGGGTCGAGGCGTGGGCCCCCTCAATTACGTGGTCAATAGCTTCATGACGATGGCATGAGTTTCATTGTCGCCTACAGAAAGATTATTGTAGCCATTTCATTTTCACTCCATTTTGCTTTCACTACTCATCTCAATTGAGATCATCAAAAAAACCCTTGTTTTAATTTGGAAGTAAGGTACAACACGAAAATCTCGTCTCCTCAAAGCGTTCCACAAACAAAGGCACAGAAAACCAGTCGTCAAGGTGCTCACTTCTCATCCTCATCATCGCTGGCACCCTTAGCCTCCTCGGGGTCATCCACACCCTCCATGGTGGTATCGACAGGTGCAGGTACAGAGGTAGAGACAGAGGCAGGGACAGAGGTGGAGTCAGTGGCAGAAATGGCAGTATCCGCAGCAGCGTCAGCGGCAGTCTTGTTTTCGTTTGCCTTTTTCTCGAAGGCCTCGAGTCGGGTCTTGAGTCGGGTCCATCGCATGCGAGCGGCACCAACATTGAGGTTAAGGTCCTCAGCTAGAGCAGTGAGGCTGATCTACCATTAATGTAAGCTCAATATGCTGTGCAATCTATAGAACTGAGGGCGGGGTGATATTACTTCCTTGTTGGTCAGCTTAAAAGCCTTCCAGATGAGCATCGTGTCTTCATCTTTGAAGTTACAGGTGGTAGCCTGGGGCTTGCGAACGGCAGAGCGAGCCTTGGTGTCAGTCCTTTTTGGCGCCATTGTTGGTGGGATAACTGCAAGTTGATAGAGAAAGTTGATAAACAGTTGATAGGTTATTTTGGTTTGATCAAAGCAGTCAACGGGATGGAAGTGGTAAGAGAGAAGAGGAAAGAAGAGAGGACGAAGAGAGGAACAAACGGCTGTGTTCTTATAGAGGTTGCTGAGTCGTTGCATCGCTGATGTCGTCGCTAAGTGTTGCCGCTAAGTCGTTGCGTTTGATCTCCTACCATATATACGAGTCACCAGTCCCATTCCCGCCTCTAATATTGCGCATCCGATGAGTCGCTGTCTATGAGCTGCTAAGCCAAAGAGTATAAAGTAATCTATAAGCTAGTATCTCATGGTCCAATATCCCTTTTCACCTAACAAAGAATGCTTATTATCAACTAGGGTCATGCATAGTGTCGCTCGATACGCCTACCACAAACTTATCCGACTCACAGACTAGACCTGGACGTCAGCCTAGCTCATTCATATGATTGTGAATGCCTTCGTTTCTGGCCATAAAAAAAACACTGGGCACAGAAGCCACAAGGAGGATCTACTATATACGCGTGATCTTTTCGCAGTTTTGATCAATGGTTCTTGATATTCCGTTGCCGGCCATATCTTGTGCCCCGTACCTAATTCACAGAAGTATACTCAATTGAGAAAGGTTGAGCTTTCTACTCTCGCTGTGATGATTGGTTTGGGTTCCTGTTTATCAGCTGCGTTGAGTTGCTGTTTAAAGCTACAATATATATTCGCAAAGGTCACTATATATATTCAGTAGCGACAACCCAAACACCCCGTGCTTTCTAGCGATAGACGAACGTACTATATCTCGTTGTTTTCGTCATACGTTTGTTTCAGCTCGACTTTGGATTCTAAACTAACTCAGATAGTACAGCTGATTCGCAATGTCCATTGATAATCCAACATGTGGTCTCGGACATTCGGCCCCAGACGCGCAATTCGACCTGGGGGAACCTCGGCTATCGATTAGAATATCGATAAGCATTTAAACATCCCCGCACAAGCGTCCGGACTTTCAAGGTCAATTGATTTTGACTAACTTCATTCTTATATATATCTAAGATGTCTAAAGCAATTTACATATCCCCAATTGACGGCAAGCCTGGCAAGCCAGGCCAAGTCTACTACCCGCTCTCCCTACGCACTGTGCCCAAGCCTTCCCCGCAAGGGGGTGAGCTACTGGTGAAACTGACTGCTGCCGCGCTCAACCACCGCGACCTCTTCATCCGCCAACATCTCTACCCTGGCGTGTCCTTTGATGTGCCCTTGCTCGCCGACGGAGTTGGTCATGTTGTCGGTGCTGGCCCGAACGTCCCCAGTCCAGAAAAATGGCAAGGCAAGCGGGTGATCTTGAGCCCCGGTGCTGGCTGGAAGGATTCACCCGATGGACCGGAGGACCCCGCTGGACAACGGATTATGGGAGGCACCAAGGTTCTTGATAAGGGTACATTGCAGGAATATATTACTATTGATTACTCGGAGGTTGAGGAGGCCCCTGAGCATCTCTCTGATGCGGAGGCTGCAGCCCTGCCCTTGACAGGCTTGACGGGCTGGAGAGCTTTAATTACCAAGGCTGGTGAGAAAAACTCAGGGGATGGTGCTGCTGTCCTGGTTACTGGCATTGGTGGTGGTGTGGCTCTGATGGTACTGCGGTTTGCTGTTGCTAGAGGTGCACATGTCTTTGTGACGAGCTCGAGCCAAGAGAAGATTCAGAAGGCTATTGAACTGGGCGCGACCGGTGGTGTTAGCTATAAGGAAGATGGATGGGAAAAAAAGCTACTGAGTATGCTTCCAGCTGGGAAGAAGAACTTTGATGCCATCATTGATGGTGCCGGTGGTGATTCTATTGAGAAATCTGTCAAGTTGCTCAAGGTGAGTGCCACACCAGGACATACGCTCAATTATGGATGAAGTCGCTCACACTTCCAGGCCGGCGGCGTCCTCTCTGTCTATGGAATGACTGTGTCTCCTAAGATGCCATTTACGATGGCTGCAGTCCTTAAGAACATTGACGTTCGCGGTTCCACAATGGGCTCCCGGAAGGAGTTCAAGGAGATGGTTGAGTTCATCAATGCTAAGAAGATTCGCCCTATAGTGTCGCGAGTTCTGCAGACTGAGCTAGATGACCTGTCCGCAATTGACGGGCTATTTGAAGACATGAAAAAAGGCACACAGTTCGGCAAATTAGTGATTGAGTTTGGCAAGTCTTCGGGCAGTAAGCTGTGAACATATTCTTGTGACGATTCCCGAGGATTCACGGCGCCGGTATGGCCGTCTACATGTATACACCTGATACATGCCAATGGAGATATCCTGCAGCAACTGCGAGTGTTCTTCGTACCTTCCCCCTCGGCCGGCTCACTTCACCTATCACCACATCATGACCTCTATGCATTTGCAACATATCACCCCCATCATCTTTTATTAGAAATCCAACCGAGTAACCGAATCTCGAACCCGCTCATTGTATAACAAATTCTTCCTTTCATTTCCAGTTTCAACCCCATCATGAACTCCAAGAAGGACCGTATTCCCGCCCGACAAATCTCTCGCTCCGTTTCTCGTGAAATACGCCGCGTGCCTCGTGTGTCGGACTCCCTCCGTGTGTTAGAGGATTCGTGCGACGAAGGTAGTTTCGAGGTATTGCCACGCCGGGAAAATATCGACCCTATGAACTGGTCCTGTTGATACTGACAGTCAATATAGTCCTTTGATGCCACTCACTATGCACTTCAAACTCTCAACAAGCACATCGAACGAAGGCTCGCAAAGCTGCAAGCCAATACAATCCGCCTGAAGCGTGAACTGTGGCTGCTCCAGCGACACATCAAAGAGTTTCGCCATCCTCTTTTCGAGAACTGGGAAGCCGACATGCTCACCCGTCTTATCGAGGTTGCTCACGCCCATCAGCACAAGAAGCTACCGGGTGGCGTCGTGATCGGAGAATTCTCATTTGCCGAACGCGAAAATCTCAATCATGCATACAGCATCGCGGCAAAGGCAATCCGGATGCCGACTCTTCGTAAACTGGGTCTGTCGGAGAAGTATCATCAGGCTCTGCAACGGTACTCAGAGGTGGGTTATGACCGTGGTCTTGATTCCACGTACCTTGACCTAGTCTCCGTCTAACCTGGATCAGGTTGCTCCCTATCGAAGCCCAAATCCCTTCCAGACCGAGTTTGCATTCGCCAAATGGCTGATCGAGGTGCGGGACGACAGACCGGAACTGTATGGATTCTGGTCTAAGCTTTTCCCCGTCTGCTATGACCGCAGTGTCCAGGAGAGCGCCTCCATCTTCTAGGGGATTCTAAAGGATTGACCTCATCATTCTGCCCCGTCTCGTCTCGTCACGTCATGTCACGTTTTTTCTTTCCTTCCCTGTGGCTGTGAGCCAAGCATCCAAAGGGGATTGTTTTGTGGATATAATATTGCTTCGTCGTTTAGAGATATCCTCTTGCTAGAGGTTTGTGGGTCATCGCTCTGTGTTTTGGTCTCATTCTGCGGTGTGCGGTTTCACCGTGTCTCATCTCAGCTCTCCATGTAGGTACCAGGCCTATTATTATCTTTGACGTGTCAGAACGCAGTGCCTGTTTTTGGGTCATATTCTCTCAAATTCGCTTTAAGCGAGAACTAGCAGATAATGTTTCAGCTTCATTTTGACGGCTAACAATGCGTGTACATATATACGGAGTACATCCAGCCTATCTAGCAACATATTACCACCGTTGCATCAGATCATAAGCCACCTACCCACCACAGTTAGTATTCTCTGATCCAGAAACCACAGTCTAGATGTCAAACGGGTCAAGCCTTCTGATGTGGCTGGCACTTAGTCCCGTCCTTCTGGTCGGATGGCTGAACAATCCAACGGTCGAGCAGCAAACACTAAGCAATTTGCAATCATGCGATACACCCCACGTCCACGATCTCGAGAACCCTATATCATCCCGCATGCTGCATGACGCAGTTAATGAGTTAGTCAATATCATAGCAGTTACACCATAAAGTTTCCGCTCGCTAATAATAGCTCCTTTTTACGAGTACAATATAATAAGCTTGATACTAATTGCTAAGTGCGAACTAGAGAGTGAGACAACCCTAAGCGGTATATCTTTCCATCACTCCTTCAACGTGTATCCACTGGATTATATCCCAAAAAAGATGCCGCTAAAAAAGAACCCCAGGAATAGTAAATTTGCGCACCACATATCCATAATCCGCCAAAATCTACATTTCCATGGAGAACCTAACAACCTTGAAAGGGTACAGTAGCAGTGCGACCGAAAGAACGGATACATGTCTAAGCCTAGGTCGCCAAATGCCCTAAAATAAGCAAAAGTAAAAAAAAAAAAAATCCGACCAAAGAGCAAGACCCTTCGGAAGATAGCCGAGTCAGGTGAGTTGGGGCTGGTAGACCCTGAAAAACGATCCACGAGGGTTGCGCTGGTGCCTCGCCAAGAACTGTCCCCTGTAGGGCGCTTATGTATATCAGAATATATTTGAAGTCGTACATTGTATATATTTTGTACATGAATTTATGTTAGATAGACGGTACCGAGATAGACTAAGCAAAGGTCAGTGGTTTCTAAGCGCGGAAATACCGGTAAACTACCAGCCCAAAATGGTTGCTGCCTACCTTGGCATTACCGGAATAATGTGTTCATAACATCCACCTTTCGGCTGGGAAAGGAAAAAAGTGGATGGAATTTCTCCGGACACTAGACCACGTTGAAGTCATGAATCTGATTATAGTCGGGTCCGACATAACCTGACATAGGGTCCGATATTTGACCAGGAATCAGGGAGGCGAAGTTTGGGCGGAACTGCCAAAATGCGAAAAGGGAAATTTGTCGGGAATCATGGGTCCCGAAGACCCGTGAAATTTGATTTTCGATTCCGAGCTCCACTCCAGATATTCCTAGATATCAGTACGGAGTATGTATAAGTATATAGAGTCAACGTTCCATATAAATGACTATTAAAGGTTCTTTTCTTTAGCCTGAGGTTAAAGTTTGGGCTGACACCTTATACACCCCTAAATACGGAGCCTAGGTACGGAGTTTCGAGAACGTTTTATAGGTCCCACTACAGGTTTGGTAGAGTCAATCGCGGTTCCATCAACCTGAAACCATACTTTGACTTCGATGGTTTCGATCCGTGACTTGATTGGAGCGATCGCATTGATCGGTTTTGAATGTTGTTATGACCTGTGAAATAGTCGAAGGGTGTACGGACCACTTTTCCTGAGGTTGTCGTGATATATACTTTGGTTCACAACACCGATATGCAACATATATATTTACTTCTACGGTAATTCCGGACCCCATTTTTTGATCAAATTGACATAAAATAAGTTGAATCTGCTCTTATCTCCCACTTAATACTTAAATAGAATATCGCGATACCGAAAAGCTATGGTCCTTAGGTACCTATCTGATCCGAGATTACGCCCAAGCTTCTTATCCGAAATGGATCGTCATAAGGATCTGTTTCGCAGCCCCTGACTCGTCTAGACCACTCAAAGAATTCAAAGAGCTATACATTCCAAAAACGCGCGACTGTCTTCAGACTGCTAAAAAAATCCAACGTCGATATTGTTTCACCTATAGATATTTGGTACGGGGAGAGATAACAAAAAAAAAAAGCAAAACTCTAAAGACACGGGATCTCGCATCAAACCCACGAGAGCAGCTAAGATATACTACTAAAGCGCCCCAGATACTCTGTAAAGCTGGCTACCACACGGAGTAGATGCAGGGAAACGTGAAAGCAGTGGAGAACAACCAAGTCGGTGTAAGATCAACAGGGTTAGAGTTGGGGCGGTTTCTTCCCTGGTCGTGTTGAAGATATTCTACATCAAAGAACCTCTGAAAATGAATACAGGCTTCGCAATCCTTTTTATTCTCTCCACACTGAAACATACGAGCTCGACATAAGTGGCTTCGATTCAGATAGTGCGGGAAGAGACATGGCTGATCTCGTATGGAGACATCTATTTTAGCCAACCCTCTTTTCTCTTTCCCGTCTGAACGCAAAATTAGAACCGTGGCAAACCCCGATCTCAAAGGCAAAGGCAAGCCCTATTTGCTGCGGTCAGTTTTGATCGTAAGTCGATGCGATCACTTTTTTTTCACCACGGGTGTGTCATTGACACAGTATCAAGGCTACTACCGGAGAAGAGAGACAGTGCGGGCAAATACGGAGTACAGAGTACCGGTGGCAGCTTGGACCATACCATCCGAGGCGGCATAGCCCGCCAGCACTGTCAACTGTTCGATCCGTGGCTGAAACCGTTGACCTCTCACTGGAGCAGCTAAGTACCGTAGTGGAAGGTGTCGAACCCTATTAGCGTTCATTCCCCGGAAGCGCGGGCGGTATGGAGTACTCTGCTGCTAACGACTTTTCTCTTGAGCAGGAGCCAACGAAGGTTGAGGCTAGCACCGACGGTCCCCACCGGTGTATGATTTTGTATCCGTGAGTGGCCAGCGGGGATAGAGCTAACGAGAAGGAGTACACATATTCCGCCGCCATGGAAGGATCATCAACGAATGAGCCTGCTCAGCAGGTGACGATCTTTGTTGCAGGGGGACAAAAACAAGGAAAGCGCATCGAAGACATGCAGTTGATTCTAGGTCGTGATTTGCGGTTTTTTTTTTTCGATCACCCGTCCATCATGGAACGAGAGTGACACCCGATGTCACTCTACCACCCAAGTCCAAGGGTGCGATATACAACACCGACAGCAAGTCTAGATCCTTTCTCTTCGCTCGGTAAGATACTCGACACCGATTTTTCTCTCTTGAGAACAGACATGGATGTAAGTGAACAGCCGAGCAGTCCTGAAACCTAAAGCGGGTCCACCTCACATTCCTCCGACTGTGGTGCAGACAAAACCCTCATGTGGACAAGAGTTAGCCAGTGATCTTCCATCCACCATCGACACGGGGTTCCAAAACACCGAGGATCATTGCCGTTTGTCTCCCCCTTCACGAACAGAGCCAGGAGCCCGTGATACAAAATGTAAGGGTGGTGAACCAGGGCAAACAGAGAGAGAGAGAGCCGTCAGTGTCTCTGACGATGTTTCACACCGAGGGGTCTTGTTTCCCCATGATCCGCACCCCCATCTCATCCCACTATGCAGCAAGGTCTTTGCTCAATCTTCTCCTTGGAATTCTCCCTCGAAGGGATTGACGAGGAAAATCCCTACCCAATAATCCCAATAATCTTCCTCAACCCGTGCTCGATATGCACTTTTGTCCCCACATACGCAAGACAGGCACACACACATATACAGGCACGAGTGGTGAGATCACGTACATAATATTGACGGATACGGAGTAGATGTGCGGGCAATAGTTCGGTTGTACCTGCATATTTCAAATGTTTCCTAGAAAGGGTATGGGCCAAGCTAACCTGCAACCCTTTGAACCCGTCTGCAGACAAGGGAGATCGTGGATGCAAAGCATCTATGTCCGCGAGATAATTCCGAGTCTAAAATCAATAATTAATAATAGGCACGGGGGAAGGGGTTTTTTTTTTCAAGGTTCGCCAATAGGAAAATAAAGGATAGAAGCAGGAACCGGAGAGCCCGAAGCCCTAGTGGATGCTTACCCGTTTCGATAATATAATAATGGATATGCATGGAACCATCACCTGCCAATAGTAATGTCGAGTACGGTAATGACGGAGCAGGCTTCAAACAAGGTTGCAGGTCCGAAGCCCTGAGGATAGAGTGGTCCGCTTTTTTTTGAAGCTTGGATGTGATCCCTTGACGGATTGGAAACATGATTTGCTTGAAACAACTAGGAGACGGAGCTGATAAGGGGATTGGTCCTTGGAGTCAATATATTTTGATTTTTTTTGGACCTTTTTTTTCTTCGCGTTCCGCGATTTTTCCTCTTGGGGATTTTGTGGGGACTGACGTCCCTCCCGAAGAATAGCCGATTAGGAAATACAAACGCCGATTGGGGTTTCCTTGGGGAAATTCCGTTACAAACTCACCAGATTATCCATTGACTAGAAGTTCTACAGGGGGAGGATTTCAGATAGATTGGTCCCTTGGATGAGGTGCTCCTTGCTCTGACGTTGATATTTGGGGTGGTTGGGTGGGTGGTTGGGAAAGGGACATGAAAACACATGTGGATTTTCCATGTACGGGGTACAGACAGCACCAGTAGGTACCTAGGTAGGTAGGGGAATTAACTAACGAATAGCAAGGAAGGTAACAATTAATGTCTGAAGAACCCGTTTTGAACCCCATTTTAGCCCGTTTAGCCCGTTTTCACACCCGTTTTAGACGCGATCGCTGATCGGACTGAAGCTTCATGGACAGATTGCTGATCGCTCCACTGTCGTTTTGTATGGTTCCGATGGGCCCCATTACCGAAGTTTGGGAGACTCGGTATTCTCAATATCCAAAGTGTCCACTGCACATACCTCGGGAGGCCTTGAACGTGGCAAAATCGCGGAGTTGCATGTCTTATCGATAACGCGTAAGTTTTTCATCCCTTGAATCCCTCCATAGAGCTGCACGAAATCTTCGTGCATCCGAACCGTTATTATCTCCGACTTTGGCTTTAGCGTATCTCTATTTCTGTCTATTTCTGTCTCTTTCTCTAGGACTCAACAACGTCCCCATTGAGCGATCACCTTTCCAACAACGCTTCTGAATACCTAGAACCCTTGTATGACTCCATGGATGGAATTGGAAAAAATATCCATTGAAAATAATCCTGACGGACATTTTGGGATTCTACGTTCAACCTGCAGCTGCAGCTGCATTTGCATCTCTGTAACAATAACATGGTTGACGTTACGGAACTGCAGACCTTGACGCACTCGGGGGTAATTCGTTCTGTATGATCTCCTGCGCATTGATAATTTGCGCGATCTGGGGAGCCCATGGTCCGGGAGCCGTTGGAATGGGAATCCGGTACATGTCGTACATGAAGTACATGTAATTCCAAATGCTGGAGAGGTCTAAATATATATAGAATAAGGTGACAGTGCAGAGTACCCAAATGTCCAGCTGATAGTGGAACGGCCCTGTTACGAGGGAACACGGATGCTCGGGTTCACGAGACCCGATCGGGTCTAGAGGCACCGGACGACCAATCACAGCCTGGGACCCTTGCATAGTCAGGCCACCGAGTCACCTGAAAAATGCAAGGTGTGCTAAACATAGACCGAGGGTTTTTGGGAAAAAATCTTAGCTTGGGGGATTGGGGGACTTGATCTTCGGGGTTGGTCAGATGATGGTAAGCTTCATGGCTTCCCAAGGAAGCCCAAGAGCTTCGGGAAATATCTGGGGCATTCTCAACGAGGAAGACACATACATGCAGCCTCGTGTCGGGGAGATGTGAATTATCATATTGACCGGCATGACGACATATCATGCTTGATCCGAGGATCTATAGAGAGGGAAGGGTCCTCGTGTTCCTCTTTGGTTCGGATACCCAAGGGTCGGCGTAAGGAGATGCTTAAAGTCAACTCTCCATCTCAGGGAATCATTGGACTAGAAAATGCGAAAAAGGGTTCCGGATTCGAAGAAGATACCCGAAGGCTGCTGATGAGAAAAAAAATACAAAAAAAACATAACAGGGTTGTCGGTGAAGCTGATTGGCAGCGGATATAGTAAGAGAGCTCGGAGCGAGTACTTGTTATAGCCACAATCCCTGATTGGACCTTTGACATCCCAACCTTGGAAGGTTACAGACAATGAAAGTGGCTTAGTCAAGTGGGAAAAAAAAACATGAGGATATCCTACCTTCTATCAATTCATTGAAATTCGTTCTTTTTTTCTTTTTTCCCAGGTTGAATTGGTCCACTTTTATTTTTCTTCGGCGTAGACCAGATTGGTGTTTACCCCGAGCACTTCACACGTTCCTGCTTTCGATTAAGTTCCAAGGTTATAGCAGATTTATGTCAAAGATCATAGAAAATAGGTGGATCTCAGTCGGACAGCCCGGAAAGCATAAGTTCTGGTATCTCGGATACTAACATGGTAGAGACTCGAGAATACGTGTGAGAAGTTATACATAGACTCTAGTCCGATGCTCCGTACGACGTATACTCTAGTCCCATACATAGTCCCATACTCTCTCATACATACTAGTACATAGTCCCATAGGGTAATTTAATACTGCCAAGTTTTTTCTTGTGCATCCCCCACGGATTTCCCACTAGTCTACGAGAGAATGTTTATTATATTATTCAGAATTATGAATTACTGATTAAAAAAAAAAAAGAAAAATCGAAAATCGTAAATCGAAATAAACCCTTATACAGTTTAGGTGTGTACTTTGACTGCTAATAATAATCCCCCATATAATCATTACTCTTAACCCTTCTGGTCCCATCTTCCTTGCATCCCACTTTCCATCCCCCTTTGAAATTTATTATGACTGTCTAAGTCACACATTCGCTCACCACGTTCGCTACCGCTTACGAGAACCACGTTCGCTACGTTTCGGGGATTCATTAATATTTTATTCTTTTTTTCCGCCTTAAACCGACTTTTTATATCCCCCCAATTTGGATCTAAGGGTTATTGGCCCGTTTGCGCAATATCTCTGTAGATCCCGTTTGCTCCGCGGTCTCAGTCGAACTTCCAACGTTCAAGAAAAAAAAAAAGGATTCTCTGGTGTACTGGCCGCTATACTCCCCGACTGGAGATTGAAATTCATTCGCTTCGATTGTCTCGGCTAAAGACCACTTCCCAGAATTTCGCCTTTGGAAGGGTCTCAGAGTCATTAGGAAATATTGGATACCAGAAAGGAACTATTCAAGCAGATCCGTTCATCAGCTTAAGGTTAGTTATCGATGTGCCTCCCTTTGCCCACGGTCTCACTTGCGTCCCCTCGTGCCTTGCATACTTCCTATTTGGGATCTTGATCTTGGGTGTGATCTCCTTGCAGGGAATTTGTACTCTCTGGACTATACAGGAAATGACGATAATGTCAAATCCGTCGGATAGCTTCCCCGTCCCGCTATTGTCAAGTGTTTGTTGTTGACGATTGGACTCTTGTTCAGGTTTAACGACCCTCGGATCTTGCATATCTTGGAAGGTCAACAGCACCGGTCTCACATCAGAGCTTCTTTCTTTTTTACTTCACTTCAAATCATCTCGGTGAGTTCATTCCCCCTATTCACCGGTCCGGTTCTCATAGTCTCAAAACCGTCTCGTATACTCATTAATTGAGTAGCCTATCATCTTGATCTTGTTCATTGTGGCCCAATCTGCTGGAAGTTTTCCCGAAACATCTCGCGGATCAAGCAAATAAAGAAAAGAGAAACCTCTCCAGTCCACGCTCGTTGCTCTCGTCTTCCAACCAATCTCGGCTCTCCCCGTCACAATTGGCGGTGGACATTTCCTGGACCTCTCTTGACTGGTTCCTCTGCTTCTCTTTATGAACCTTTGGGCACCACTGTCGAGATCTGAGTCGAATTCTGCAGCCGGCCGTTCCTAGTCTCAGCCTTAGTGAATTATTCCTGGATAGTGATTCGAGGCCTTTTGTTGCCGCCCTTTTTGTGAGACCAACATCAGCTTCATCTTGTCGCTCGTTCTGTCTCGGAGAGCTCTCCATTCTTGCTCGTGCTTTTTCGACCTACAATCGTTTGGAATAAATCCCCAGTCATTCGCTTCAAAAGGTTCTGTCTCGTTGCACTTGCTGCAACATCTTCAAGCTGGCTTATTCGAAGACACACGGTGTTTTGGTAAGAAGTCCCAACCCTTGGACCTGTCTCTTTCTTTCCTTGTGGATGCCCGCATGTTTTGCCTGGATGTTCCAATCCCAGCTCATCCGGTTTGAATCTTCTCAACCCTTGCAATCTTTTCCGTGTGCGCAAGAAACCTTCCCGCTGACCTTGTCTCTTCTTCCGTCGCAGTTCGACCCGGATTTTCAAACGCCTCTAATACTCGGCGAGTCGTTGGATCTGTCGGACTCAGAAGAATCACAGTTTGTCGGTGCATTTTCAGAGGGCCTGTGGGCCAAGTCCGAGCCCATCTTGTCCATGTCTGCATTCCAGAAGCCCGTTGCCGGCGCCATAATCGGTACGTTGCACTTGAAGAACTTGGTGTGCCAGGATTTAGCACCAGCCCGTATGCTGAGACCACACACAGACTACGGTTCCACTCGATCTTTGCATGATGCCGCTTCTTACTCGAACTACGGTCAATCGCCTTATGTGACGACCCCGATGGTTCCCTCACCCATGGCCGATCAGGCAAGTCAGATCTCTGATTGTGTTCCATATCTGCCCAACGAGTACGCTAGCTCGTACGAAGAATCTCAGTCGCCCATGATGGGCGCACGCCACCGTCAGCTACCCGAAATTGTGACATACAGCCCCCAGCGAGGAAGTGAAGGAACGAGGGTGATGGTCCAGATCCAGTGCCCCTATGACCTTCACGCTTCCTCGTACGCAGCTTTGTACGTGGTTTTTGGCTCAAAGAAGTGTGAATCGCTCCCGCATTTCCTTGGATTCCAGGGCTCCGCGTTCCAGTACGGGCTTTCCGCTGATGTACCAGCATTCTTGTCCACTGGATCTCCATCTTTTGCTGTTCCTCTATCCGTTTCAATGGAGACCCAGGATGACAGTCCCGCAACTTCTCTCCAGGTTGGTGTTTACACTTACGAACAAGTTTCCCACCCTTCGCCATCAGCCGATTCCCGCAAGAGAAAATTCTCCTCATACTCTGATGTTCCTATGGCATCTGCCAAGCGACACAACGGATCTGTGATCCCCAAGGTTGAGCACCACGATGGATATCACAGCCGCTCTGTGTCTGCATCTTACTCGCCCTACTTGCAGCCCCTCCCAGCCATGGCCGGGTTTGTCGCACCATACCACGCTGCATCATCTCCTCAGACCGGCTCTGGCCAATACTCCTCGGTGTCTGCCACCCCCCAGCCCGCCCTCCGTGCCCCCTCCCCTATCACCCCAGCTTGGAGCCCATCCTTCGTTCCTGTGAGCAATGATGGTCGCAACTCAGGTCTCGCCCTGACAAACGGTGTTCCTCAGCACAAGGGTCCCACCCAGCGTAACACTTCAAATCCCACCTTGATCCGCACCTCCACCATACAAACGCACACCATGTCCCACAACCCAGCCTTCAACCCCTATGCCATCTATCCCACCAAGGCCATCCTCAAGCTTAACGGTGACCTCGATAGTATGACACAAGGCTGGTCAAAAGAAGAACGCGCATGTCAACGCCGCCTGGTCCAATTCACCCGCTCGCAAACTGGTAGCACTATTCAGGGCGAATTCAAGGCTGTCACTCCCGAGGATCGCGCCCCGAGCAGTATCTGCATCAGCTGCATCTCATGGGAAGACAAGAATGAGTGCTACGTAACTAGCGTGGATACTATCTATTTGCTTGAGTCCCTCGTGGCCGTGCGCTTCACTGTTGAAGAGAAGAATCGTATTCGTCGCAACTTGGAGGGTTTCCGCCCCCTGACCGTCTCCAAGGCCAAGGTTGACAGCGAAGAGTTCTTCAAGGTTATTATGGGTTTCCCTGCCCCCAAGCCTCGCAATATCGAGAAGGATGTCAAGGTCTTCCCTTGGAAGGTTCTAGGTCACGCTTTGAAGAAGATCATTGGGAAATACGTAAGTTCCTGAAACTCCACAGCTCATCTTGACGAATTACTAATCTCTGTATTACGCCCAGTCTGCCAGTTATTCCTCAACCGCCAGTGCTCTCCCCACACCAATGACCACCTACACCAGCCACGCCAGCCATGGCACTGGTTCGGATTCCGGTACTGAGCCTCACGCTGCCAACTCCCCCAGTCCATCTCCGACGCTGGTCCGGGCACCACCTACACTAGCATGCCAGTACAGAGCTATTCGCAGGCAGACCCTTCCGCCTCCCACATGGCCTCGGCCCCTGATCCTCGATCCATGATCGCAGTGACTCAACCCTATACATCTATGGGAGCATACTCCTACCCGGCCATCTGCCATCCCCAAAGTGCTCACGCTTTGGCAGCCCCGGCTCCGCGACCATCTTGGGATATGCACACTCTCGGCCACAATCCTCCCCACACCGGTCCATCAGGAAATGGAGCATGCTACACCTACCTGGATCCTGTGTACTCCATGCACGACACGGCCCATAGCGGCCACTGATCCTCCTGGCTGAACCTTCATCTGATCTCTTGCTGCGTTCTCGTTCCATTCTATTCTTCATACTTCGCCTCCGCCTTTTTTGATGATACGATTTTCTTTTCTCTGTCACTCCTTACCAAGCCCAGACAGCGGGCTGCCGTCTCATCGCACACAAGGTCTCTCCCAACCTGAAAAGGTAGCGAAGGCCCTTGTATCTGCCAGACCTTGCATCCCGCACATTGTTCATGATTTTATGTCCCTCCTTACACTACAACTTTACGATGCCTGATGCCCCAACCATACACCCAAAAATTTGGCCTTTGCATTTTCGTTTTCGATTTTCCTTCTTGACATTTTGGACTTGGTTCCCCTTTGAGACCTGTCCCTCGCATCTAGACGGTGTCTTGTTCATTCCTTCTTTGGGTTGCATCTTCTACATGTCGGGCATTGCGGCTTCCACTCCCTTTTTCGCGCAAAAAAACATACATTCTGGGCCTTTGTACTACCATTCAGCATAGCGGGCGCTTGCTTGTCATTCCTTTTGCATTTGCGGGTTCTTTTCGGTTGGAAATGGGATAGACTTGGGTTTTGTTCTTGGATAATATTGGTGGTTTTGTCCCTTTTATCCAATTCTTTGGTGCATTTTCGACGGGGTTCTTAGGCGAAGACGTCTGGCACTGGAGTCCTCCTCTAGTCTCAGCTCTTCCCCTCTGATCTCTGTTTACTTTGACTTCCCTGTTTGAATTTTTGTTCGGAGTTGATTTGGTGTTTACCACTTCTTGTTACTTCAGCTGAGGGTTGTTGTCACTTACTACCTACTGCATTGTTCTGGCGTTCGGGACTTGAACGGTTGGACCGTTCGTCATCCAACTTTTTTGCCTTTATTTTACCTCTTCTGGGTCTTATTTGTTGCAAGTAAATCATCAGATTCTTTTCATATAACCCATTGTAAACATACGTTGTTCATTGTACGAAGGAAGTAATAAACAACTTCATCCTGGATGGTGAACCACGTCACGTGAGTAGATCAACCCTACCTACATCCAACCCGAGGTCCCTCCCGAGTCAGGCACGATAAGGTCAGCTGACAGATTATCTTATCGAAACACGTGACTTGCGGGGCCCAGCGACACCGGCCTCGAAAAAGGGCAGTTACAGTTGACTCATAACAGACGGTTTGCTTTTTTATAACATCATCTTACCCCATCCCTCACTTAAGCATCCAGGTGTGACTTATCCCAACTCTGCATATATATATAGGGACTGTTTGCCTTCCATTGGTCTCTTCCCTTTCTTCTTATCACCACACTCTTTTGCCCCGCCACTCGCACATCGCCTTTCACTATGGAAGCTATCAAGCAGACATTCGCGAAGTGCAAGGCGCAGAAGCGCGCGGCCCTTGTGGCCTACATCACCGCAGGATACCCCACTGTTGAGGAGGCAGTTGATATCCTCCTTGGTCTTGAGAATGGCGGCGCCGGTAATCCAAAACTCAAGTGAAAGTTGCTTAAAGGCATGGTCTTTACTAACATTCCGGGGTCACATCACAGATATCATTGAGCTTGGCATTCCCTTTACAGACCCCATCGCTGATGGTCCCACTATCCAGACGGCCAACACCAAGGCCCTTGAGAATGGTGTTACTCTTACTACTGTCCTTGACCTTGTCCGCACTGCCCGCAAGCGCGGTCTGCAGACCCCTTTGATGCTCATGGGTTACTTCAACCCCGTCCTCAAGTATGGTGAGGAGCGTATGCTCCGTGACTGCAAAGAGGCTGGTGTCAATGGTTTCATTATGGTCGACTTGCCCCCGGAGGAGGCTGTCCGTTTCCGTGACCTCTGCTCGAGCGCTGGGTGAGTGGTTTGATTTTTTCTTGTTTTGAAATATTCACTACTTGTCTATGATGGTCCGAATGCTTACCCAATTCCAGTCTCTCATACGTCCCTCTCATCGCCCCCGCCACTTCAGATGCTCGCATGCGTCTCCTCTGCAAGATCGCCGACAGCTTCATCTACGTCGTTTCCCGCATGGGTGTGACCGGTGCCACCGGATCACTGAGCGCCAACATCCCCGAACTTTTGAGCCGGGTTCACGAATACTCAGGCAACGTCCCTGCTGCACTGGGATTCGGTGTCAGCACTCGTGAGCACTTCCTGTCCGTCCAGGACCAGGCTGAGGGTGTCGTCATCGGCAGCCAAATTATCACTTGCGTTGGCAAGGCTCCTGCTGGGCAGGCAGCCAAGGCTGCCGAAGAGTACCTGTCCAGCATCACTGGACGCAAGCGTGAGCGTGATGCCACCGGTGCCTTCACTCGCGAAATCAACGTTATCGAGGCCATTGAGAAGGCCCAGCCTACCGCTCAGGTCCACCCCAGCAAAGTCATCACCGATGCCGATACCCCCGCCGGACCTGGTCTCGCTGATCAAATTGAGGCACTCAACGTCACAAAGGATGTCTCCTCCCAACCCTCTCGCTTCGGCGAGTTCGGTGGACAGTATGTCCCCGAGTCTCTGATGGATTGTTTAGCTGAGCTTGAGCGCGGCTTCGACGTCGCTAACAACGACCCTAAGTTTTGGGAAGAATTCCGCTCCTACTATCCCTACATGGGCCGCCCCAGCAGCCTTCACATGGCTCAGCGTTTGACTGACCACGTTGGCGGTGCCAACATCTGGTTGAAGCGTGAGGATCTTAACCACACTGGAAGCCACAAGATCAACAATGCTCTTGGACAGATTTTGATTGCTCGTCGCCTTGGCAAGACCCGCATCATCGCCGAGACTGGTGCTGGTCAGCACGGTGTTGCTACCGCCACTGTTTGTGCCAAGTTTGGTATGAAGTGCACGGTTTTCATGGGTGCCGAGGACGTGCGTCGTCAGGGCCTTAATGTCTTCCGCATGAAGCTCCTTGGTGCCTCCGTCGTTGCTGTCGAGGCCGGCAGCCGCACCCTTCGTGATGCCGTCAACGAGGCTCTCCGCGCTTGGGTGGTTGAACTTGATACTACCCACTACATCATCGGCTCCGCTATTGGTCCTCATCCCTTCCCTACTATCGTCCGCACCTTCCAGTCTGTGATCGGAAACGAGACAAAGGAGCAGATGCAGGCCCAGATTGGCAAGCTTCCAGATGCCGTTATCGCCTGTGTTGGTGGTGGTAGTAACGCCGTTGGAATGTTCTACCCCTTCTCCAACGACCCGAGTGTCAAGCTCATCGGTGTCGAGGCTGCCGGTGATGGTGTTGATACCAACCGCCACTCTGCTACCCTCTCTGGAGGTTCTCACGGTGTCCTCCACGGTGTTCGCACCTACGTACTGCAGAACGAGCATGGCCAGATCTCCGAAACCCACTCGATTTCCGCCGGTCTTGACTACCCCGGTGTCGGCCCCGAGCTGAGCAACTGGAAAGACAACAACCGTGCCACTTTCATCGCCGCTGACGACAGCCAGGCCCTCGCTGGTTTCCGTGCCCTCGCCCAACACGAGGGTATTATCCCCGCTCTGGAGTCCTCGCACGCCGTCTGGGGTGTCATGGAAACAGCCAAGGCCATGGGCAAGGGCAAGAATATTGTGCTCAACCTGAGCGGTCGCGGTGACAAGGATGTGCAGCAGGTGGCTGACGAGCTCCCCCGACTGGGCCCTAAGATCGGCTGGGATCTGCGCTTCTAGGCGCTTTCCAGCCTTTCTGAGTGGTTTTCCCCCGTATTGTTCCATATTTTTTTTCGGTCCTCTCTTTTGCCAGAGGGTTTCATGATTCTTGATGCTTTTATGCTCTACATTGCGGGATGGTTATGGAAAAGCGTTCTTGCAGACTTTTTTTTTCATTCTTTTTGGTTAGAAATTAGAAAAAGAAAAAAATACACATTGATATCCTTCACCGATTGATATCACTTTCTCGGTTTTACTTTTTCCCTCTTTTCAAACTGTCTTCATAACCGTACATAGATAGCTTTAGGTTCGAAAATACCACCATACACACAAAATCAATGAACCATTCCATGTTTTATAGAGAGCAAAATCAGCCCTGAAATAGATTCGATAATGTATCAACGAACCAAGAGAAAACAACCAAAAAAAAATACGAACAACCGCAAAACAAAAGATAGGAGTATATGCAATTGACATCGACAAAAATAGGGCCTATTAAATCCCCTCGCCAGGTCGCTCTGAGGCTTTCCACTTCCACATCGCACTAAAATAGAAACCCCGGCGATAGTTTACTTCAACATAGTCTCAAGACCCAGGATTCTCTTCACACAGCACCGCCTCATGCGTCGATCAGGTTCTCATGCGAGTTATCGTGGGTATCCTTGTTAGGAATCTTACGTGCGTGGCGAGCGTAGAACTCGTCGAGAGTGCGCTTGGGGACACGGTTGAGGAGTTCCTTGGGGTAGATGCGGAGGAGGTTCCAGGCGAGATCGAGGGATTCTTCGATAGTGCGCGCCTCGTAGGGAGACTGACTGATGAAGGTGCGCTCGAACTTTTCGAGGAATTCGAGGGAGAGCTTGTCCTCCGAGGAGAGGGCTTCCTCTCCGACGACGGCTTTCATGGCGGCTGGTTGGGGTTGTTAGATGTTTTTTTGGAATTGTGGAATAGGGTATTCTTTGGGCTGGGTTGCTTACCGGCATCACGACCAATGGCATACTTGGCGTACAGCTGGTTGGACACGTCTCCATGGTCCTTGCGGGTGCGGCCCTCGCCGATGGCGGACTTCATCAGACGTGATAGAGAGGGCAGGACGTTGATTGGTGGGTAGATACCGCGGTTATCGAGCTGACGGTCAATGAAGATCTGGCCTTCGGTAATGTAACCAGTCAAATCGGGAATGGGGTGGGTGATATCTGCATGAGTATTGGTTAGTGAAGTTCGGCTTGGGAACGAATAGCTTGAACAACGCACCATCGTTAGGCATGGTCAGAATAGGAATCTGTGTGATGGAACCATTACGGCCCTCGACTCGTCCAGCTCGCTCGTAAAGGGTGGACAAATCTGTGTACATGTAACCGGGGTAACCACGACGACCGGGGACTTCTTCTCTGGCAGCGGAGACTTCACGTAGGGCATCACAGTAGGCGGACATGTCAGTCATAATAACCAGAACGTGCTTCTCGAGCTGGTAGGCGTAGTATTCGGCGGTGGTCAGGGCAAGACGAGGAGTAATGATACGCTCAATAGTAGGATCGTTGGCCAAGTTCAGGAACAAAGTGACACGTTCCATACTTCCGTTCTCCTCGAAGTCGCGCTTGAAGAAACGGGCAGTCTCCATATTCACACCCATAGCGGCGAAGACAATAGAGAAGTTCTCCTCGTGGCCATCGTGAACGTCTTTAGTAGGCTTTGCCAGACTTGCTTGGCGGGCGATCTGAGCAGCAACTTCTGAGTGGGGTAGACCGGCAGCTGAGAAAATCGGGATCTTCTGTCCACGGGCAATAGAGTTCATCGTGTCGATGGCGGAGATACCGGTGGAGATAATTTCCTCGGGGTACACCTTGTCCATCCATTAGCTTCCTGTACTGGGTCTCATATAGGTGGAAGTGCGCATACTCGCGAGTAGGGGTTGATAGGCTGGCCGTTGATATCCAGGTAATCCTCCGCTAACACCTTAGGACCCTTGTCGATAGCTCGTCCCGAACCGTCGAATGTTCGACCCAACATGTCCTCGGAAACACCAAGCTTCAAGCTGTGGCCGGTGAACTCGACTTTGGTCTGACCGATCTGTCAGTATATCCCATATTCGAATCATTCCCACGGGTGATTGTACCTTCTTCACATCGATACCGGAAGTGCCTTCGAACACCTAGTTGACAGCGACGTTAATGTCTTGAATATTAGGGGTCAGATCTTAGTCCGCACCTGCACAACAGCTCGGTTTCCTATTTGAAAATATAGCAGTCAGCTCACATACTCCTAGACTAAACAGTAGAATGTGGGGAACGGACCTCTGGCTTCCAACACTTGACCACTGCGCTCTGTGCCATCGCTAAGTGTCAAGGAGACAATTTCGTTATAGCGCGGGAATTTGATCTGTTTGTGGGTGTAAATAATTAGCTTATAGTTGCTATATCGTCCAACCCTACGTCAACTCACATTGTCGAGGATAACCAGCGGTCCGTTGATGCCTCCGATGGTATTGTAGCGGAACCGGGGCTTGATGGAGGACATCCGGGGGTCAATAAAGTCGGCCATGGCGAATCTGATCCTCCGAATTCAGAGTAGAAGGGCAAGGATGGAGGAGAGAGCAAATGTGGGACCTGGGGGTTGGTCTAGCTGTCTCGATGGGGAGCTCGGGCGGTGACGTTGCACGTGATGAGGTCCAAGATTGCGTGGGCCGGGTCCTGGTTTCTTGGGCGGGCTAAGCCCGACGTGGACTAGACCAAAGCCTGAGGTATATCTTCGATTGCCAGCCATACATATAGAACACTTACATTATGGATGAAGCAATAGCGCAGGAATTTATCCATGATTTACGGGGTATAAAGTCCAGCCGAGGTGGACGTCTTTTATCTAAGGTGTAATGTATGTATGTATGTTGTTCACTAAGCAATTAAGAACAAGATTGCGCCGATAGCGTGCAATGTTAATACCGAAACTCCGAAGCAATAACAATTATCAACGAGAATTTCGTCAAAAGAAAAGAGACTGTAAGCCATCATAGTGTGAGATCTTGAGCTCATTAAGAGCAGGGTATCCATACGCATTAAATAGAGACACTGAGAATCCAGATCTAATGCACCATTCGCAAGATAGGCGCTTCGCCATCATCCAGGAAAATGAAAGCCAGAGAGAGTAAAGACACGAAAATAGAGTGCATTGAATCAGTCCACTTTGGCTTGAGCTAGACTCTTCGGGGTAATTAGATTGTTGGATAGGCGCACATTCGCAGTGCCCTTGAGCTTTTCTTTCCATGTATGCCTCTTCAGCTTTCGACGGGCAACCATTACCGGTACAGAGGAATTAGATAGAAGATAGTTGGAGAACGAGCCAAGAAGGACACTGAATGTAAGGTTAGCCTCAATTAAACAAGAGGATCAAGTGTCACTCACCCTTTAAGTGCACTCTGACCTCTGGCACCCACGATAACGAGTGTGGGCTCAAGCTCATCAATCTGAAAGACAATGTAAGTATGAATTGGTAGGCAGCAATGCTGGGAGCGAAGAAAATACTTACAGCTTCAGTGATCATAGACTTCGGGTTCTTGCAGTGGATCACTTCCACAGCAATACGGACCTGCAAGACCGTTTTTCGTAGCAGGTTCACACAAGTCTGAGACACAGTCTCGACTGCTCTCACCCGTTCCGCTTCGGCTATTGACGATGCCCGAGAATCAGCAGAATGTGTCCTGCTAGCAGTACCAGAGCCAAGCCGACCTAGGATCGTACGGGATGCATGATTCTGAGTTGCTTCTTTCGTCTGGGTGCCAATGACAGCCGTTGCATCCTTCATTACTTTGGCACCTTCACCGACCTGCACCGCTGACGTAGTAGTGGAGTCCTCATGTATCGCGTAGATGGCGAATATCGTGTCTCCATCTCTTAGAACCGTTCCAATAGTCCACTCAAGGGCATATACCGACTCTTCACTCAAGTCGGTTGCGATAAGATATTTCCGGCGACGACGGCGGCTTCCATCATCTTGTGAACCTGAGAAGTTCCCGCGGACAATTGTACGGATGGATCGGTTGTGCACACCGTTATCAATAGCTGACATGGAAATACCAAGCTTCTGTGCACGATGGATGTCACCGATCTCGGCTTCATCCTCTGAGCCGTAAGGTGTGCCAGCCACTGACTGAACACGCGGGGTGGGTATGTCGAAACTGGTCTGTGGATGGACAACAGCCTTCAAAGCAGATTTTCGCGGTCTCTTCTCTTGTCGTGCACTTGGATTTTCGGAAGTTTTTTCTATGAGATGCAAAATTAGTACGTTGGATTTCCCATTGAACAGAAGTCAACATACGTTCTTCGAATTGCTTCGAATTGTTGGATTTTTCGAAGTCGCTTGGCGTTATAGATGTGATATCCGAGTGCTTCTTTTTCCTGCGGCCTCGTTCGCCGTCCAGAGTGCTGTCTTCGTCGCTCGAAGTATCTTCATCTTCACTGCTTTCGATCATGTTCTTGTCCCGATCAAAGACATCCTTGGCTAGTCGCTCCCCTCCGTGCTCCACCGGTGTCGGTTTGATATAATCAGGCACGCTTTCATGAGGTTTAGCTAGGGTCTCGTCTGACTTGCTGAATGTGCCGTGCATGTTCAACGACTTTTCAGAATCAACAGGGGCGGGCGTCGAGTTTTCAACGTGAACAGAATGACTGCTGGACGAACTAGGGCGACCCCGTTCCGGCGAAGCAGAAGAATGGGCTTCGAGAGACGATCCACGCTGGGAAGATCCCCGTGATGAGTCTCTGTCTCTGCCACGGGAAAAGCTTCTCGGGAAAAGACGGCCGGACATGATAGCAGCCACACCCTTGCGGCTCTGCGACCTATCTCGAGCCTGCAAAAATCGCTTTTTGGAGTGCGTTTGCTCCGGAGAAGTAGAAGCGACATCAGATTTTGCACCACCATTAATACTCAGGCGACGCGAGGTTGAGCGGACAGTATCAACAGCCTGGTCGGACGATCTACGAGAAGCCTCAAGATCTGCAGTGTGCCTCTCCGGCGAGCTTGGAGCGGATGCCATATCTGAGGAACTGATGCGCAAAGGCGAGGATACGAGTGGCTCGACTGGGCTGCGGGTTCCGCCTCTAAGCGAATAGGTTGTCGCGCCACTTATGGACGGGGCGATCAGCAAGTTCTGTAGAGTGCGGCTTATGCCCGATGGTTTCTCGTTTATCGGGGTTGATATAGTACCATTCAAGCTTTGATGTTCAGGAGAAGTTCCAGTGTGGTATGACATTGCGTACCGCCTCCGGGTGGGGAACTCAGCATTCAACTCCGCCAAGCACTGAGGAATGTGGAGTACGGAGTAGATCACCCTGTTATGACGGTGTTAGGAATGGGTCATAACCTGCAATGGATCAGTAAAAATTCAAGAAAATAGGTCCTGGCATCTAACACAGTGTACACAATTGGAAAAATCACAAGTCCAGTCGACATTTGATACTTGTCTTTGTCCAATATTCAGCAATTGGATTCTGCAGTATGGTCTTGGGGTTGAAAAGTAGAATAGAAAAGCAAAAGGGGAGATTGGGAGAAGGAGCCCAAGGTGAGGCTTTTAACTGCAGCCACAGTGGCTGCATCTTTTATCTTCTACCATGTCTGTTTAAAATACACACATTCATATTCTATGACATCTTCTCGGATATAGTCTTGCCTGCACATATTTTTGGGGTGTTATGTTAGAGGACTTTCTTTGTAGATTAGCCAGAGGAATGAAAGGGCATTGTGGTATGCAATTACAGAACTCATATTAGACTCATGATAAACGCCTAGACATGACACATGACTATAGAGAACAAAGACCGCATTCAAGCCTTAGCCCTCTTCGACTTAGGTTTTGTTCCCTTTCGAGCCCCAACAGCAGCAAAAGCTTCCTCGGGGGGCTCATCATCAACACCACGTTTCTTCCCAGGCTGCGCATACTTCTCCTCTAAACGAGCGAGGAAGCCTGCACCACGGTCCTGTTGGCGCTTAGTGATAATAGCTAGAAGATCATCCTCATTCACTGCAGCCTTCGAGCTCTTAGCCGAAGCCCCAGCTTTCTTCTTCTTATTCTCAATCTCCTTCCCCAACTTCTCCGCCTCCCGCGCCTCCTTCTGCGCCTTCTTCACGCGCTGCTGTTTCTTCTTCTCGGGCTCTTTGGAATATCGCTCGTAATCTTGCACTTCCCCATCCGCAATGGCCTGATCAATGATACCGCGGAACCTTTCATCGTCGTCTAGTACATTAGACAGCATCACGGTATCGTAGATATCATCCATGTTGCCCTCGTGCGTCTCATACGCAGCGAGCAGGTCCTTTCTCTCCTCGTCTGAGTTTTGGTATTTTTTCTGGAAGTCCGATATCGCCCGGGAGTCGAGCATTGCCGATAGTTGTTCGCGGTAGAAGTCCATCCAGTTGAAGTCGCCATCTTCGCCAAAAGCTTCGTCTGTGCTGCCGGTTCGGTCATACACGCTTCGTCGGCGCGCATCAGAGAGTACTCCGTATGCCAGAGCGATTCGTTGGAATTTTGCGTTAGCGTCTGCGCGAGCTTCTTCGCTCACCTTGTCTACTCTTAAGGTTAGTATCTTTGATGCTTTTTTCGGACCTGCGGAGGTTTTCATACCGGGATGGTTTCTGAGAGCGCTCTTTTTGTATGCAGTTTTGATGGCTTCTGGGGTTGCGTCGGATGCAACACCTAGAATCTTGTAGAGATCTTCCTCAACAGACGGCATCTCTTGGTCTGAGGCATGATTTTCAGATTTCGCGGTTTTCGCCATTGTGAGTTCTCGGTGACGCTATAGGTGTTTGTGGGTCGCTCGAGTACTAGGGGCAAGAGCTGAGCACGATCAAGATATATTAAGCTGGATCACAATGTAATAGATGAAAGACCAATAAGAGTGGTAACTACACTCTAGAAACGGAACGCGATTTAGACGCGACGGGGCCATTTCGTCATTCTGCTGCTGCTTCCCGCCTGGCCTATCAATCCACTTTCAAGTACATACCCCAAGCTCGACAGCGCCACTTCACTCAGTTCTGATTCCAAGACCTACACAGAGCATTCGATTAATAGTCAAAATCCTCATTTTACATATTAAACAACAACCTTGCCCATTTCGCTCCCAACTGAGAAACCCAACCCAATCGCAATTGACATCACTCACTATGACGACTACCTCCCCTCACATGCCCTACATGAAAGAATGCCTCTCCCTAGCGGAAAAATCACCCCCAAGACCTACCAATTTTCGAGTTGGCGCAGTCCTCATATCCCGGAGAGACAACGATCCCACCTTCAAAGACGACCGGATCCTCTCGACGGGGTACACAATGGAGCTCGCAGGCAACACACATGCAGAGCAATGCTGCTTCGCCAACTACGCTGCAGTACACAATGTCCCCGACGATAAAGTGAGCGAAGTCCTCCCCGTTGAGCCCGGACGCAAGCTTGTCATGTATGTGACGATGGAGCCGTGCGGGAAGCGGCTGTCTGGGAATACGCCATGTGTGCAGCGCATCACGCAGACAGCGGAGGGCGGGCGAGAGGGTATCCATAAGGTTTATTTTGGAGTCAAGGAGCCTGGCACGTTTGTTGGCGAGTCTGAGGGGTGTCGGATGTTAACTCAGGCTGGCATTGAATGGGAGCATGTTAGTGGCTTGGAAAGGGAGATTTTAACTGTTGCTTTTGCGGGGCACGACAATGCGGAGAAGGAGGTCAGGGCCGCATTGGGAGAGAAGGAGACTAATGTTGATGACATCAGTGCTGAGGAGAGGAAGAGGCAGGAGGCGATGCCGAGGAATCCGTTGAAGAGGATGATGGAGGGGGATAAGCATGTCTATCTATAAAGATTGTGGGGTATGCTTGAGTATTAAAAGTAGCGCTGACAGAAAGCAGCAATTAGTATGTGCTCCAGTGCCATTTTCGGTTAGTTGAAGGCCATCTCGAGAATTATGCAGTAGATCAATAGATGTATCATCAAGATACATCTCGGAACTCCATCTGAAGATACACAGAATACTTGCCTCGAGCAAATACGAAATAACGCGCAACTGACATTATCTATATATGATCACGTGACATCAACCTGCCTTTCAACGCGAGTTCCAGTTTCCAGTCCAGCATGAAACCCTGATATCTCAATATTTTCAAAAAAGAACATCCCGAGAAAAAAGATGACCCAATGGCAACTGTCAACAATGAGAGCCTTGTATTCTATCCCGCGTTCTGCTTCAAGGCATCACCAACGCACTTTACCTGGGTGAAAATGGGTGCAGCTGATGTGCATCGTCTCCGAAGATCAAGCAACTTTGTGGGTATGTTCTTTCTCTTTCCGAGCTTGCTGCAAAATTTTTGTGCCCCCGGAGATCGACGCGCCTAGCCCGCAAGTGCATATTTTGGGGTCCTCTAGCGTGAAGGCTCGGAAGAGAGGCACTAGTGTGATGAAGTCCATTTGATACTTCCCATCCGGCTGTCGATACTGCCTTTTCAATACACGTGAACTTCCTATGTCACAATGCTCTCTGCCATGGCTTTCCGACATATCCAAATATATTCTGTCTTCCTATTACCCCATATTTCCCCCAACCAAAACCAGCCAAGACTATCTCTGCATGTTGTAAAAGCAAATTAACTAACAAACCCCCACAGGCCAAAATATGTTTTTCTACAACAACCACCCAATTCAATTCGTCAGCCTCGTAGGCGTCATAGTGGCGCGAACTGATTTCCCATGGCGCACAATCCTAACACTAGACGACAGTAGCGGCGCAACAATCGATATAGCCGTACTAAAAAGACCGAACCAAAACCCAGCACCACTAGTCAAAAAATCCTCGCCACAGATTCAGAACAACCAGAATGGTCCTCATTCTTTCTCACAGCGCCAACAGCCACCAGCCTTGTTCAAACAACGCACTTGACCTCCAAAGACCGCGACGAGATAGACATCTCAGCTCTCCAACCAGGAACGCTAGTCCGGGTCAAAGGGACACTGTCAACCTTCCGCTTACAGATGCAATTAAATCTTGAACGTTTCTGGATCGTGCGTGATACGAACACCGAAATGCAGTTTTTGGATACCCGTCTGCGGTTCCTTATTGAGGTCTTGTCTGTGCCGTGGGTGCTGACTGATGAGGAGATTGAGACGTTGCGTGCTGATGCCGAGAGGGATGACGAGCGCACGCTGGAGGATAAGAGGCGTGCGGAAAGAGTTGCAAGGAAAAAGGTTGAACGGGAGGAGAGACACGCCAAGGCTATTGCACGCCGGTATGAGAAGGAAGAGTATGAGAGGGAGCAAGAGCTTAGGGAGATTAGAGAGGATGGAAAGAGAGTTATGAGGAAGTTTGGGTTTGGCGCAGGATGAGATGAATTCCACTTCGGTACCTGCGAGAGACTGATTCAATCTCCTTTTCTACCACTAATTTCCTTCTGTTTGAGAACATATATAAATTGGAAGACGCAACCCAATACAGGGAATATACTATAACCCCCCCTCGAATGTGAACATTCAAAGATCACCTAGGCAGATCCAATCACTCTCCACTGAGCAATGAGCAATGTCCTTAAAATGGTTCCTTCTATGTCGATTAGCTGACACTGGGCCTGATATCCCACTGGCAATTATGCTCTCAGAATTCACTTTTCATTCCCAATCCCGATCCCGAGATATAAGATCAACATGTGCTGGGATGGGAGGGAGAGTTCTGGTTGCCTTTCAGACTGGGATTGATCCCCGAGAGATTCAACAAAGTGGTTTTCGCAAGTCAAAAAAAACACAAAAAAAAAAAAAAACAACTCTGATGTATGATAGTTTCATTGTTTACTGGCCGAGCTGACCCTTGAAATCGTCGAATCCCATTTATCAGGTTGAGAGGATGGGACTGGATCAGGTCGTATTCGCTCCTGGAGTAGGACAACGGCTGGGATCGTCACTAAGGAGAATGGAACCTGCGTTTCCTGGAACGCTTAGTTCCTGGTCCATCTCTTCGACCTCTGATGAACCCATTTTGTCTTTGATCCGTTGTTTGTATAACTCCTTGAAGGCTTGGTAAGACTCTTCCAATGTTTTGAAAGGGCTCAGTCTTTTCAACACCTTTCTCCACTCTGGGTCTTGCTCAATGATCCCGGCGTGGGCCTTGGCGTAGATTGGGGAAGTAGTAATTGATAAAGGAAAAGGAGGGTTTCAGGTGAGAGAGAAGTGAGGGGAGAGTGAGAGCGACAAGAGAGATGAAATTGAGGTGGGATCCCCCAGCAACTGACAAGGTATGATGCTCGGATGAGGAAGGAGGTGTGAAGATTGATATCTTGAGTATAATCTCATGTATTTGGATCAGAACAAAACATCAATCACATAATATATCGTCAATCATACACAACCCCAGAAAGAAGGGGTATATTCGTATCCATGCAACGCCAAAAGAATCAGAATCAGAAGCAAGACCAACAGTTCAGATAGAGAGTCAGAGCAGAACAGAAAAAAACACTGACATACAGTAATCACCAAAAGCAAACTAAAGACACCAGTATATAAAACAAACACACCTCAACGGTATGCATACTTGTCATACTTATCATACCAAGGCCCAGACCCTCCCTTCTGCCCACTTCCGCGATAATACTCATCATCGTTACCCCGGCTACCGCGGTGATACCTGCGCCCATCATCCTCAGACAGGTTCGCAGCAGGCGACTCGGTATACGCCAAATCATGCGCCGATAGTCCCGCATATCTAGCCGAATGATCACGACCATGCAAGTCACCCTCTGAATGCCTATAGTCACCACTGCGGTGCTTCACGCTTTGCGACGAGCTGCGGGAATCATGTGAGAACCGCTTATCAGCAGAATGACCAGATCCGGAGCGTGAGTAATGTGGATCGCGGTCATAGGACTCGGACATGCGGTGTGTTGAACTTGGTCCCGATGCCTGTGCCTTGTAGGTAGAGTCTGTGGGCCGGGGCGTGGAAAAGGAGCTCGCATGGCTGCGGCCTGAGCCTGATTCATCGTAAACTTTGCCCACGCCTGGATTGGCGCTGTAGGGCTTGCGTTCGCGCTCGATTGGCACTGAGGGGGTGGGTTCATCTTCTTCGTCGTCGGTGATGACACTCGAGACGGGTCTTGGTTGTGGTTGTTGGGCTGGTCTTGGAGTCGAGCCTGGGGCGCGGGGTCGGCCTCGCTCGTATGAGTGAGTACGCTCTGTGGGTGATGCGGTCGTGGTGGATGATCGGGTCGGTCGGGAGGCGGATTGATTGCGCTCTTCCGGGGTGATGTATGGTAGATCGACGCCGCAGTGGACCATCATACGCTCCTCGATGTCTTCTCTGATTGCGATATCTCCAATTTCTGGGAAGAGGCGGCGCGGGAGTTCTTTTGGGAAGCGCTCTTTCCTGTCATCTGGGTTGTTAATGGGCATGTGGAGGACTGCTTTTTGGAGCCGCTCGTATTCGCGCCCTGGGTTCGCGAGGATCATCAAGGTGGCCCACGTCTCGAAGCCTTTGGGTGTTAGACCTGGGATGTCTGGGCGCTTTTCTATGTCATCTTGGACGAGGTGATGTTCGACTTTGATTTCGCGGAAAAGTCTGGAAATCGAAGATGTACGATCGTCAAAAATGTCTAGATATTTGGTTAGAATATGGCATGTCAATGAACAGATCAAAGCACCAACCTTGCCATGGATAAGGGTCATTTGGATCGTGAGTATCACGATAGAACTTTTGCAGCTTGTGAGGGGGAATAACAAGAGTATTTCCCGGCGGATAGTCCTCAATCTACTCAAGTTAGCGATCAAAATTCATATTCCATACGAGCAGACATAAATTTCACATACCAGATGGACTGCAATCCCACGTAAAAACTGGCCAAGCCTCTTGGTCGCTTTACCATCCTCAAATAGTTTTCCCCAAATCCGCTCCAGGGTGGTCATCTCCATAGCGGTAGCGTCCCGATCTGGAGGTTTTGGGCGCTCTGCCTTGTGGCTATGCTGACTCAGATCACTATTCTGACTCGATACAGAACCGCGTCTTTTTGCAAGGGGATCAGGAGTAGCTTTGGGGCTGAGACGACTATCACCAGTGTGACTGGGGGAGATGTATGGTTGGAAATTCCCAGTATGGATATTGTCGGCGGCTGAACTGGGCGGGGGGATTGAACTGCTTCGCTGAGAGGGTATACCAGAGGACTCTGCGTTCGGCTGCAAAGAGGTATCCGTTTGCCATGGTGGCTGTTGCGATTGCGAACGGGGCGGGGGCGCACCCGATCCATGTAGGTTGTCTAACCCAGTTGTCTTAAGCTGCTGGATCACTGTCGCTGTAATCTGTGATAGAATTTCCGGGGATAGGTAATCTGTGGAGCCGCTATTGTGAAATGCGGAGCTCACTGCATCATCGATATGTCCAGTGCTCATGTTTGGGGAAGAGCGCTGGGATTCAGAGTAACTGTATGGCTCTGGGGTTGGGCTTGGGGCCCGCGAACCAGTCCACGGCACCTGTGGCTGCGGCATATTCAAGTGGGTTTGTTCATGGTAGGATGAATATGGAGGTGGCTGCGAGTACCCATGTTCGTTAGGATCTGGGTTCATTTTACCCGTTTGATAGGTATCTCTGGGGTAATTTCCATTGTAGGCCATGCAGGGGTTCGGGAGGTGAGATATGGGTAGGTTGATCTGATAGCACAAAAATGTGTAATCCTCCGCTGCAAGTAAAGGAGTCGATTTGGGGAAGCTCTAGGAAGAGAAAATGCAGATCTGGGAGAGGTTACGAATTACCAATATTATGGTGGAGGGGCTAGTGGGGGGGCGAGTGAAACGTTGTGGCGATCACATCGTCACCAAGTGCAAGATAGGTTTAAGATTCTTTCTCTTTGTACTCCCTCGACGTCACATTGCTCTTTAATTTATTAGCCCTTTGTTATATTAAAGTCCCACACATGTTCTGTCATATCGCTAGACTGGGTTAGAGCGACACGATCGGCAGATGGAGCATGCATATCGCAGTGCATAGCAACCACTGAAAGCTTTATGATCCTATTAGCTTTTATTGCCAAAGACTGGGCACTTTCGTGGTTTCCTAGGCTACTACAGCTGAAAATTAATCGACAAATGGCGAGGTACTTCTAGTCATATGGATGATGTATTGTATATTGAAAAGGACATCGTAGTGGGATCATACTTGAAATGTCTATAATATATTGATACCGACCGGATACCCAAAGTATTCGAGTCCTATATCGCTCAGCACAATGGTCGCATATGCGAGCTATTTTGCTTTTATATACTCGGCTAGCTTATTATGGGTTTATAGAAACTTTTATCAGAGGAATGATATAGCAAGTTAAGTACTCTATAGGAAGCACTTCAAAGGCAGAGCGAGCGGTGAATTCAATACAATGAGCTCAGTGGTCACTGTGCACTGCGATACATGCATCTTCCATGCGGTGTATGTATTACAGTTTCTCCTTGCACCTATCAGAGTTGTGAAGGACATAATTGCAAAGATCGAGCTATGTCATCACCAAATCTCGGCTGGGATCCGGCGGTTGGGTTCCAATCCACAACTCATTGTGGCCTTGAGGGCTGTCTAAATATTATGTAGGACTGCCTTTTCATTCTCACATTTTGATTTGATACCATTATTAGGAATAAATTGTTGATCGGATACCTCAGATACAAGGTGCTTGACATTGTCCCTCTAGCCATCCCGTCTACCAGAAACAGCTGGAACATGCCTGAATAATGATTATGTTGTATAGTGATGCACTCTACTGGGGGCTTATTTATAGTAGGTGGGTCAACGGAACCACCGATGTCATAACCATGGCGCTACTACTCTGTACCTCCTGTCCCATTTCAAGAAAACAAAACTAAACTTGGATTGGTACCTGACTCCTCATAAGATATAGCCAGCCCTCTGTACTCCATTAAAGAAAGCAAAAGAAAAGGCACAGTCAACAGGGTTATGTTAGGTGCGGACTTGGATGACCCTCCCCCCAACCCGGAAAATAAGCCCTGTCACTTGGAAGATGAAAAAGGTCCCAGGTACAGCATGCAGCAGTTCCGGGACTGGAATCACTGGAAGCTCGCCTTCCTGAAAAAACAACAAAAAAAAAAAAAAAAAAAAAAAAAAAGCTAATGTGGATAGGGGGACTTCATGGGAAGATACGCAGGAGTCGAACCTTGTGCACGCAAATGCGAACGAGAAATCCGGTGCACTGCAGAGATGAGATAAAGCGACGATGAAGAGCAAGCCGCGACGTGCAATATTAGGCATGGCCTGGCATATGCTTGCAGCCACACTTCCCATAAATAGAAGCATCGTCGATTATAGCCCGAGTGTCGTTTGTAGGAAATGTACGGCACGGCTTGGGAAGAAGAGGAATCTGCGGACTGCAATACTAGGTGCAGCCTAGCGTGGTGGAAACGACTAGAGGAATCTTCCTCCTTTCCAAGGAGTGCCATCATTAAACTTGCGGGTGCCAGGTGCCCAGCCTGGGGCAGGCTCGGGATCGGGAACAGGCTGTTGACGAGGTCGGTGCGCCTACACGATATGAAGTTTTGTCAAAACCTGATTTATAAGTATTGTTGGGATACATTCACCCACCTTCACTTTTGCAAAGCCCCCTCGCTTTGTATTACCATCACTATCCGAGGAATCGTCACGCAGGACAAGAGCTTTCTCGATGCCACGCTTCAGGCTCTCCTCCTGTAGTAAAAATATATATATGAGTAACCAACGTTTGGCCAGAGCTGATGTATCACATAGTTCTGATCACTTACCGGCTGACCCAGAGAGCCTGAGAGATCGACAGACTCAGGGCATCCCGCAGACCCAGACAGAGCCACAGATCCAGAGTGAGCTGCAGACTCGGAGTTGGGTTCCTCTTCCTCATTCTTTCCCATTTCCCCAACCGCAACTTTATCTGCGATTGCAAGAGGTTGATTAATGGGATCGAGGGACATCTGATAGTTCATGCAGGGCTGGCAGAGCTATTGAAAAACTAAGTATTAGAAACAGTCGAAGTTTATGCTTTCATAGCTCAAGAATAAAAAACAGAACACACCGGACTCTCACGATTCCTTTGATTCCTGGCGAATTGATCAATGGCACGGTAGTGGCCGCAATGGTGGCACAGTTCCTCACAAACCTGAGCATTTGTGCATGGACCACATTTAGCAACCTGTTGGTCACGAATGCTACTGTAGCCAAGTTCGAATATTGCCTGGCGGAGGAAGTTGAGCTGATTGCTCGAGTACTGGGATTTTGGGCGACGCCGTTTGCAGACGCAACATTTGATCCTATGACGATGAGCAGGTGAGTACCAAGACAGATGAAGAATACTGACTCGTTTGGGATTGGCATTCGGTCCACGCTATCGATCCGTTGTTAGCAATTGCCTGGCTTCTGGAAATGGGATTTCGTTAACAGACGCTTCTCTGATTTCCTGTGTGTATCCCCGCGCAAACGGATTCAAGGGGACCCATTTCCGTCGCTGAGGCATGGTCAAATGGTAGTTCAGAAAGCCAGAAGACCCAGGTAAGTAAATAGCATAAATTCACCGGATGTGCGCACAGGGCTTGTAGCTATTGAAGAGGAGAGATGAAGAGAAACAGAGAGGGAAGGGCAGTTGATTTATACTGACAGGGGGAGGCACAGTGAGGAAGCTGCGTGGGTTGGTCTTTCCGAAAGTGAGGGTTTTGGGCTGGTCTCTTCAATCACCTCGAATTTGCTTTTCTATCACAAATATTGTTTCGCTTGCTCTTTTGGCTTTGGGGCTCTGCGGAAAAGAAGGACTGAAGAAATAAAGATCAAATTGGTGCTGGAAGGGAGAGGCAGTTCAAAGTATTAACTCTGAAGTAGATATGTGATAGCTGAGCACACAGCTAAGCATGTAGGTACCATGCAAACACTACAAATCAAAGCCCTCAACAAACAACATGAAGGGCATTGTGTGCCGGAAAGCAAACACGCAACACAATGAAGGTCATCTTGGACATCGAGTCTATTGCTTAGGGCTACAACAGACACTGCCGAAAAGATTCTCTTGAAAAGCGTCTCCAAGGTAGTAAAATCTTCAACTGACATCCATTCTCACATTACTTCGATGCACCGCATCTTACAACCCTCTTCGCTATTTCTCTATATCTTACCGCTGATTCTTTTTGTCATGCTAGCGACAACCCCAGAGCAATAGGGGGAAATATTGAAAAAGGACATCTCTAAAGTCTATATGAGCAGATACCAAAACGATCTTGCAAAGCATTGCCACACACCACTAAAAAGGTATGAACAGGCCGCATCAGCCGCCGACTATCCCAAGGCTCTTTTGAGTTTTAGGTAATGAGTTTCGGAAAAAGAAAACATATGACACGATGAAGGCTGACTTGGAAATTACCAAGTCTATTCCTTAGTAAGGCAATGATGGATAGGCGGGTATAGTAAACAGACCCCTTCCAGCTCCTTCCACAAAGAAAGGAGTGACATTAAGCCAAACAGCAGTCTCACCTCCCATCAAGGCACCCAGATGTGAGACTACTCTATTTTCGTTCTAGAAAACCATAGAAGAAGCGGAGAAATTCCCTAATTAGAAGCATAAATGATATTCTCTAGATACACTATAGGGGCATCCCCCAATCTAAACAGGGGCTAGTTTCAAACCCAACCGGACCACGGACATTAGTTCCCAGAGCAATGGATGAAGCTAGTTAGGTATGACACACATGGAGGACCCAGTTAGGCCAGCATGAAAGGGACAGGGGAGGAAGGAGGGGCATCTATCACTTCACAATGTAGATACATTACCGTGGTACGCAAGTCATTGCGGCCGCCTTAGCTGGCGATCTAAATATACCCGGAGCCGGAATAGGACACAAAGAAGATCTATGACATGCAGTAAGTGGCACTGCCACAGTAGAATCCTCTCACTAGGTAGGATTGAGGGCTAGTGCTAGGTAATTCTGCAAGTACAGACTATCTGTTGGTGTGTGTTCTGCTGTAGACACCTTCCCGATTCGCAAAAGCTTCATATATTACTTCGTCTGTTGTCGAGCTAAAATGTAAGGGTTACTGCAGTGACAGTGGGACCACTTTTCATGACATTCCAACGAAAGAAATTAAGTACCGAGGACCATTTCAAGCTAAATTAGGCCCCTCGTGCGCAGTTGGGACGGATAATCTACTGGACTCAGATCTGACAGTTCCAGCGATCAAGGGGTTGTCCCGCGGCTTCCACGGCTTCTGGAAATTCACACAGACGTTTCGGCGTTTGGAGTGGGCCGCAATTTAATATCGAAGGTAGTGCCGAGAGTCGAAGGTCTAAACCTCGAAGTAATTTGCCAACGGTGGCTAGAAAGTTCATTAGGAAGTTCGGTACGAACATCCTTGGGATCGTGTGTTCGTTTGTCAGCGTGTTTATTTCCGGAGAAGGGGGTCTGTTAGGGGGGCAACGAAGCAAGAGAGGCGGATTTGCCCCCAACAACCTCTCGCTTTACAACATATGGAGCTAGCCGTCTAAGCAAATGACCCCATCTCAAGGCATAACCATTCAGAGACCGTTGCCTCGCAATAAATTTGAATATTTGAATATTTGATGATCACATTGCCAGGAACCGCCTTCTCGAAGGCCAAAGGAACACGGCGCCTCCCGGCAGTTTGGGAAGCAAATAGTTTCCTTTCCCAAGTGGCGACACTGCACTCCTCCCCCCTATAGGGGCTCTCCGCGCCCTCCGCGAGTATATGGACTGGGCCTGGATGAGCCCACTGTGGAGAATTCCGTTTTCCCCCGAATTGACGGTGCGTGACTAGGCGTTTGTGAGGGATGCTGGAGCGTCATTATAGGCACAATAACTGGATGGAGTGGATTTTCTTTTCGTGATGGAGCCAATGGCATTGTTAGCGCATAGACTCCATCGTACTACTGATCTTTGGTAGGTGATAATTGGCTTACGGTTAGTGCTTGTGGAGTAATAAGCCCCACTGAACGAATCACAACTCGAAAGTGAGAGAAAGTGGATTGAGTGACTATTGTCTCTGTATTCGGTGTGCGGAGTACGGAGTACGATTCCTATCGGTATATTGTACGCGGTGTGTACAATATCTTCCGTACTCCACGTCTTGTTTTTTTTCTCTTCCTAAATATATTGTAGTCTGACTATTGTGCGGTCTAGAGAAAAATATCCAAAAAAAAAGTAGGTCGGCCCACTAAGTTCGAACCTTGGTTTCGTTTCGGTACGGCCCTTGGATTTGCGTTATATTGGGATGTCAAATATGTAAAGATCGAATCAGGGGCGAACCCCGAACATTGAAACAGTGGCATGTTATGAGTTGATGAGTTGAAATAGACTGATCAATTTCTATTCAAATCAGCCTTGCAGAATGAATCTGGGACCGGCCATAACGGTTGCCCCAGGGTTCGTCCATCTGACAGGTGCATTCCATCCCGCTTCCTGCAGGTAATTACTGTGTACTCCGTACGGAGTATGTTGTAAAAGTTGGGCCCCAGTTCGATCACGTATGATTTTCCCACGTCTGTGTTGGATCGCGCCTTGAAGTTAGTGGAGTGACCGAAATGATGCGGTTAGAGACTTGCCGCAAAAGAGCTCTAACGGGCTTGGTTTATGATTTTACTGTCATCACTTTGATTAAGTCTATTTGACCATACAGAGTACATATGCTCCATACCAGACTCTTGAATTTTGTAATCACATCCCGCATCCATGGCAACAGGCACTCTAACATGTCTTTGAGACGGGATCTCAACAAAGAAACCCGAATGTGAAGCGAATCCTACGCCGTTCCCAATCGGAGATGGCTGGGGAAAATCCGTCAATGATCTCCCAAGCATACGGGGGGCTAGACCCGTGTACCTTTGAACAAAGAGAAGAGAACCCATCATATGCAACTCCCAGCTCACTGCGGCCTAAGCTATGTACTCCGTACATGCGTTTCTATCCCGCGAACCTTTCCGTCCACCCGTGAACCTAGTTGAATTATTCGCTTCCACATGGCCATGCCAGCAACCAACCCCGGTTTAGTCCGTATGATTGGCCTCAACCAGTCGGAGGATCAGTCAGAGAAGAGGCAGTGAGATACCTCTTCTATCCGATGCATCAGGAGATCAGGGTGGCGCGAAAAAAGAAAAAAAAAAACGAGACAACAGGATGGCCGGCGAACAAGTATTCAAGCTAATAAGCCAGAAATGCGCGAGGCCTGAAACAAGGATTGTCCGTTAGGAGCCGAACAGTAAGACCGGTGTTCTACTATCTCCGTGCGAGAATGCAACTAGCAGAGGGGGAGAACTCCGAAGGTAGGACATGACATAACCAACATGCGATGATGAAGTAGACAGGAATCTCCTTGCTGTTCTCGCCCAGTCTGCGAGTGTCTGCGGTAGTACATCTTACATGGTACATCTGGTACGTCAACGGAGAAGCCAGCTACATCTCCGATCGAAGTGACTCGTACAAAGATGTGGTAAGCAAGGTGATTCGTGTGTACTTTTGTTTCAAAATTTGAGATGAGATGTCTTTGTAAATGAAGACGTTTGAATATGTGTTAGTCCTGAAGTAACACAAAGTAGTTCGAGGCAGCCAATTCTAATGCTCGAGTCTAATAAATTACCAAGGCGGCCCAACCTCTTCTGACCCCCCAAACAGTGCAGATTAGGGCTGCGTGGGCGACGGTTACAGGTTGCACATATTTATATGCCCAACCTCCTCAATTATTAGGCGCCGTGCATCTGATGATAAATACACTGGAATCAGGTATCCAGATATGATCAACATATAGAATATGTATAACATCCGACGGAGTACTCCGTATGGAAAGAATAAATAATTGAGTCACTTTTCTTTTTCTCAGAGTTCATGTTTGAGCTCTGGGATTTTGTATGGTAAAATAAGGTACCCGTTACCATGATGAGCGTCCCATTGGTTGAGACGGGATCAACCCGTTATTTGGGGATTTAGCTGGTTTCGGTTGGTTTGTTTGGGTTATTTGGGTTATTTGGGTTATTTTCACTTTATTGTTTTTGGTTTTTTTTGTTTGGTTTATTTTCGTAAATCAGTTTATTTTCTTTTTTGTTTTTTTCGCTTGGTACTCCGTATAATTTCAGTATTCAGTATTGAAGTCCGAATTCTCATACCAGAGAAACACCCCCCCCTCTCTCTATGCGCCTTATGTGTGTGCGATGCCTCTTTTATTCTTTCCTTTCATTTCTTTTTTCTTATACATATCCTCTTATACTATATTTTGATTCTCTCTTATACATAGATCCAACTGACCTCATCTTCGTCCATATTTTGCCACGGTGGACTGATCTGCAACGACCTAAAGTCGTTAATTTACCGTCTCCACGGCCCCGTCTAGGAGCTCAAGCTGTCACCGTGTCAGGGGCTCACCCTCGGTCCTCCGATCCCTCCAGTTTCCACCAGAACGGGTCTTCTCCTATTCTGGATTTTCCTTTTTATTGTATCGTGCCCGGTCCTCAGTCCTTCCAGATCGCCCACTACATGACCACCGTCGCTCCCCTCCAACTACCTCGTCACTCCTTACTTTTCCGTCAATGGAAACCCAATCGTCTGGCTCTGATTCTCGGACATGAACACCTGCTGCAATTGACATCTATACATACACACTCACTCGGGGATACTACGAAACTTTCCCCTCTACATAATTGTAAGAACGCCTGATCTTCCGAGAATGTCGGCAAGCTGACCTGAACCCCCCCATCAGAAACCCCCTCCGTCACATTCCTCTTCTCCCGATCTGCTGGCAGACCTGAAGAGACATACATCATCACGATGACCGTCACATATGATACCCCCACCCGGGGGTCACACACCTCCATGGCAACCCTCGAGGACCGCTTCGAAGTCATCAAGGAGATTGGCGATGGAAGCTTTGGTAGTGTTGCCGTCGCACGAGTACGGACCGCCGGTGCTCATATCGCTCGCAGAGGCACTATGGTATGGAATGACGAAATCGGTGGTGCATTGTGCTTCTACTGACTGATTGGTACAGGTTGCAATCAAAACAATGAAGAAGACATTTGATTCATTGGGTCCATGTTTAGACCTGAGAGAGGTCATCTTCCTTCGGACATTACCTATTCACCCCCACCTCGTCCCTGCCCTGGACATCTTCCTTGATCCCCTCTCCCATAAGCTTCACATCTGTATGGAATATATGGATGGCAACTTATACCAGTTGATGAAGGCCCGTGATCACAAATACTTTGAAGGCAAGCATGTCAAGAGTATTCTCTACCAGATCTTGTCCGGACTGGACCACATTCACGCACACCACTTCTTCCACCGCGATATTAAACCCGAGAATATCCTCGTGTCGACTTCCGCTCCCAATGATTCTGCTTTCAGCCGCTACTCTAACCTTGTCACCCCTCCTTCCACCCCTCCTGTCTACACTGTGAAGATCGCCGACTTTGGTCTTGCTCGTGAGACCCACTCCAAACAACCATACACCACATATGTCTCCACACGCTGGTACCGCGCACCTGAAGTGCTTCTACGAGCGGGAGAATATTCGGCACCAGTCGATATGTGGGCGATGGGCGCCATGGCGGTCGAAATTGCTACGTTGAAGCCCCTGTTCCCTGGGGGGGAACGAGGTAGATCAAGTTTGGCGTGTGTGTGAGATCATGGGTAGCCCAGGGAACTGGTACAGCAAGTCGGGCGCTAAGATTGGTGGTGGTGAATGGCGTGAAGGATCGCGCCTGGCCCACAAGCTCGGTTTCACATTCCCCAAGATGGCACCTCACGCGATGGAGTCCGTGCTTCAGCCCCCGATGTGGCCCGCGGCATTTAGCGAGTTCGTCACATGGTGCCTCATGTGGGACCCTAAGAACCGCCCAACGTCTACCCAGGCGCTTAATCACGAGTACTTTGCCGATGCGGTTGATCCGGTGCGACCCAAGTCCTCCACCTCGTCGAGACTGCTTGGCCGCAAGCAGTCCGAGAAGAGCTTCAAGTCACCAATTCTCACCCCCGGTGACTCTCCTACGTTGTCTTCGAAACCTTCATGGTTCCGAAGATCATTGGTCGTTCGGTCAGACAGCCCCGTACCTGCTGCAGATGACAGCCCTGCTCGGCCACCAGCTGTTGCGCAAGTCACTGTGCCTGAGATCCAGGCCATCAAGCCGCGTCCCGCGAACCCCAAGCGGGCTACTTGGGCAAACGGTGCCCCAATGCCAATTCTTCCTTCTATCCGTCCCGTCTCCCCCCTCTCCAACTCAGTTACGGCACAGGCAAACGCCACTGTGGCGCACAGCGAGGCTTCCAAGTCCTCCGACACATCAGCTAGTTCAAAGATCGGCCGTCAGTTGTCTGTCAATTCCAATGGGAATCACTACTCGGACGCAAATCGTCAAGAAGCTGAAAGGATACTCAATGGTTCCGGGACCCACACTCCAACCACAAAGGAGAGTTTCTTCTCGCATCTGCGCAAACGCGCCCGCAGATTGTCTGGGCGAAACCAATCAGCACCTGCTGACGACGTTGAGGCTAACGCAGGTTGCATCCCCTGGTCGAACCGTTCATCAGTGGCTCTTGATGGGCCTACTAGTGATCCAAAGCAAGGTTCCGACTTGACCGAGCTGGACAAGGCTCTCCAATGTGTCAAGTACTCCTTGGACTCGTCTACAATGAGCAACGTCCCCGTGCACTTGCACAATTCCGCTGACGGCAACACCAAGCGTCAGTCAATGCCTCAGGCGACTAGCAGCAACGCAGCTCCTATCTCCAGTAGAACTCGACGTGCCATGCAGATGTCTACCCACCCGGTTCACCGGTACGAGACTCCTGAAGAAGAAGACGAGTTGCTTGACGAGGTGTTGCACACCGCCAGCAAGGCGGCTAGACGCCTGGCTCAGACTCAGTCAATGGCTGTCGATTCGCACAGCCGTATCCACCGACAGTCCGACAACTCCCGTGCAGCGCAGAACCCCTACCCTACGCCGTCACCTACGGCCAAGGATAATGCCACGTTTGGTCAACAGTCGACACCTAGCAAATTGAACATTCACAAGATTGATCCCACGGCGCCAAACCGCCACTGGCCCACCCCTCCTTACGAGGAGGCCGAGTTTCACAACAAGAAACCGGACTACTTCGCCCGTGGATCCAACTACATCTGAGTCTCTCAGCCACAATCCTGAACCGCATCATATCCTTTTCAGTTAAGGAAAGCACAAAAATTCAGCAAAATTGCACAACGGAACAAACACCGAGCAACACAGCTCAAGGCGTATGGATTCGGGTATAGTTTTTGTTTTTTTCACAAGGTCTGGCCATTTCAGAAGGTGTTTTGTCTTTTGTCTTTTTTTTTATTTTTACATATGGGCATTGGGCTTTCGCCCTTTCTTGCAAGTTTCTCATTTCCCCCACTTCATACCCCTACAGGCATTTTTATAGATGGATACGGGCCTCGCTTTTCCCCCTTATTATGGAGTCCTTTCGTTTTACCATTTACCAGGGGCGTGATTTCTTTCCTTGACATTTGATACCACATGCGCGAGTCGCATCATATACCGCATTGCTACCTTATTAGGTCACCCTCTCTTCATCTGATATGAGATATATCGGATCTGCACATCTGCACATCATTCTTGATGAATATTGCGCTTTTTTCTTTTGTTTATATAATTCCCCCTTCTCCCCCACTTGTACATTGTCCGACTACCGCCATTCCCGTCTTTATTCTTCCTGTCTATCGTTTTTCTACCACTTATTTATCCCTGCATTTACATACTCCTGTCATAGCCCTACCTGCTTTGATTTCCTGTATCATTTCCTCCACAACCTCCACATGCTGGCTTGGATCCAGCCCGTTTATACTCTTGTAATATACCTCCGCCTTTGGCCGTTGTGTCATGCCCATACATACATCTCACTACATATGCATTGAATCTACTCAAAATATCATACCGAGGTCTCACAATTCTTTGTAATGTTCACCTGCTTCATTATCTTCTCCCAAGTGAATATCGGCTTAGTTGGAGCCGGTGGCGATGAAAATGATCTACAGCGTGGGAAGCTGAAATCATGGGTCTGATAGTCTGCAGGTTTTAATTCGCGCAGAGGCTAAGTCCATACCGTAGAAGACAGACCATTCCACCTCAAAATTACATGTTGAATGATCATCTTGCATCTATACTTCCCATACGGGGTACATGAATCCATATCAGCGGAACAATGATCATCCGTCACTCATCAAGATTTCCTGATTGAGACTGCTCTGCTTCACTCTACCAACTTTTTTTTCTTGTCCTCAATTGTCCACTAGCACCATCTCACCGGTCGAAACTAGACTGGGCATAGCTTGTAATCCGAGCTACCAACACCTTGGCATATCCAGACGCGACCCGGCAAGCACTTTTCAAAAATCGCCGGCCGATCACCACAAAATCAAATTGCCCGCCAGCTACGAGCTTAACCTGGGGCAAGCGAACTCCAGCTCTTCCCCCAAGAATACAGCGCTCTATTGTACCCGCCATACGCCAAAAATAAATTTACCAAAATGTCAAACCAAAGACAAGCCTCCTCCGCCTCCCAAGTCCCCCACCTCTCACCCGCCGAACTTTCCTACCTCTACACCTCCCTCAGCCTACCCAAGAACCCAATCCGACCAGACGGCCGCTCACCTACACAATTCCGTCCCCTCTCTGCCGAGACAACAATTCTCCCCGGCACGAATGGTAGCGCGCGCATCGGTTTCGCAGATGGCACGCAAGCGATCGTGGGCGTGAAAGCCGAAGTGGAGAAGACTGTTCTCGCGGCCGACACGCTTGATTCGCGCAGTCTGGCACAGCATGGTGATGCACTGAATCGCGAGGGCGAGGAAGGCTCGGCTGCTGTCTCGGGACAGGGAGAGTGGGTGCAGATGTCGATTGAGATCCCCGGGTTTAGGGACGATGATGCCCTGCCTGTGTTTTTGAGTGAGATGATGCGGGAGAGTCTGGTTGGTTCCGTTGCCGGTGGGAATGGAGATGGGGCGAAAGAGATGGCCGGCGGGTTGAAGGGAAGACTTGTGATTAACAAGCGGTGGCATTGGCGCTTGTATATTGATGTAAGTTTTTCACACCATACATGGAATCCCTATGGTTCCAAACGTATGATTTGGCCATTGCTAACATGTTATTCTCCAGGTACTGCTTCTCTCCCAGCCCCTCGCATACCCCCTTCCCCTCCTCTCGCTCACAACCCACCTCGCCCTCCTCAGCACTAAGCTACCGAAACTCAAGTCCACGGGTGAAGAAGATCCCTTCTTCGACGATGACTGGGCCGCCGCGGAGTATCTTTACCCGCGCTCCAATACTTCTAAATCTCCTCTCTCCGCCGCACCATCATACCCTGTTCGCCCACCAGTAACACTGCTTGTGATTTCCGTCGGTGACAACGTCATCTTCGATCCTAACCGCGAGGAAATCGCTGTCGCAGACGCTGTTCTGGCCATCTCCATTACGCGCAGCAGTGATTCGGAGACTTTGAAGCTGCTTTCTATCCGCTCAATCGATCCCCCCTCTCGCCTCACTCAGCCTGGTATCCCCAATGCTGAAAATGTGAATATGCTCGGTGCTTCTGCGGCGCCTGGCGAGGAGTCTGGTGGTCAGGAGGAGGTCGAGGGTGTCTGGCGTCCACGAAGGGGTGGTGTCAAGCGCAGCGTCATTGCGCGCATGATTAAGACTGTCCTTGGCAAGGGCGGTGTTGGTGAGGAAGTTCTTGAGGGACTTGAAGGGGTTGAAGTGCAATGAGTTCTTTATGTCAATCCATATCTCATGGCCATGCATGTGTAATAAAGTACAGCATTACTTTCAGGTTGCGACTGTGATATCTGATTTCATAGGTCGCTACTTCTGGAGTTTGGAGAAAAGCGTTGTCTTTTGATTAAATCGTTCCCGTTCATCGTTCGAGTGAAGTTGAGATAATTCTCCTATTGTAGCTGGACTTGCAGTCCACTAATGTACAAAATGGACTTAACTCCATTTACTCCAGCCTCACTGCTGGAGGGGTGTTTGACAGTCTCCTTTTGCAGGACCCAAATAATACAAGCTCACGGCCAAACCACATAGACGGCATATGTAACATATGTAGCATATGCTATGCTTATATAGCTACATCAACCGTAAATTTGACTCAAAGAGCCTACCTCTCCCAAGGTAAGTAGGGAATAAGAATCACCAAATTCCGAGCCACTTCTTAACGGGTTTCTTGTTACCCTCCCAATCAACAAACTCCTTACCGTCGGCACCCTCAACGGCAGCGACAGGGGACTGAGTATCGACCTCATTTGCACCTTCATCCTTCTTCTCAGGCTCTGCCTCCTCAAGGCCATGTGCGATACGGTACTGCTTCCTCTTCTCCGCATCCTCAACGCGTCGGTGTCGCTGCTCCCGCACGCGCATTGAATTATGCTGCACATGCATGCGCCATACAGAGAATGCCTGCGAGATGGTGTCAATGGGCGACGTCAGCAGACCCGACCAGGATGGTAGCAGGTGCGCGAACGGAGAGGTCGCTTTGAAGTTTGTTGTGAAGGTGAATCCGGCGCAGGAGATCAGGACGCTCTGTATTATTTGTTAGTTGAAGATGCACTCAGTTCTGCTGGGGGATTTGTGATAGATCAAGAGCTAGATCTGAGGATAGACCCAGAACTAAATCTGTGCAGCCGGCCACTCACCAATGCAATCCAGATGTGGATCCACTTGCTTGTCAGGAACTTAAACATCACTGTTCCTTCTGGCGGAAACATGCCTGGGTACTGCGTCTTGTTCTGCTGCAAACGCTCTTTCTCCGTCGTGCGCGGGCCATACTCGAATGGTTGGCCTGGGGGTGCGTTCTTCGGAGATGGAGTCGTGAGGCGCTGGGGATGCGAGGGCGGGCGGAATCTATCGGGCTTTGCGAGAACGCGGGGCTTGGAATTGGCATTGGTGTTGCTGGCTTTTTTCAGCGCGGCGCTGGTCGAGGTGAAGCTGCGTTGCGCGCTTTGGCGTTGGAGGGCGCGCAGGGTCAACGCTGAGGGTGGGCCTCGTGGGAGGAGGAAGCCAGGAATTGAAGTTGGCATTTTTGAGGTGCTGTTCTTCCCCTTTGCTCGTGTTGAGGGGTTGGGCTGATTTTGTTGACTTGATCTAGATGTGGAACCGTAGATGCAATTTTTGGAGAAGGTTTTATATCACGTGACACTATCGGGACAGCGGATGCCGATTGAGTCGAGATGCTCGCACCCGGCTGACCGCATATCCTAACTATTTTGGGGCTGGAAAAAAAGAGTGAGGCCACTTGACCTTGCCAAATTTCACATGGATGGGTATCCATGATTTCCCGTGTTTTTTTACGAATTGAAATGGTCTGAGATAGCTCTAAGGTATACAGCCTATTCATGATTTCACGCTACATAAAGCAACATAATGATTATCGTCCAAGTTCACTGCCTCGGCAACAAACTAAATTGCATTCACGGCCGAGAATGACGCAAAGTCGATAATAAACCGTTTCTGCCTCAGGATCTACACATCGGACCACCAGCGGATCAGCTCGGGCGAATGAGAATCCTGCCATTTCGAAGCCAAGGTGGATCGGGAAGTTGCTCCAGTTCTCCAGGGGGAAGGGGGGACGCGCGCAAGATATGACTGGGGGATATGGACACGGGTTTCTATGAAATAGGAATCCAGGGCTTCAGTTTGTGAAGCTCGAAGCTTGCATATGCACAAGCGTGTTAGTCAGGAACCTGCATTCAGGATAACTGAGCTGATGATGATGTGATGAGATCATGGGGCGGAATATGGAGTGTACATATTACTTCTTTGCCACAAGCCAACTGTCATTTCAAAGCTGTTCCCATGGATGAAATTGGTGAATCCAAGCAAGAAAGTAGAAACAAGAAGTGTAGAAGTGTCGGAGTATAACAGACACACCGAAGTTCCCGGTTGTGCCCGTCTACCTGAATCATCTGACTTCTGATTGGCGGAGAGACGGATTACGAGAGGGAGCGTCGGGGCCAAGTACAAATAACCAGATTTTCTTTTCTCCCTTCCCAGATTTTTTCTGTACAGTACAGTGTCATAATAACTTCTTATTATCTTCATTTAATACTTCACAATGGCCCCCAAGAAGCAAGAATCTTTCGCCCCTGGTAAGCTACCTACTTCCCCCATTGAGGTTACAGGTTGAACGGGGAGGCGCGATGGACGCCATGGAGGAAGGAAGTGAGAGTATCCGACTCCTACGATGGCAACACTGTTACCTACTGGGATATCGATTGATACAATTCCTCGCCTTTCACCTTGCGACTCCTCGTCAATCTAACTCTCTCTCAATTGCGCGTCGCCGCAACCTCACTCCAAAACACCACATCAGTCATTCAACATGACCACTTTTGATGTGTTCTGCACCTTGACGACCATCGACATGCGCGAGGTCGAGCGTGCAGAGGCCCTCATTGAACACGCCAAAAAAGAAGTCGACATGATCGCTAATCTCAGCTTCCTTCCAGGTGACGCCGCCAAGGGTGCCAAGCTCTTCCAGGTACGTTCTTTATTGTTCCACGCGCAGACAAAGAAACGACAGCAAACTAATAGCTCTTGTTTTTCTAGACCCGTTGCGCTCAGTGCCACACCACCGAGGCCGGCGGTCCCCACAAGGTCGGCCCCAACCTCCACGGTCTCTTCGGCCGTAAGACTGGCTCCTCCGAGGGTTACGCCTACACCGACGCCAACAAGCAGGCCGGTGTTGAGTGGAACGAGGACACTCTGGTAAGTGCTAGCCGCCACCACAGCCCCCGATCGCCCGCTAACGATTCATAGTTCTCCTACCTCGAGAACCCCAAGAAGTTCATCCCCGGTACCAAGATGGCCTTCGGTGGTCTCAAGAAGACCAAGGAGCGCAACGATCTCATCACGTACGTCACCCGCGAATCTACATTTAAGCATCCAACTAACAACCCCATAGCTGGCTCAAGGATAACACCGCATAAACGACCTGATGTTCTTTTTTATTCCCCGGCTTTTTGTTCTGTTTCTCCCCATAGAAGTCTGGGATGGCGCCATGGGCTGATCACTCTTCCCAAGGACCGGGCCTGTATTTTTACTACAATTTCCATGACCAACAATAGATTTGATCTTCTCCTCTACATTCTGATATTCCTCTCTTAATATAGAACAAACGCACTGCAAACGGGGATCATGCAAGGTTTCAAGTGTTTGAGATTCTCCGGATTGTCATGGAGGGCTGAGTTATGATTGGTTGATGGGCCTGGATGTATCGATTGGGCAAACATGGGCGGTCAGGCACGGAGATACTTGACGTGTACTTCTCAAGTACAGGGGTACTGTCGTAAAGACCGCCCAAATTGGAAGTACCTGCGGAGTACTGCTTTCGTATCTTTCCGGTATCTGATATGTACAACGCGTGTTGGCCCTCGAGTCTCCAGAGTCAGCACATGACCGAGCAGGGGTCAGGCTGATTGGCCCAACCTCTTCGACTTTGGATACAAGTGAGGGGATGCTTTCTCGTCTTCTCCCTGCATTGCTCAAGGCGTTTCGATCCCAGTTTCATACTAATACCCAGCGCGTTTGCTGATCATATCTTGTCCCACAACCACAACCACTATCGAATGCTATCGCGGAGATATCCCGTATCGCCATTTAGAATTCAGTCCCTGCCTTGTCGCATCGCATCGCATCATACCTTATCGCATCTTTGTCGTGAGGTTGATTGCGCATATATCTTCTGTAACGGCTAGCGCATGAGACACCCGTCCCAGTGCTGTACTAACCGCTCTATCTTACTTACTCAAGCCAAAGCGGTTTAACCGCAAGTGTTCGCCATTCATAGGCATTGATCTGCGCTTCGTCGCTGAGAATTGCAGTGCCTCTTCTTCCGAGGCGCGACTATCGCGATACGCCGTCCGGGATGCTGGATGACTTAGACAACGTCTTCGACGACCATCCATCCCTGGACGCGTCGCTCGAAGACTTTGAGAACAATACCAACCCCCACAGATCCCCAATGTTCGCTCTGCCATCCCAACACTCCGGATTCCGGTCTGAAGACTCAGATGGGGAAGATGCAGAGATCGAGGACCCCGCCCAGGAGCGTTGGTCACCTCCAGGCTTTCACCAACCCGAATACGTCCAGGGCAGTGGATGGTACCGCCACCAGCCCTATCTACGCAAAGATAACCTCAATACGGATCGCTTGCAACTCAAGCCCACAATCGGGCTGAGTATCTCCCCCGTCCCAGTCGCGCGAGCCAAGTCCACAATATGAGGATGCGCTCGAGAGCCCAACGAAGAGTAGACAGGTCGATCGTGCCACCCCGGGCGACATCTCTGTCGCGGCTAATGTGCCTCTACCGGCGGGTGCAGATACCCCCCTCCATGGAAGATCTCCAAGTCCGCCTCCGGCTCCGACAGGACGCACACCTCGCCACAGTCCCGAGGACGACGGGGTGGGCTTTGGTGCGGAAAATCTGAGCAACTGTAGGCCCTGTCTGATCTAGTTTCAGTTGCAGGTGCGGGTATACTAACGATTATTGTGAATGAATAAAGACATTCGCTTTGCAGTGCGCGCAGAAGTCCAGCACCGAGAACCCGTTGCCGCATTGTTAGGCTTTCTGCGCTCAAAGTTCGAGCGCATGACCAGCTCCAAGTCTAACACCACCTTATCTATCATAATCCTCCTCCTCTCAGTCGCGTTCATGCGTGCCCTAGTCCTACCAGGCCTCCCGCAATCGATCCCCGATCTAGTAAAGCTATCCGGCTTTGCGCGCTCCTTCGAACCACTGATATACTACTCAGAGAACGGCGTCCAGCAAATCGGCACCCTACAAGAAACTGGTGTCGCAGTCTGGGATCTGAGCGAGTCCGTCCGCGGCACAAATATGACCAGCGCACCCATAATCGTGCGCCAACTCGATGAACTCTCCGATTCCCTAAAGTCCCTTTCCCTCGAGCTAACCCGCTTCTTCGCAAACGTCGACTCCGACATCGACTCCATCCTGATAGTAATGGACTGGGCCAAGCGCGAGCTCGAAACCCTCTCTGCGCAACCGCCAAGCACCCTCCCTACCATCGTCTTTGACAACATGCACAACATGCTCTCACGTCTCGGCGCACTCGAACGCTCGGCCCAGGTTTCCGACAACGGCGTCTCCGCAACCTCAACGACCACAACCCCACTCGGTCACCTCGTAATGGCCGTCTTCGGGCCAACTTCCGCACAGCGCACACGTACAACCCTAACCCGCACCTTCACGGAGTTCCTCTCAGTCCTGGAGGAATCAATCAACAGCGAACTCACCCACTCAACCGCGCTGTTCGCGCTCTTCGAGTCCATTGACCGCCAGTTCCTCAATCTGCAGCGCACGGTAGTCCGCGAATCAGACGCCCAGGAACGCGCAGAGGGCGAGATGCTTTCTTCTCTGTGGACGCGCGTGCTTGGACCGGATGCTGCGGCAGTTCGCAAGTACGAGAAGAATAAGAAACTCCTCGCCAATGTCCGCAGTCGTACGGTCGCCAATAAACACCTTCTCGTTGACCACCGCGGCCGACTGCTCACGCTGAAGGTCAATCTTGAGACGCTGCGCAGAAAGCTTGTTAGTCCGCTCGTGCGTCGGAATGACTCCGTTAGCTTTGTTGGCTCGATCGATGGAGGTGGAGGGAATGGGAATGGGAATTCTGGCTCTACAGGCCGAATGCTTGGCCCTGTTGAAGCCGTTATCGATGGACAGATTCGTGGGTTGGAGGGGACGTATGATTATCTGCGTACTGTTCGCGAGAAGCAGAAGGCGAAGCTTATGGAGCTAGTCTATGGGGCTGGGAGGAAGCCGAGCCGGGCTATGATTGATGGGTTGGATGATGATGAGTGAATGGCCTCAGGCCTGATCTTATTTGTTGCCTTTGCTTCCTTTGACCTCATTTGTGGCATAGCATCCGGTTTTCGGTTGGATTCTTTTGTCTCCTCTCTGGCGTTTTCTAGGGCATATGTGGCAGGGCATCTGCGGGTGCGGGCTTTTGGGAATATGGTGGCTCACCTGCTGTGCCTCTTTGGATGACTGCTTTGTTTTTGTTTTCTCTTGATTTTGTGGCGAATTGGCAGGATTGCGAGGAAAAGGGATAGAAACATTGGCGCCAGCTTGTTTTACTTCACTTCTTGGAGCCGTGCAGTTATGGGGTTCTCTTGTGGATGTATGAATGAATCTTCTTGCTGTTCATAGCCATGTTTTTTATGCAGCTTTCATACAAGTCCCTGTTTATATAGAAGTTTTCTTTATACTGTTTACGCTTTCTCCCACCTGATATTGTCGTAGAGTTCACACCTTTCATAGCGACATAGTGATCATTCTTCTAAGGATAAAACCGACGGGGAATATTTTTAAAAGGATACAAGACACGTATGAGAGTTGTCTTATATCTGGGGTTCCTCATATCATATCAAGGTAGAACTAGAGCCCCTCCGTTGTCAAGGACAGAGGCCGTATGTGCAGCCGACTAGTCTGGATGTAAATGCAAATTGGATCTTCATTCTTTGTTCCTCTGCTTGTTTGCTTTCCCGTTGATAGATTAAAAAAAAAAAAAACCATTGTAAAGTCTTCAAGCCAAGCCTACTGAATTCAAGATGATCCTCATTGACAAGAATCGTCAGGTAGTAGCTCCGGGGATGGCCATCTAGGAGCAACTTATTGCTTCCCCACGAGCCTGTCAGCTCCGCAGAAATGTGCCTAAGCAAAACCCTCCTAACCAATGAGAAAGGGAGGTCCTCAAGGCGCTTGTGGATCGGGTCAACATGCTGTTCAACTGACATCAAGATAATAGTCAACGGTGAATCGCTCGTTAACGCAGACGCCAATGCAGAGATCCCTATTGAGCTAGCTGCAAGACTCCATGTAGAGACCATGCAGGGTTCTCTTCCGTTCCAAGTTCCAACCTTAGACCCAAGGTTGAGAGGCTTTATATAGGCGTGAAGTAAACGATTTTTCTATGAATCTATAATCTCTCCTAGTTTGAATTCGCCTAGAGATTTCTTAGCATGGAACACCGCGCAAGTCTTTTCTAGGTGCCAAAATCAAGGCGACAGTGAGAATGACATGCTTTTTTTCAGACTAAATTGAAGAACTGTTGGGATTCTAGAAGTACAGCTTTTGCCATGGTCAAGTGTATTCGCCTGATACAAGATCGGTATAAGATACCCGGGAGTGGGGGCATGGGATATGCCTAGTTCCACTCCAACTTTGTGACTCCTTCAACTGTCTCACCATGTCGAAAACCTCGCAGTCCATACTGGGCATCCAAGGATCGCAATGGAACACTTCTTCCAGCAGACCTACTGTCGCAGTGTTATTTCAAGCAATCGATCCCCCTATGATCAACGGAGTCTATAAACCATGCAAACCAGGCGGTATGATGCCGCAAAACATAGCCCCATAATCTAATTGCTTGTGCTAATTCATCCCAGGATATCAGGATTCAGGTGCAGATATTGCATACACATTACGTTCTAAGGGAATCGAGGTCATCACGCCCCATCCCTCCCCGTCTAGTGCCCAGCATGAGGGCTGGTGTTTCCCAGATTCAGAAGAAGGCATACATTCCGCAGTAACCCAGGGCGCCACACACATATGGGCAAATACGATCGTATTTGCTTCCCATCCTCTCCAAACAGCATCATGTCTGGATAGCTATGCTCCGACTCTACAGGTCGTAGGCCAACCGCCGGGTCTGGTAGAGAACTTCGATGACAAGATGTACCTGAACGATAAACTGCGTGCACGAGGGGGTTTTACCTTGCCTCAGTCATGGGCAGTGGAGGTAGGAGAGGACATAGATGCCTTGATTCAGTCAATTCCCAACTACCCTATCGTCGGGAAACCAGTTCGTGGGCGCGGCAGCCATGGCGTGAAAGTCTGTGATACTCCCCGTGAACTGAAAAGTCACATTGAATCGCTATTCAGAGAATCACCTGTGGTTTTGCTAGAAGAATTCCTAGCTGGCGAGGAAGCTACAATCACCGTCATGCCTCCTTCAATTAACCAACCGAAGTATTGGAGCATGTCTCCTGTGGTCAGATTCAACCACGACCAAGGTGTCGCGCCGTACAATGGCACAGTGGCTGTTACTGCCAATTCCCGCATTGTCTCCAAGGATGAGATGCGAGATCGAGCCTATGAGGAGGCGATGCGCGAATGTGAAAGGGTAGCAAGTCTCATCAAGGCTACGGCTCCCATCCGTATTGACGTCCGGCGATTCCGACATGGGTCAGATTTTGCTATTTTTGATGTTAATATGAAACCTGTATGTCTTTCCTTCTAAATAGCAACTACGATCTGTGTGCTGACCTCGACTGCTAGAACATGACTGGTCCTGGTCGACCAGGTCGCGAGGATCAAGCTAGCCTGACTGCTATGGCAGCGGCTGAATGTGGATGGGACTATCCTACGCTATTGGAAAATATACTAAATGGGGCCTCGACACTGGAGACGCTACGTCAATATCGTACTCCTTTATGAACACGCGTGATGTTGACCCATGTCAATCAAGGCCGTAGGCATGAGAAACGACGAGGCTGGTACCTAGTCCAGCATAATGCAACTACAAAGCAGCCTGGATCACATATAAGCCAGTGCTTTTCTTCTGCTTTGCCATCTCAATAAAATCAAACATATATCCCATCTTCCAATCAGGCCAGTTCATTCCCACGACCTCGATATCGGTATCTTGGTGACACTGCCAAAGCATGAAATCACTCAAACGATAGACGCCCGATGTACGTATTAAAATGTCTAGCGGTGGAAATCCAATAAACATTTTCTCTGTCAGAGAATTCGCCGTGATCTTGCCAGGCAAACCAGAATCAGCAACAGTGCCCCTGATAGCAGAGGCAATCTCATCCCTGCCAGTATAAGCGACACAGATATTCAAAACCTTGCCATGGTTATTCTTTGTAGCACTCATAGCGTTGTTAATTGCCCTCAAAGCGTTATCTTCTAGCAATTCCAAACGACCCAACACCCGGATTCTCATATCATATTTCTTCACCAATGGATCGTTCTCGCCAATCGCTCCAAGTATCCCGTCTAGCAGCTTCATAAGAATGCCGATCTGCTCTTTTGGTCTGTGGAAGTTCTCAAGGCTGAATGCGTAGAGGGATATAACATTGATTTCACAGTCGAAACATAGATCCACGATCTGTTTGTCCGGTTATCTCAATAGTGGGTGATATAAACTTGGAATATCAAGCATGGTAATTCACCTTCATTAAAGTCTTTGCACCAGCCAAATATCCCGCCGCAAGGGAAATAGTGTTCTCTTTTGCATACCGTCGATTTCCATCCATTATGAATGCCACATGCTGTGGGATGGGTCCTTGAGCCAACGTCTTCAACGCGAATTGGTTGATATATATAAAAGCATTCTCCAGGGCTTTATAGATTAGATGGAAAAGTTGCATTGTAAGTGGAAGATCTCGAAGGCAAATCGAAAAGTTTCTCTCAACCCGTGGAGTCGATGTTTATACGGAGCTCCAGCTCCCTTCCTCGAAAGATCCGCAAACATGTTTCACAAGGTACTATATACAATTTTAAGCATCTGTGCTCATTCCAAATACTCAGTAGTGCCCAATCACAGTGGCTTCTACCACGGGATCATGTCTACATTGAGGTTGTCGTTCCCAAGGCCATCATCATGTGTACCAATATTAATGCCAGTGATTTGGCTCATTTAGATGTCTCAGTTGCACTTTTCGGGTGCTAGGTAGGTTCCGGAAGTACTTTCGTATTCTAAATTTGAACAGTATCTAAAGCTGAACTCGTCTATTTTATAAACTAGATCCATGTCAACTTGGGGGTCTCTGGCCTAACATTCCACCTACGCGCATATATATATATTGATAAAAATACACACAAAAGAAAGCAAAAGCAACCCTAGAGCGAATCACCATAGGAACTACCGAAGCGACCAATCACCACTTATCACGTCCCTTAATATGTGTCACTGGTGTTACTTTATCCTGCTCTTAAGTATGACGTGCGTCAGTTTTGTGTATGCGGTGTTGTATCGAGAGATAGTGTGCCACTCCATCGCGAATTCAAGGCTCTGATGGGATTGGTCGGCGTTGATAAGCATTGCCCTGAGGCTTGTATTGACGAACAATGGCGACATTTCCGTCTGAAGAGTGCTTGCAATAGGTCGGGTTCATATTTTTATAATACTCTAATACGTTCGGGCTCTTCTTGAGTTAGACGGACTATTTTCCCATGAGAGAGAACCAATGCAAATTCGGTAAGATTGATTGAATGGAATAACATCCTCAAAATATCAACGCAACATGGACTTCCCCTATAGATTATTTCCTGGTCCTTGTTTCCCTTCCATAACCGAAGCCACTCTGCAGTGGGAGGTAATATACAGCCATATACCATCCACCTTATATTCCCGCAATTAGGTATACAATAAATAAATCAATACGAGTCTATGATCTGAAGAGCACAATGGTTGAATTCAGTGGCTAGTCGAAGTTCCACAAAAGCATACGCATCCGTCGAAGCTTCCCTCATACCTTTCCATGTCCAGCGCCCATCGGCTAAGTTCAACAAGATCTCGTCCCGCTATCTAGCAGAACCGAAGTATTTTTAGGTGGCATAAACTCCTTCGTGCTGTATATGAGATGAAGAGGGCCGGACTGCTTATTGGCAGGCACTATCTTGCCCCTGGATATTTGAAGCCATCATGAAACTCGAATATTGTTATAATCGGAAGAGTTATTATCACGCTGACGTAGAACCTCCACTTTGAGTGATCCTTCACTTTGGATAGCCTGAAATCGTTTTAATCTGGCCTGGCGTTGCACGTTGCACCTTTGGAGCGCATTGAATATCCCTGGGGAGAACTGAAACGCCGAGAAAGAGAGACAGAAAGAGTAGTTGAGCCTGGTATCGCTGATGACGAGGAGCCAAATTTTGAGTAGTTCGAATATATTGAACGGCGTGTGTCGAGGAGGTCGAATAGGTAGTCGATTTGATTGGAAAGGCCAGGAATGTGTCTTTTTGTCTGTGTACCCCGACCACAAGATATCCCTGGAGGGAAAGGAAAAGGGATAGCTAGACCTCTCTAGTAAAAGAGGTCTCTTCAAGCGGCTGCTAGTTCTCCCGTAACGGTATTGAGTACCGTCGAAACGCCCACAAACTGCTGATTCATGCCTGGAACGGAGTTCCTGGAACAATGTCCCAAATGCAGCTCCCTTTCGATTGATTGACTGTGACCTCCTTGATAGAGGCTACTAAATCTGTCCAATATATGCAAGCATGGGCGTGATCCCATCCACTAAAACCATACTCGTCGAGTTAGCAGAAAATTTCCAATGTCTAGAAGATGCTTCTTACCGTGAACCAAGATCCTTTTCCCATTCCTGGACGGAGTCTGTGATCTGTGATTTTAAATCTGGCCGAGCACCTCCCTTTTGACGGACAGCGTATATGAGACACGAATGAGAGTTTCGGGATTCCCAGATGCCAACAAACAAGTCCGGCAAAAAGGTGAGTAATAGGAAGATGGTAGAAGTAAGGAGAGATTCGATCGCGGGATTTAAATACAAAACCGTGGCTTCCTAGTTAGGTAGGTACGCATGGAGAGGAAAGAGCGATTAATATGTGACGTTGGAACTTGAGTATACATGTCACATATCAAGGCGAGAAGTTATAGATAATGCTTCGTATATGGCCTAAAACTAGGATATATTTTTATAGAGAGAAAGAGTTTGTTGGTTTCAGTATGGAACGGAGTGGACAGGGAGAAAGGGAAAGAGGGAGAGATTTAACCGGCTACATGATCCTGACCTCATGACCTGATTGGGGCCTAAGGCCAGCAATATAAGTTGGGAGATTCTATAATCAAGAACAATCATTGCCAAGGATTTGGTCATGGGTATCTAGCAGGGACTATCTTCATTCAATTGAGGAGTTGACTGGGTTGCACGTAGATAAATTTTTCTACACAATTAATCTATTTCCTTTCCTCATGCTTTGGAGCCTCAGTCGGTCTTCGTGATAGTACGCTTATGCTCGAAGCTTGTCCTTGCAACATCGTCTTTGATCAACCGAGCAAGTCCACCGCGCTGTTTCGGACAATGTTAGGACCCAGGACTGCGGCCAACTCGGCAATGATTCCCTTGATAGACATTGGCGAAGTCATTGACATGGTTTCCCATTTGACGAGATCCTAATTGAGTTTAGTAAGGAGGTCTCTCTCCGGACCGAGAAAAGATATAATTGCTTACCTTCATGTGAACAAAGTTGTTGTTAAAGAACAGCAGCCAATGATCTAGGTCCAGTGCTTCCACTTCGGAAACAGTAAGGACACCGGGCATACCGATATCAAAGAGGGAAACCTGCTCTAGATCGGCGTCACTTTTCGGGACTTGGGGCGCAGGGGAGGATGATCGGTCCCGAGACAAAGAGACATAGGAACGAGAATTAAGCTTCTCTGTCATTTCGCCATCCAGCGGGTCCCAGTCGCCGGATTCAGGGTCTGAGTAACAGAGAAAAGGGTCAGATGTTGGGCACAATTTTTACGTAGTACAAATAACATGTACTAAGAGACGATTGGGACATACCAAGGATGTACTGGGGGCGGAAATTGGCCTTGTAACGCATCTTCTGGCAGGTGTGAATGTAGTACCCTACATTTCGATTGTCAAAAGCGAATCAAATAGGGACTAATTCCACAATAGTAACATACCCATATAGTAGTACATGTACTGATTCTCGATCGAGAAGGCAATTTCGCGCATGGCGCTCAACTTGCCGATTTCCCATTGCTCGTAGGTGGGATCATAACTGTGTGGTACTGTCAGCTTATTGCATATTTTGGTGTTTCGGGGTGCACTCAGCCATCAGCTTACAAGACGTAGACGGAGCTGACCCCACTGGGGACCAAGTCCAATACCGCAACAGCAATGAGCTCGCCATCAAGACGATAACACTGATGCCATGAACCGAGTTTCTTCTCAGAAGAATTCGTAGTTGTTAGGGGATTTGGAGTTCGTTTGATGCCTGAGCATAAGAAGCGTTGAAAATCCTTGGGTTTCCAGTGAGAGACATCCTCTTTATGGATGGCCGTTTGGTATTTGAGAAACAGCTCGAACTTTGCCTGAGACACAGAGTCACCTTCAATGGTGATTTCAAAGCGGTGCGCTGGTTCAATAGGAAGTTTGGTGGCAGGGTCGATTGGCCGTCTGACGTGGTCGTACTCGCTCTGGTGGACAGCTGCCAGAAGGTCGAAGTTGCACTTGCGATGCTTTTTCTCTCTTTGCATTGGTTAGCAGTGATCTGATATCAAATTTACTACATATAGGGTTGCATACTCGCGGGTTCGCGGACAAAGTCGGGCTGCCTTTCGTATATACTCGGGACCTAGGATGAATTTGTTCCACTTGTTGATGGCCTTGCGTTGATCGCGGCGGGGCCGATAAGCGGATGCTTCTAGTCTCAAAGTATAGTGAGGACAACAAGACCGAAGTAGGTTTTGTTTGTAGTAGAGATTTCCCGATCTAAAGATGTCAGTATGGCTTGGTGGGTTACAGGAAAATTAAATCGGGGAATCATACCGCCGCCAGCCGCCGTTGATCAGCTCTTCATAATGTTCCGGGTGTACGGACGTGGAGTTGGTGTAGTACGATTCACCTTTGTCATGTCAGCATCCTTTTCGAACTCTTTCTAGCCCTGAAAGAAGAAAAAAGGACGAAACAAGACAGGGGTAGGGACAACAAACTTCCATCTTTGGACTTGCAGTAACCACACGAGTTCTTTTGGTATCCTGACAGGATCACATCACATTAGTCTTTGCATAAGAGGGGTTGGACGATCAAAGAGCTGCAGCAATTGGCGTTGATATCCCCGCCGGATTCCCCTAAGTGGTAATGCTCTTGGCCAGTGGAAGCGCCACGGGGTAACAGAGGTCTATCTCAGTGGTTCCCTGCAGGAGAGTGGGACGTATTAGACGTACCCAGTGGACGGAATAGCGACAACTTTCGCGCGCGTTCAGCGTCAACCCGCTGCATGTTTAGTTTAGAGATGTGTTGGCGTGCACCGAGTGTGAGTTGTAGTCTCGGAAGAGAGGAGGGACTGAAAGTTGAAGTCGGGAAAGTCGGGGGTTTGTAAATACGGTCTATACGGTCTATACGGTAAGGGGGATGTGTCTACGTTTATGTGGACTGATGTGTTTTAGGTCTATAGCTTTTTTAGCCGTGTATGTATCTCATCGCTCAAGCCACATAGCCGATCTTATAGTTTCTGGTCAAATCGCCCGAGTTTCCTCCTTCTCGGTACCAGCAAATCCCGTGAGTTTTAAGAGGCTCATTACCCGCACATTTCGAAGGTGATGTGGGCTGAACGATAGGTTAGTGATCCAAATGATTGTAGATTATAATCGATTATAGTAGATTCTATTCGATTATGATAGATGATAGCAAGTATACCAACATCTATAGCCATATATATTGAAACATCCCAAATAGTTCTTTGATCTAGGGAGTCACATGACCATATATAGAGTGAAAAGGAGAAAAGTCAAGATCATCGAACTGATGACAGGAATTCTTTCTATAGTGACTCTAGTGTCTCTAGTGCATGTAAACAAGACTGTAAGAATGCAAAGGAATTAATAAAAAAAAAAGGAGAGACAGAGAGAAAAAGAAAAAGAAAACAAAAAGCAACGTACCTTGACTCTTCTCCCGGACTGCGCCGCCGGTGCCCCTCCATTCCCACTTCTCTTCATTTCTCCATTCCTCAATAACCTCCCATTTCTTAGATCTTCTTTTCAAAACCATGCCTATTTCCACTTACCATTCCAATCCCCCGTCAGGCATGAACGGGAAGACCTGATCTCCATTGACCTCCGCAAATATCCAAAGGGAAAAAAAAATTCCCCCCGACCGCCCTCGCGCTGTACTCCCGCTCTACACCACCCCCAGACACCTGGAGCTTCCACTCTCACCTCAGAGACCTGACAGGCTCCGAGGGAGCTTGCGAGAGCATCATCTATTGGATTTTCCTTGATCTCTTTGACACCCTTGGTCTTTCCACTCTTTTTTCTCTATTTCTTCATTTTCCTCGGGGACTTTCCTTTCCACTCCACACTCAATACTCGGAGTAAATCCAAGGATACTCGATTGTCTATCACAATGGCTCAAATACGTTCTATGGAAGCCCGCGTTGGGCGGAAAAACCAACGTGAGTTATCGTTAATGTCGCTTTACGGCTGCGCACGTGGGGGCGACCCGTCCCCCTTACGTATACACCGTTCCTGTGTTTCCTGACTCTAACGGCTTGTCATAGGCTACGGTTCAAAAGGCGAGCGACTGGTAGCCGGCGTTGTTCCTATTTCCGCCGACAAGACCAAAGTTCTCATGATTCAGTCCGCAGGACCCGGAGGTTGGGTGCTCCCCAAGGGTGGATGGGAGCTTGATGAAAAAACCGCTGAGCAGGCTGCATGCCGCGAGGCCTGGGAGGAAGCCGGTGTCATCTGCATCGTCATCAGAGATCTGGGACTCATTCCGGACATGAGACCCTCCGGTCTTCTCACGGCGCAAGCGCCCAAAGCCTCGTATCAATTTTTTGAAGTCTCCGTTGAGCGAGAGGAAACGGAGTGGCCCGAGATGCACAAGCGGAAACGGCAATGGGTCCCTTATGCCCAAGCTGCCACTGCTCTCGCAAATCGACCCGAGTTGCTCGAAGCGTTGAACCGCAGCTCGTTAAAGCGGTAGCCCCTATCGCGTGCACATTCATTCCTTTTTTATATCAACTACTCTCCCCTCCCCGCTCTTCTACCTCTATGTGCATCGCTTTCCTGAGAGAGCTACTCCCTGATAATGACTCGACATGACCAACTCCAAAAACACGGTGGCTTCGTCGCTTCTACTATTGGCTTTGTCTACCTTTTTTTTGCATCTTTTTAACGGGCTGCCGCTACCCGTCCTCTGTTTCATTTGCGAATGAATCATATGAGCCTGCGTGCTTTGCTTTGTCTCGCTCTGATAGACGCCTTTCACAAATAGGCTTGAGGGCTTTGAGACGTTCTTGCATTGATACTGGAGGATCCCTTGTTTTATCAACGATGGTATCGGACTATTTTATCTGAATCCATTGTTTGCACTGTTTCACTCGCCAGATTTGGGTCGAGCGCCACACTTCCCTTAGTTCTAGACACCAGTCTTTTGCATGGCTTTTTGGATGCTGGATCCAGTGTCTATACCCAGCAACTGAATCAATTCTGAACCACTTCCTCCGCTCTCTAACTCGAGAAAGAGAAGAAGGGAATGAATAGCAGAAATTATTTTATTATAACTGTAAATGTAAATTTAAAAAAACGAATGATTTGATATTGGCACTTTTCAGAGGGTGTGACCCGATTAGGCAAAGCGCAAAAAGCTGTCCGAGGGAGCAAATCCGCGTGCCCTCAAGCCAACAACTTCGCGCTCGAATCATCTACAACAACAGCTCTCATTGCCCTCTCATTCACCATTGTATTCCGAACCTTTCGCCTTAATTTTTTACTTTTATGACCCGCGGATAAATACCTTCAGCTTCAGACAAGGGTGGCGGCGAGCAGCGCTGCCGCATACATACCAACATGGATTACGAAATGGATCTCGAGCCCACAGGGCCCCAAGTGACAGTCCGCGAGGTAAGCCGAGAGACATCTTCAAAGCGCCAGGATGAAACGCTCACAAATCCTACAGGCGGAACCCTACCACGTCGACTTCAGATTGACTGCAGTCGACCTCGCATTCGCCAACTCCCTCCGACGAACCATCCTCGCCGAAGTGCCCACTTTGGCACTCGACCTGATTGAAATTGAAAGTAACACATCTGTCCTCCCCGATGAGTTCCTCGCCCACCGCCTCGGCATGATCCCCTTGAATTCGTACAACTGCGACCAAGACCTCGACTACACACGAGACTGCGACTGCGAAGACCACTGTGTGCGCTGCAGCGTGACGCTGTCTCTACACGCGCGCTGCGGTAGTGGTATCATGTCAGTCTATGCGCGAGATCTGATTGTCGTCGGCGAGCGGATCAACGAGAAGATCGGTGATCCTGTTGTCACTGATCCGGAGAATAAGGGTCCTTTGATCTGCAAGCTGCGTAAAGGGCAGGAGATTAAGATGACTTGTCTAGCAAAGAAGGGAACTGCCAAGGAACATGCTAAGTGGGCACCCACTGCTGCTGTCGGATTTGAATATGACCCCAACAACAACCTGCGCCATGTGGACTACTGGTATGAGCAGGATCCGGCAAAGGAATGGTATGTATCTTGAATTTTGATTTGGTATCCACTGGCTGCTTTGATCCTTATGCTAAAATCGGCTTCTATAGGCCTGTCTCTGAAAATGCTGCATGGGAACCCGCTGCCAACCCTGACCAGCCCTTTGACTATGATGCCGAGCCTAACTGCTTCTACTTCGACGTCGAGAGCATTGGTAATCTTGAGCCCGATATGATCATCCAGCAGGGTATTGTGTCCCTTCAGCGCAAGCTCGCAACGACCGTCTCTGTCCTCCTAGGTGAAGGCGAGGATGGACATGCCGGAGGCGCTGAGGATGCTGAGATGATGGGTGCTAACGACCCTGATGCCTATGAGCCACCCGAGGGTATTGATGGAAATATGACTGCCTATGGAAACGGTGCGGCTAGTGCTTGGGGCGCTAGTGCACAGACACCATACGGTGCTACGCCTTACGGACAGAGCAGCTATGGGTTCTAAACGTGCAAGACCCAGCAAGAAAAATAGAGCTCGAGCATGCGCAATGGAGTTTTGATTTCCTGGTGAATATGGGGGCGTACTCTGGAGTTTTCCGTTCTTTGTACCTTTTGCTGTTGGAGACAGTCTTCTGATCCCAGAGAATGACTGGTCTCCGTATCCGAAATATCAACTAGTTGGTTCAATGAACCTGAAATCTGAAAATACTAAATATCATGGATCTTTTGCTAAAATGACCAAATATCTTCCATAGAAGGGTTACTATATCACGCCAGTGGAAACAATCTAAATCTCAGCCTATGCCCTTAACAACCAAAGAAGCACGACGAACCCAAACCCGCATCCTGTTTCTTAGCAGACCGGTCAGAACCACCTTCTCCTGGCCCCTACGCCTACATAGTTGGGGTAGTCCTGGGTGAGGACCACTTCAGAGTAGTGTGATGATCTGTGATTCTTGTAACGCTCCTAAAGACGTTGCATATGCCGCATAGGTAGACCCTACTTGGGTATATAACATGTTTGGGTGATCATAAGATATCTGACTTCGTGATCAGACGGGAAATTGAACATTCTACTTGAAGAGATCAGAGATGAATATGAGATACTTTGTTGTGAAATCTTATTAACCATAGTCCTGTGTAGAGCAATAAAAACAAGCAATAAATCCCGAAACTGCTGAAATGCCCATCCTTTCCCAACGCCTGGCATGCCACAAGATGCAATGACTATACACAACACATAACCATGCCTCGCTAAAAAATAGAAACAGAATGCAGAGCACAATTGAATATTATCTGGGAGGACAATCTACTCCATCAACTCAATCGGTGGACGAGAAGTCTTGGGCGGCATTTGGTTAACCGACATCTCAATCGGGCTCATTTCAGTATCCATATCCACATCCTCAATACCCAGCGTCATATCCTCAACCATAACAGCTGGAAGATTGGGACTATCGCCATGGTCCTCAGGATTGTAGATGATCGTGCTGCTCCTGCTACGCTGCTGGGAGCCTGCAAGCGGCCAGCTGGACGTGCGTTTATCGGAAGAGATGGAGACCGGTGTCGCGGGGTCAACAGCAGACGCCTCGGGCTGCGTCTGGTCTGTATTGAGTTTGGACAACGCATGAGCCAGATCCGTGGCGTGAACTTCTTTGTTGGGCGGGTCTTCGTTGCGCACGACCCATCCGTGTGGCGGGCTGGGCGGCGGTGAGATAAAGAACATCTTGGAAACTTGCGGGGCTTCGAGGAGTTTTGGTCGGCCGCCATCTAGGATTGCAGTCGGCTCGCCGAAGTAGATTCGGGGGTAGACGTCACGGTTTAGCAGGCGCTTGCCGTCCAGGAGTTTGCGCACGGCGGTGGCGTCGGACTCATTCTGGAAGGAGCACACGATGCGGCGCATTGAGGGAAGTGGGGAGAAGGAGTTTAGAGGTGCCACAGCGGTGATCTGGTTGCGGATTTCTTCCAGTGCTGAGGGTTGAAAGACGAGTAGATCGTGGAGATTGGTGATTAGGAGGGTGTTGGAGGGTGGTGTTGGCTGAGAGAGTGCGGGCATGTTGGCGATATCGAGGGTTAAGGATGGTCGCGAGGAAGAGGGAGGTGAGCTAGTGAACTCAGGCGCCGAATCCAGTGAGCGTGGTGGTGAGACGGAAGTAGCCATTTTGTGTGTATGTGGTTGTATGTTTGAAGGAGAGGTTGGGTATGGAGAAGATAAAGGAGGTTGCCACCGGATAAGAACTGGCTTAGAGAAACGTTCTAGAACTTCTGATAGAGTGTTGGATGGCGAGAATGATGCAGAAAACTTTGAAGAGGATGAAAGGTTCTGGGTTTGACTCTCTTTAATACAGAGTGCAGAGCACTGTGTCAAATTAAGGTGAGGCGCAGCTATGTATCGTCATCTCCCTGCACTGCCTCTACACCCACGCCTCCACGTTCCTGTAGATCCACTGCTCCCAGCTCAAGCCTAACTTTTTCAGATCAAAGGAATGTGTGATCTACTGTATTTTAACCTATTTTGTGATATTTAGTGGAATTTACTGGAATAAACTACAACGTTCCCAGCCATAGTAGTGCATGTTGCATGTGCCACACACGCCACATCCATACCTATTGCATCTCCCCTTTGTGCACCAGCCACACCCCGTGACCTTCAACAGAAACTCCGCCCCTTTTCTGCCGGGACATCCGACTCAATCATGGAACAGGAGTACAATGAATACAGCGTTGTATGTAGAACTCTCATATTTAATCCCGAGGTCTCTTAACTTTTGCCTTGCCTAAGCCCCCCGTTGGCTTGTTATCATTCTGCCTACGGGGTACTCCATACATCTTTCAGGGCCTCCACTTTTCATGCATTGCCACCCGCATTTTCCCCAAGCCTTGGATAACGAACCCGACGCTTTACTGTACAATGGTAAACTTTAGACTAGACAGGTCTGTTTTAATTGCAAGGCTACTCAATTGATTATTTATGGAACATATCTCCTTTCCCCGAGACATGGTGAAAGCAAAGCAGGCTATGGCATTGGCACAGCTCTTTGTGGCACATCCGGAGCACAAGCCTCGGTCGGAAATTCAGTGTCCCATCAGTTGTACAGGACACCAGACCCTAGCCTCGCTTTTATCTTGGGCCGAATGTCGCAAAATTCACTCGTATACAAGGATCCCAACAAACGAATGTCTTAAGGATGTCCTGCCATTACAAAATGCGAAGAAAAAGTCACTACCCAGGATAAACACAATCCCATCATGAGCTTGAACTATGTATCGAATAAATTGTGAGGTAATTAATGAAATTTATTCTATAACTTGCTTCCCTGGAACTGGATCAATCCGCCTACCTTTCTCTCCGGCTCAGCGAGGCGTACCAGTCGCTGCTCCCCTTCCAGTTGTTCAACAACAGCATTGAACGCAGCTTCAACATCGTGTTCCGATAGCCACACCGTATCTGGCCTGCCAGTCATTCGAGTAACAAGTGCGGCATCCTCTTCTTCACGTGTCGCAAAAACAGTACCTTTTTGATCGATCTGGTTGTGCACAATACGCAGCAACCGAGCTGTGTGCGGCTGCCTGGTTTGACTGTATAGCCCCAATGCCTCGTTGATATTTCTAGCTGAGAACGTGGCCTTTCCAGAAGAGAACACTTGTTTGAACGCAAGACCAAGAGCAAGTGAGTCGTCTAGTGCCAGCGAGCCTCCGGCTGCGAAGGCACCGCCGTGAGCGTGGGCTGCGTCCCCGACAAGAGTCACTCGTGACCCAAAAACCCAGCTTGGGAGAGCATCTCCCGCGAAATTGGGATAAAGATTTGTGGATGGTGTGAGCTCTGTCAGAGCTTTGACGGTGGGGTTCCAGTCCTTAGAGCTGTGAGTCAAGTGGCTTCGGACAGGTCAATTAAGAACGCACCTTGTATCGCTGTCTTAAAAACTCCACATTTCCCAGTTGATCCCATGCAATGCTTTTCTCCACTTCCTCTGCTGAGTGTGGGTCATCGTATGCACCCACGGTGGTGTATTGGTTCTTGCCTGGGTCTTGTCAGACCTATCTAGCTATGAAACGTTAAATCATTGCCACTTACCAAGCCGAGAGGCAAAGAACTTGTCTTTAGGACCCCACTGTGATATTTTTAGCAATTGTTTTGACATTGATCAACACGGTTATTACATACCCAATGCATCGAATCAGCAGGTAGGTCGGGAATCTTGCCCTCTACTAACGAGGCATCAAACGTCGCCCTCATGAATACTTTCCCACTGAACCGTAACTTATAATCCGGGATGAACGATTGTCTGACACACTGAACCTGGGTTAGCAAAGCGCAGTTCTCGTCAAACTTACATCACTAACCGATCGAATCCCATCTGCCCCAATGAGGATTTCTCCGTGAGCACTACCCCCGTCTTCGAAATACAACGAAACACCAGCCTGGTTAGCTTCCGCACGCGCAATCTTCTTGCCCAAATGGATTGACTTTTTGGGAACATGCTCAAGCAGAGCAGAGTGCACATGTGCCCGGTGGAAGCGGGTAGTATGATGGCGGGGATCAGTGACGTTGACATGAGTGTCTACAGACACGACTTGGTCCGTTTTCCAGTGGCTATTTATCTATGATCAGCGCGCTGAGTACAACTTGAGTATAAGATGGATTCATACCGGAAGATCTGCGGGGTTCCACTTGGGCCTCTAAACCCGACTTCGTCTGTTAGGGCACTGTGTACGCCGAGTTTTTCCAGTGTGCGCATGCCCTAGTTTTCATCATTCTGATCAGATTGTCTAAATGATTCAGAATCATGCGCAGGATACCCACATTTGGACTCAGCGCTATACTAGCTCCTATTTCCAAGAGCTCCGGGGCCTGTTCATATAGTTGGATGTCCAAATTCGGAAGATTTGGTATGCGTGCCAGAGATATAGCCGTTGCAAGGCCAGCGATGCCTGCACCGGCAATCAAGACACGAATAGGCTCGCTTTTCTCTGTCATGATATAATGGGATTTCCGTTGACTCAGCGCGGGTCGGCTTGGACAAAAGGTTCTGGGAGAAACGAATTTCTTATAGTTGAGGTCTATGGCCTTAAGCTCTTAAGCACGCCAACAATGCAGCGCTGGCGCAACCCCACAATTGCGAATTTAGGCGTGATTTGGGGTCAGAGTCGCGTTTATCTTGAAGATCGCGTTAAGATAACTGGAGAGTCTTCTCAGAGCTTGCTAATGTACTATTACACGACCTACCAGATTGGGAGACTATTGTAAACCCCCGCAGTCGTCTTTCTTATCTACAGAACTTCTTAGTGTGAAGACGACGGAGCTCGAGAACATTGCGCAATTTATCTGGAGGCCACTAAGTATCATAAGTACCTATGCAGGACTGCGATTTATCCATGGACATTCAATCGAGTCGCCTTGTTTACACTCTACATTCCTCATATCTCCCACGATGGCAGTAGAAAACCTCAAGACCGGCTTTGGGGCGCAAACACAAGCTAATGAAGAGACTGATGATGAATTTAATACCGCGCCAAAGCTTCCTGGTCAGTTTGCCGATGAGAGCTTCAAGCTATTCTCGAAAATTCAAGTCACAGACCCGACTCCGGAAGAAGCCATACAGATTCGCAACAAATGCTTGTGGCGGGTGTTGCCTTTTCTCTGCATCGGATATCACTTGATGTATGTTGATAAGCAAACGGTATGTCAATTCAATTCCCCGAATATGAGAGTCCAGTGATAACATGCTAGTAGCTTGGAAGTTCTGCGATCCTAGGGATCATGCAAGATGCGCATCTGAACTCGAATCAATATAACTGGCTCTCTTCAATTTTCTATTTCGGGTATCTTTTGGCTGAATGGCCACAGAATTGGGCTTTGCAGCGGTTTCCTGTTGGGAAGTGGCTGGCTGGTAATCTGGTAGTATGGTCAGTTCTTCATTGGCTCTCAGATAATGGTACAACAGTTACTGACTGACTCTTAAGGGGTGGAATTACCCTCTTGCATATACCTTGCAACAGCTTTGCCTCTCTTTTTGTCGTTCGCTTTTTCCTTGGTGTAGCAGAAGCATCCATTGTTCCAGCATTTCTGCTTTCCATGTCCATGTTCTTTACTTATGGCGAGCAGGCCGTGATGATGCCAGTTATGTGGTCCATTGGTAATGCAAGTCCCATCACGTCAGGTCTGCTGTCTTATGGTGTCCTTTGGATCGAAACAGGCAGCTTTTCTCCGTGGAAATGGTTCATGGGTATGTTTGTTCCCCAATCATTTATCGCTCGGGTTGCTGACCTCCGTTCTAGTTATCACTGGTGTCCTCACAGTTATCTTTGGCATTTTTGTATATCTTTTCTTTCCTGATAGTCCCATCCATGCCAATTTCCTCACACACGAGGAGCGTGCAAAGGCCATTTTACGGATCAGAGAAAACCACTCCGGGATCGAGCAAAAGCTTTTCAAAAGATATCAGTCAGACCTCATGCCTAGAGTGTTTTCGGGAGTCACTAACTGACTAGCTCTTAGGTTTATCGAAGCAGTTCAGGACCCCAAGACATGGCTTTTCTTCTTACACGCCTGGTCCCAGGAAATGGCAAACGGAATAACGAATCAATACTCACTGATCATCAACTCATTTGGTTTTACCGTTCTCCAAACAACACTACTAGGAACCGTGACGGGAGTCGTATCCTTCTTTTCTCTTATGGCAGCTGCAGTCACATTGTATCACACCAAAGTAAGCCAGAATCGGACTTCTAACGTGACGTTGGACTAAAACATCCAGAACTGCCGAGCATGGGTATCACTCATTGCATACATTCCAGGCGCTCTTTCAAGTATCCTTCTATTCGGTTAGCAATTTTCTTTTTCTTTCAAAAGTGTGCTCCACTGCTAATTAGCCCGGCAGCCTTGCCCTGGTCCAATCGATGGGGTCTCATCGCTGGAATTTGGATTCGATCTACAACCGGTATCCCGTATGCAGTTGTGATGATCTGGGCTGCCAATGCGTCAGCGGGTCATACAAAGAAGACCACCGTCATTGCACTTTATCATATTGGATATGGATTGGGAAATATTATCTCTCCACAGTTGTTCCGACCGCAATGGAAAGTGAGTTCTTCGTTTGACCTGACTTTTGTTATGCTACTAACAATGATTCAAGCCTCGGTACAGACCAACTTGGATTATTTTGCTTGTGGTAAGTTCTGTTTTGGTGAAGCTACATGCAGAGTATTTGACTTATAGCTCTTTCAAGGTCGCTGCAATTCTTCCTTCGATCATTATAATCGCCCTTCGGACCTACCTAAGCCGAGAGAACAAACGTCGTAACAAGCTCGCGGAAACCGACCAAGTCGCGAGCAATGGAATTGTCGAGACCGTTGATTCGGATGGAGGCAAAGTCGCTCGCATCGTGGATAATAGTCAGTTGGATCTGACTGACAGGGAGAACTTGACCTTGTAAGCTTTCATCCACTGGCCAGTCCTGGGATTCAATTCTAATTTGAAAACAGCCGATATGTACTCTAATGGGTTATATGCTCTCTAAAAATATTCGACATGGGGTTTGGGGAGCCGAGGAATTCTGATATGAAATAAAAGGGTGGTCCTTATACTGGAATGTTACTTGTTTTGTTGATATCTTTCCTTGGATAATTCCCATGTGCTCCAGATCTACGGGATAACACCAGGTACTTATCTTCAATAGAGAATCCGGCAATAGTTCCACATTGATTTCAAAGCCCAAGGCGCAATAAGCTTTCCCATCTAATGTGAGTACGATCACATTCCTATGGCGTCAACCACCGAGCTGCAAGGATCCGATACACAACACTCAGCCTGAATGACGTGCCAGCCAATCTAACATGATTTCCAAGCACCCAACACCTTATCTTCTCGATGATCCTCCTTGGATTGAGCCCGTTCAAATGTGAGAACTATTTCCACCGTATAACTGCTATAAATAAATAGTTCAAATACTCCAGCAATTCACAATAGCTTCACGATGAGCATCCAAGAAAGACAGCCTCTTTTAAGCTCATCAATTCCCAACATTTTACCTCACACCTCTCAACAAGAATCACTCAGCATCTCATCTGATGAGTTCCACGCACCATACCCCGACATCCTACCAGGAACGCCCCACAGGAAGAGCATCCACTGGTCAAGCGCATACATACTAGTCGTTTCACGCGTGATAGGGAGCGGGATCTTTGCAACGCCAGGATCAATCGTCAAATCCGCCGGAAGCATCGGATTGACCCTGCTAGTATGGCTGGTTGGGACGATATTATCAGCTTGCGGTCTAGCCGTCTCGATGGAATTCGGATGCATGCTACCTCGCTCAGGGGGAGAGAAGGTAAAAGACATTGCTGCAGGATTGCAGAAACACGTCAGCTAAAATACTCTCCTTTTCGTGCAGGTGTACCTCGAGTATGCCTATCCCCGACCGCGATTTCTCGCATCGAGCTTGATAACAGCCCAAGTAGTGCTCCTGGGGTTCACGGCGAGCAACTGCATTATTTTTTCCAAATACACATTTTTCGCGCTCAGCGTTGAGCCCACTGAATTTCAGCACAAGATGCTCGCTGTTGGCCTCTTGACGGCGATCACTATCATCCATGGCTGTTTCTTGAAGACTGGCATCTTTGTCCAGAATGTTCTTGGCTGGGTGAAGATCTTCCTCATTGGCGCGATATCCTTGACAGGAATCTGGGTTGTTTTCCTCCAGTTCCATGGAGATACTGATCATATGTTTCCAGTGTCAGCAGCCGGCATTTCATTTTCTTGGGATTCGATATGGGAAGGGTCAAACTGGAGCTGGAGTCCGCTTTCGTCGGCTTTGTTCAAAGTCTATTATTCCTATGCTGGGTTGAGCAATGTGAACAATGTTCTCAGTGAGGTCCATGATCCTGTGGGAATAGTGAAGACCGTTTGTCCCACTGCACTGGTCACAGCCGGTGCTCTATACTTTCTTGCTAATCTTTCATACTTCCTGGTCATTCCGCTCGAGGAGATCAAAAATAATGGGGAATTAGTGGGTGCACTGCTATTCCAGAGATTATTTGGAGATCATGTCGGAAAAATATTCTTTCCACTTGCTATTGCCATCTCAGCTGCCGGAAATGTGATGGTCGTGACCTTTGCCTTGGTACGCTCTCGAGATATGTGGAATTGATAGCTAACGAATACTAACATTGGTAGGCACGTGTGAATCAGGAGATAGCTCGACAAGGCTTTCTTCCATGGCAGAATATCCTCTCCTCCTCGCGACCATTTGGTACTCCACTGGGTGGACTTATTGTACACTATATCCCTTCCGTGTTGGTTCTCGCCCTACCACCACAGGGGGACGTTTATAACTTTATTCTGGACTTGGAGGGATACCCTGGGCAGATGTTTTCCTTAGCAATCACAATCGGTCTGCTGGTAGTACGATACCGGGAGCCTCATCTTCCACGACCATTCAAAGCATGGTTGCCAGCTGTGTGGTTACGGGTGGTAATGTGCTTAGTCCTATTAATAGCACCCTTTATTCCGCCGCCGAATTGGAAAGGGGATGTTGATTTCTTCTATGCCACCTATGCACTTGTCGGTATTGGAATGTGAGTGGTCATTATTTCCATAGAGGTACCTTGCTAACAATCACAGTGTGCTCTTTGGGGTTCTCTACTGGTATGTCTGGACAGTATTACTCCCACGATGGGGAGGCTATCAACTCGAGGAAGAGAAAGAGATTCTGGCCGATGGGACTAGTATCATCAAGCTAGTTCATTTATATGATAGTTGACACAGTCGACGCATATAATGATCACTTTTTGAAATTTGTTATTGACTTCATGCTCACATCTGGGCAAGCAGTGTTGGTTCATAGAATGTAAAGTCTGATCAATGTTGAGAAGCTCCTAGTCCCCTATGACGATATCCAGCGCACAATGTTTGTGGCCGACTCACTTGTGATGTAAAATGGATGAGGTCTGAGGCTACAGTGAGCAATCACGCACGACAGGTCCTTTTCTTCCTTCCTCAGTTCCTCTTTTCTATCTTTCTCTCCCTGTCACTCTCTTCTTTCCCCATTCATTTTCTTTCTAGAGCGAATACAGCATATGGATCTCCCTCTCTGTGTGTATTTGCTGAAATCACAACTGAACTTCTCAGCACATTTCACTTGATTCATCTGAATAGGCCTCAAACAAAGTACTACTTCACCATGGCATCAGTGCCTCGACAGCCTGGGAATCCACCTCCTCCATGTCCCGCTTGGGTCTTTTCCATTCACTCCAACACCCAGTAAGTAAGTTATTCTTCGCAGGGCTGAATGCATCTATTAACTAGACCAGTGTTGCCAAAGATCGCTGTTGGTTCGGAATAGACTACATCCCCTTCAAGTCTCATGTCACGGATATGGCTGGAGGCTCGGTCGAAGTCATTGGGATGGGAACTGTCAACATAACCACCATGAGCTCGCCAACCCAGACCGATCAGGAGTCGTACAGCTCCATCAGCTTGAAGAACGTGTTGCACACACCTGCGATACTCTGCAACATCATTGGAAGTCCCATAACGCACAGTCACACTATCGTTTGCGGGCCCACCACCTCAACTAGCTCCGGTCGAATTATGGACGACTCCGATGGTCGTACCGTGGCCTACTTCAAGTCCATGAGTCAAGGCCCCCGGCTGTACCAACTTCAGGTTAGCGCGCCTCCATACGGCTATCAGTTTGGGGCTTCGCCTTTGCTCCCAAACGGGCACTATATGATTCATGCCTTCTGGCCTCAGCATGAACGGCAGAGATTTGCAATCTTGAAATCCCGCGGCCTGGTCCAAGCCTCAGGCGTAGAGGCGCTAACAGAATCTGAGAGACATTGGTTCAGGAAGAGGCATATGTCCGAAGATGCGATTCTACTTGCCTACGGGTTGAACAAACACAGGAAGGAGCATCGAGAGGAAGGCCGTGCTATCATGCGGATTCTTAAGTCCCATGCTGAGAATGAGCCAATAGTTTGATGCCAGAAGAGCCTGCAGCAATATTGAAAGGAAGTGGTTTCTTTTGGAGATGGACGGTGGCTTTCCAGGTGTATTTGAGCAAGTCGTCAAAGTCGCCAGTCTCCCATGGTTTCATATGATTTCAAATATCCCAATCAAGCGACATAACTACCACAATGGGCATGCTTCCTTCGTAGTCTAAGAAAAAATGTTGCATAGACTGAATTTTGAATCCTCTCTTGGTCCTTGATATTGACTGTGAATTCCTTAGGCCCTAGGCATCGTCTACGTATTTACACATTGCACAGTATATTCAAAGGGACGACAACTTTGGCTAGATACGGAGCACGATCTTCCCAATCTGTTTACCCTGCCAAACATATTCAACAGCCTCTTCGGCTTGCTCAAATGGAAATATTTTGTCAATGAGGTCATTCAACGGCATTTGAGCTGCTGATAGAGCAACACAGAAGTCCTCCATATCATGTTTTGATCCTGCATTGATACCTCTGTTTTGTCCCAATTAGAATCCATCCAAGAGACCAGTATTGTAGAATCAATCTCACCTCAAGATAGTCCTTCGATCGATAATGGTCGGAATCAGCTCTCGTAAATCATTGGGGTCCTGCTGTGACAGATATCCGACCTGGCTGACCACACCCCCACGTCGAGTACATCGTATACTCTTAACCAAAGAGCTTGACCCGCCAGTTTCAACAACAATGTCCACGCCAACGCCATTGGTCAACTTGAGGACCTCCTTGTCCCAGTCGAGGGTTTGAGAATAATTTATCGTCATGACCGGTGGGTTTGAGTACTTGACCTTCATTTGTTCGAGCTTCTTGTCACTCGAAGATGTCAAAATCACCCGAAGACCCGCAGCTCTTGCAAGCTTGAGTGCAAAGACACTGACCCCTCCAGTGCCTTAACCAATTGTTAATGTTGAAACAAGCCTTGGCTCCGGAAATAAATACCTTGAATCAACACAGTTTGCCCAATCTGCATACCCTTCAACGCCGACCAAGCGGTAACACCAGCACAAGGGATCATAGCAGCTTCAACCCAGTCAAGATATTCCGGGAGCTTACACAGAGCATCCTCGTCGAAAACAATATGGTCCGCCATAATTCCATCCTCGTCTGCTGCTAGCCAGGACCGCTTCACTTCACGTCCTGAGATATTCTCGGTATCTGTGATAGGACCGGCCCTATCCCCGACCACCAATGTTTTCACCTTGTCTCCAACTGCGAGAACCTCGCCTGCCGCATCGTTGCCCAATATCCCATTTGGAACCACCGGCCACGGGTTCCCTCCATTGGCGATGTTGGCATCCCGGTAGTTGAGAGCGACGGCGTGGACTTTGACCAAGACTGCGGTCGGTGCAAGTGGTAGCGAGAGCGCTTCTTGTATAAGCGTTAACTTTGGCTTTCCTGGACTATAATCGTCGGTTCGTCTAAAGGCACGACGGTGGGTGACTTGAGGGCTCGACATTTTCTTTTTTAGGGCTGTTGGTAATGGAAATCTTCAAAATTGTCGAAATGGCTCTGATTTTATACTGAATATCGAATATCCTTGCATACTGATGTCACTCCTATGTGCAGGGATATAACTACCCCTCCTTATTTTTTTGGATACATGAAATCTTTGTTCTCATCGGTATTGTTAGGGCTTCCAATACAAGAATCCGTGTGACTTGCATATCATAACTGTTCACCTCTCTTTTTCTGATGTTATCTATTAGGAGAGATTTTCTGGCCACAACAACTGACGTGATAAAAGATTGAGCAAGGGGTAATAGCGAATTATAGTGTTGGTTTGAAGTCTACACCTAGACGACGCGTAGGTCGTCTTCCTAGGGGCCATCGACCAGCAAGAATGGTCTCATATATCTGACTTTTGAAGTATAGGCTTATAAGACTTGACATGCTCAACAATGAAACCTGTAGATGATATATGCTAAACTTGAAAGACAGACAAGTTCAGTAAAGTAGAAATTATTTCCAGATAGAACAAACCCCTCTCGTGCGTTGGAACTACCTATTTTTGCATACGTCAGTATCCTATCTGTACACATGTAACTCAATATTCCGTTGGCAATTGGGTTACATTTTCTTAGTTTCATATTCAAACAAGCAACCTTGCCCGCTTAAGAACTCGACCAGGTCGACACTATGTGTCGCGAAGATCATTGCCTACTCATGTCTAATTTCCATCATTCTGGTGACCTCTTATTCTCAATCTTCATCAATACTTCTGTACCATCTTGATTTAATTTCTCACAGGCTCTGGAGGTACCTGTGATGTTAGGGGTCGAGCTTTTAATTGCATGATAGGTCCCTACAGACCACCGTACATGGTAGCTGATCTACACCCAAGGACGTCCGCCCATACTGAATGAAACAGATGGTTTATGCAGTGCATGCTTCACATTCATGTCTATAGTATCTCATACCCAGAAAAAACCACTTCATGTTTCCAAACCTTTGCGGGGCTTGATATTCTTGGCTAAACTCTCCAATCCTTTGTTTCCAAGATTGCTTCAGCTGATAACAGGGCATCAATGATATAAATACCAGTCCTTCCTGTGTTCAGGGCAACATCATCCATACTGGCGAAGGTGCATAATGAACACAGCCAAAAGTGTGTACTTATTCCGCAAAACAGATTTGACAATTTGTGATAGACCGGCAGTTGCTCTTCAATTCGATGATATCATTACCTACTATCCGGAGTCAATGACGAAAGATATATCATGAGTATTGTACTATGTGACAAGACTGGAAAAGTCATCAGCTTCACACTTTAGGATCCATTGGTGGGATTTCATCATGACCCATAATAAAAGGCGTTCATGACTTGTGAAGCCAGGCTCTGTACCATCATAGAGAGGTCTTGACGTTCCAAAGTACAAAGCCACACATTTAAGACTATAATAAGTTGGAATTGTTTACAGCCTAGTTTATGTACGTCTACGACAGCGACCTATCAATTACTCAAGGTCAATTCCACACTCGCATTGATCAACATGAAAATCGCCGTATTTAGTACACAGCCTTACGACCAAGCGTCGCTTGATCAGGCGAACAAGCACTTCAATCATGAGATTGTTTATCACGACACAGCTCTCAGTGAGAAAACCGCGTCTCTCGCTTCTGGTATCCCCGTGGTTTGCGTGTTTGTCAACGACCAAGTGAATGCCAATGTCATCCGCACCCTTGCGGCCAACGGTACACAGTTGATTGCCCTGCGATGCGCTGGATTCAACAATGTGGACCTGAAGGCTGCCGAAGCTGCAGGCATCACCGTATGTCGCGTCCCTGCTTACTCGCCCAACGCCATCTCGGAATACACACTGGGTCTGGTCATTTGTTTGGAACGCAAGATCCACAAAGCCTGGCTGCGGGTTCGAGAGGACAACTTTGCACTCAAGGGTCTTGTTGGCAATGATTTATACGGCCGCACCATCGGTGTCGTTGGCACGGGCAATATCGGTGCTTTAGTGGCTCGAGCGTTTCGAGCAGGCCTTGGGTGTGAAGTCCTCGCACAAGATGTTGTGGAAAATCCCGATCTTGTTAGCATCGGCGTGAAGTATGTGAGCAGGGATGAACTGCTCCGAAGAGCTGATGTCGTCTGTCTACACTGTCCTCTGACGCCAGACACCCAGCATCTCATCAATGCAGATAGCCTGAAGACCACCAGGCCAGGAGTGGTTATTGTGAACAGCGGACGTGGTTCGTTGGTTGATAGCGCAGCTCTTCTAGACGCATTGGAATCTGGACACGTTGGTGGAGCAGCCTTGGACGTCTATGAGAAAGAGAAGCCCCTCTTCTTCCGCGACCTATCCGAAACGGTCATCTCAGACGATGTCTTCCAGCGCTTGAATACGCTCCCTAACGTCATCTTGACCGGGCACCAAGCTTGGTTATCTCATGAAGCGCTGGACTCGATCGCGGACATCACGATGACAAACGTCGCACAGTTCGAAAAGAATGGCGGCCAGGTGGAGAAAAGCCATATAGTGAGAGCATCGTGAGCGCAGCATTGGTAAATGAATAGCCGGGGTCAAATATGAGTTGAATTTCAAGCTTCTCGACCTAGCGTAAGAACCTTTCTAAGTGAGGCATCGGTAATCAAGCATCATCCCACAGCCTGAAGCTCAAAACTTTTCTACATGAGAATACTGTTAGAGTCAGCGACTTATAGCTCAAGACCATATCGTCAGTCTTCAAAGCATTCGCGATAAAATGGAAAAAGGCCAATAAGTGGTAGAGAAAATCAAATATAGCCACTCAAAGCAACATGCCAAGGGGGCATATGACAAGGCCAGCTGACACAGTCCGTGTTGACGTTTTGTGATGCCTGGTCGTTATGCCAAAGCTACCTATAACAAAGAATGCCTTGAGCAATGGACCTCAGGTTGAACACATATTGGCGTCGGAATTTCATCCTTCGTAGGGTTTCAAATGGCCCATTGAGCGATAGTTGCAAGTCACAACTCAACAAAGTCCTGGTCCATGTACAACTATACAACATACAGTGATCAATGATCCAAGCCCTGCGGTAGCTAGTGGTAGTTGCCCATTGGCTATGATGTCAACGCATTGATTACTAGATATCAGGCCAAAAGGAAGCTGCCCATGATACTGTATGTAATTACATGTATCATTTGTATCGTTCACACCTTAACAAAGCATCCTCGATCTAATAGAAGTCAGAAGAACATCAAAGTCCTCTCGGCCCAGCGTTTTTCCTTACCAAGGCCAAGGCCAAGGCGGTCAGGTGATTCCCGATGAATTTTATCCGAGGACATATGGTTCCGCCTCAAGTTCACAGAGCTCCATTCTCAATTCCACATCACACTATTCATAATGTTCCAACGAACCATCCTCAGACAGGCCCAGGCCGCCCGCTCCATCCTCTCTGCCTCCTCTCCCTCCACCGCATCGCTGGCGCTGCGACGGACTACACAACAACCACGTATCCCGGCTATCCGGACATTCGCTCCCCGGTCTACCCGTCTTTACTCGACAGAGACCAAGGAGGCCACCGAAACGGAGACTGCAGAGAACGCAGAGAACGCAGAGGCCGAGGACCCCACCAAGAAGGAGCTCGAACAAAAGACCAAGGAAGCCATTGAGTTCAAGGTAAGCTATTTCCCCATACCGACTGCTACAGGGAGCTTCACAGCCCCTTCGCCGACCAATATTTACTAAAGCTCCTAATTAGGACAAATGGCTCCGCTCCGTCGCCGAGTCTCGCAACCTCACTGAGCGCAACAAGCGCGACATGGATGCTGCCCGCAAGTTCGCCATCCAGGGTTTCGCCAAGGACCTCCTCGACAGCATCGACAACTTTGACCGTGCCTTGCTGGCCGTGCCTGCGGAGAAGCTCGCCGTTGCCAAGACAGAAGAGAACAAGGACCTCCTTGATCTCGTCGCCGGTCTCAAGATGACCCAGGATATCCTCCTGAACACCCTTCAGAAGCACGGTCTCGAGCGCTTCGATCCCGCCGAGAAGGTCGACGGCAAGACCCAGAAGTTCGACGCCAACATGCACGAGGCTACTTTCATGGCCCCGGCTGCTGGTCTTGAGGACGGTGATGTTATGCACGTCCAGAGCAAGGGCTTCAAGCTTAATGGCCGCGTTTTGCGGGTGAGTGCCACCCACTAAGATCTGAGTTTCTAGCGGAATATCGTGACTGACTATTTTCTTCTCTCGTATAGGCTGCCAAGGTTGGTGTTGTCAAGAACGCTTAAATCGTCGGTGACAACTTTGATTCTCAATCCTTCGACGACCTCTAATTTCACTATTTCACTCTTCTTTACTTCTCTCTGTACCATATGTCATACATCATGATCACGATAGGGTTTTATGCTCGGATACGGCTGGCTTTTGGACCCGGGAAAATTACTCTTCCTTGCTATCTTTCTGCTCGTCTCTTGGATTCGGCTGTATCATACACCCCTTGTTGCATGTGCCTGGAGGCGTACGGATTGTCTCATGTTGGCGGTGTCTTTTCACTTGTTTCGGGACTTCTGTGCCTCTGTGTCTCCTGATAACTCTCTCCTCCTTGTCTGTATAATACACACTTCTTTGGGGCACGGCTGTAGCCTCTGATGACTCCATTCTCCTTCCACCTTTGGTAACTCCTAAATTACATTCTAATATAATACAAAAGCTGGCTATGGTCTATATCTCTTACGACTTTCACTTATTGATATCCATATATTCATATTGGTCTAATGAGAGGAATGCTATATCTTACATATTCTCCATAATAATCACAGTATAGTACAACATATAATCCAACATTCTCCGGGCTCACCTCAGCTCAACTCCAAGCTCTCCAACTAGCTTCTCTCGGACCTTCTGGTGCATCGCATTACTCTCCTCGTTCGTCAAAGTTCGCTCCAAGCTACGGTAGTTAATGCGGTAGCACATGCTCTTGCGCGAAGTCTTAGGATGCGTAAACTCATCAATGAGAGTAACATCCTCAACAAGATCCCCACCAATGCCACGAACAATCTCCATAACATCATTCTCGTGGAAAGGCACAGCCCCACCAGCAGCACTGCTACCACCCGTTACAGCCGCAGGAGGCAGCCAGAAAGCGACGTCCTTGTAGCAAGCCGGGTGCTTAGAGAAAGGCTCGAAACGGGCAATATGGCCAGCCCGGAACTGCGACAAGAACCGCTCATCGCGTGACCAGAAAAGCCGGATATCAGGGATATTGAAGAGAAGCATAGCAATGCGCTCAATGCCTAGTCCAAACGCCCACCCAATCCGGTCCGGCACGTCAGAGTTGATCAACAGATCCTGCTTGATAACGCCACACCCGAGAATCTCCAGCCATTCATCTTGCCAGAATACTTCCAGTTCCCAGGATGGGCTGGTGAACGGGAAGTAAGCTTCGACCCAGCGCACCTTGAGCGGCTCAGGCTCCGCGCCACCGCTACTCGCCGCAGCGGCCTTGCTCGCCTCGGTGAATATCTTAATCACCATTCGCTCGAGGGAGCGCTTAAGGTGAGCCCCCACAGCCTCGACTTCCTCTGCGCTGTGGTGCTCGTCTTGCAGCGGGTTCCGCTGCGCGTGGATAGTCGGGTTCGGGTCCTCGACCACGACGTCGTGACGCGGAATCTTCTCCACGTCTGCCATAATCTTCGCTGCTGTTTCGGCCGATGCGGAAAGTGGGTTCGTCGCTGGCCGCTTCCACAGCATGGCACCCTCCATCTGGTGGAAAACTGGGTAGTGGCTGCGGTCGATGGCGTCGCGACGGTAGACGTCCGCGATCACGGTGTATCCGACCTCTTCGGGGCGGGTGTGCTCATTGCGAGCAATTTGCTGGAAATACGCCTGCTGGTGTGCGCTTGTGTGGGTGCGCAGCACTGTTTTGTCATTCACGTAGTAGGTATCTGTCCGGCTGCGGCCCGGGTGGTCTGGGGGGAAACCGAGGACGTCGAAGTTTTGTCTTGTTGAAACGACCGGGTTCTTCTCTGAGTAATTGCCATAACTTGGGGCTGCGAATTGGCTTTCGATGAGTTTGCGTGTAATGGCGAGAGGGTGGTTGTCGTCGAGATAAAGTCGTCGTCCGATATGGGATAGAATTGTATCGGGAGTGTTGGTCCACTGGTCGGTTGGGTATGTTTCCCCTTCAAGTTTGAGGCTCGACTTTTGCTGGTGTGTTTTAGCGGTAGTGCTTGCTTTCGGTTCACTCCGGCGAGCTGTGGTTGAGCTCCATTCGCGGTTGCGGGAGAGAATAGGAGTCAGTGCGAGGGAGCGCGGAATGGCGGTTTGGGGTCGGATTGAGGCAATTGACCAACGGCCACTGCTCGCACGCAGGGCCCGACCGGTAGCGAATAGCCTCATGGTTGTGTTGGACAATCAGTGTGAGAATTGTCTATCAACACTATCAACACATGTTTCGGGTCGGCGAAATTAGTCCCCGAAGTACATTTGTCGAGCCAATCTGCACACCCAACAAGACTATAGAAAGCTTAGCAGTTAACTCTTTCTAGAAGAGAGAGAGAGAGGGTTATAATTTGAAAATATTCAATTTTCTCTATGGTTGCTACAGCTGAAAGCTTTGGCCATTTCAGCCTTCAGATATCTAAATATAAGGTTCTCTGTCTACTATGCAATTCATCTTTATATTGTATAGAGTATACGTCGGTTTTAGTATACATGCTTAGTACCGAACAAAACATAGCACTCCGGCTGATACTGAGTTATGTTTCATATCTTTCTTTTCTATTTGATACGTGCGACCACGACTGAATACAAATACTATCGCATCTGCGCCGATGAAACCAGGCAAACAACATATTTCACCAAACTAGCCTTAATTCTAGTCATAGCATATTTTGTACCTTTGATACCCCGATTTAATCCCTCACAACCATAATACCTCCCCAGGCAGCCTTAATGCATGTATTTCCCCTTAGGGCTGCACCCCTCCTTCCTAGGCCGAGGCCAACCGACCAATATCCGTAAAAACTCCGAAGATCCCCATGACAGCCGATCTCGTCACATATCAGCTGCTCCGTTAAAGCAATCATACTGGCTATATGCGCAAAGATACCCTCGGCATCCATTTCAACGACCGACGGACAATATACAGGATCACTTGTCTTTAGGCCAAGGCTGTATGTTATACAAGAGATGCCCGGCGCAAAGGAGACTGCAAAACCGAGGATATGATTGGCGCAAGTGACAAAGCCCCATCGAACGACTTGAGTTGATTGGCTGCTTCTTCACATTTCAGCGGGTGGCCGAGTGACTTCGGGCTTCTGATTTGTCTCCGTCGGTATTAGAAGGCTCAAAAATTACGTCAAGTCACGTTCGAAAAGCCGAAAAAAAAGTCCAAAAAAAAAAACATATTTGCTGAACTCTCTCCCCGCCTTTTTTTTTGTACATTGTATAAAGGGTCTTGTTTTCTAGGAGCAAGATGGCAGACGGCAAGATGTTGGAGGTTGCTTCTCAGCCCCGGGTCGCGCCCGTTCAGACGCCCGCGCAGTCAAAACCGAAGCAGGTGCATTACCCGTTTTGGTTTGGAGGTTCGGCCTCATGCTTTGCTGCGTCCGTGACGCACCCGTTAGATTTAGGTATGTTCTTCTCCCCTCGAGTCTATACTACATATGCTGACTTTGCGCCTATAGTTAAGGTATTTCTAAGCTCCCAGTCGTTCGTCCGATGGCCCATTCATGGCCGCGATTTTGACCTCCGACGCTGATACCCGTTTGTCGCATAATAGGTTCGGTTACAGACTCGTGCACCCGATGCGCCGAAGACTATGGTCGGGACGTTTGTCCACGTCGTGAAGAATAATGGCTTCACGGGCTTATACGGTGGTGTATGTACAATGCCAAATTCCAGTCGACAGCGAATACCCCATGGCTATCAGTAAACGAGCACAGTTGGCTAACGAAGGACAAATTGGGTATGGAAATATAGTTATCAGCCGCGATGCTACGTCAAATCACATACTCCACAACGCGCTTCGGTATTTACGAAGAATTGAAGTCACGCGTTGTTTCGCCCACCCCAGATTCCACCGGCACACCAAGCCTCCTCACTCTCATCGGGATCGCCTCTGCCTCCGGGTTCGTCGGCGGCATAGCAGGCAACCCAGCTGATGTGATGAACGTCCGCATGCAACACGATGCATCCCTTCCTCCCGCCCAACGACGCAACTACCGACACGCATTCCATGGACTCATCCAGATGACGCGGACAGAGGGATTCAGTTCTCTTTTCCGTGGTGTGTGGCCTAACTCAACCCGCGCAATCCTCATGACTGCCTCGCAGCTTGCTTCTTACGATACCTTCAAGCGCATGTGTATTGAGAAAGCCGGCATGGCTGATAATCTGAGCACACACTTCACGGCCTCGTTCATGGCAGGCTTCGTTGCCACCACTGTCTGCAGCCCCGTGGACGTGATCAAGACTCGCATTATGACGGCTTCTCATGCGGAGGGCGCTAGCCAGAGCATCGTTGGTCTTCTGCGGGATATCTGCCGCAAGGAAGGCCTGGGATGGACTTTCCGTGGCTGGGTGCCTAGCTTCATTCGTCTTGGCCCCCATACCATTGCCACTTTCCTCTTCCTCGAGGAGCACAAAAAGCTCTACCGCAAGCTGAAGGGCATCTAAAGATCCAAAGAGTGATTAATCCTTTTTGTGACACTTTTGCCCCCTTAGATCTCGCCCAATCTTCCAACAGCATTTACGCATTCTGTCCGATATATTATCGGTATATACGATTTTTCATCATTTTCTCTAGCTTTCTATCTGGGTGGTGCACTTTGGGACTCACACCCACCATTTTCATTTTGGCTTGTATATAACTTGCATTCTTTCGAATGTTTCTTCCGTCGAAGATTCGAATGACGGCCGGAGTCGGCCTTGGAGCATATCTAGAACATGGCCCTATGGCTTTGTACAGTGTGCTGGATTATGTATTTTTCTTATCGGAGCTGGGATTACATAGAATTAGATAGATACATACTGAATCGCATTCAGAGCATTTCCGCAACGGCGTTAGCCTCCTGCTCGAGATCCTAAGTTGATTTTCAAATGGTTTGTAGTTATTGCAAGCGTCTACTGGTGGAAAATGAGGGGGCTCCCCGGGCTTCAAACGAGTCAGAACAAGCACCAGCCATTAATAGATTTCTTGCTACATTACGGCGAGCTTATAAACATATCCTTGCTTTACACGGACGGAACGACCTAGGATATAGAGGAGTTGTGTCCCCGAGTGACCCAGTAGAGTACATTGGAACTTGTCGATACATAAAAATTTGACACGCCTCACTTGACCAACCCAAAATTGACCAACCAAAAACAGCTGCTGGTCATCTATTTGTCAAGCTTGACAGGGAAGTTTCCAGCCTCTGTGAACACGAGTCAGTATGAATAGAAACCTCACCAGATAAAATTTCTAGATGCGTACCGCGCTGACCATCCCAACGATCGGTCCAGGCCTTGGGGCAAAGAGAGCGGAAGGAGTGGTAGAACTGCAAGAAAAGCTGTTAGGAACTGCTAGGTTTTCAAAAGAGACTCGTTGTCGAAATTACCTGCTTGCAGGGACGGAAGTCCTCGCCCTTGGCAGTGGTACACTTGTAGTAGTCGACATAGTTCTGCCAGCAGTGCTTGGTCCTGAGAAGTGAATCAACGTTAGATAAATATGAAAAGAGCAACCGAATAACAGTTTATCACGTACTGGTTCTGCTGAGGGAAACGGGCATCGTAGCCTACGATTCGATCAAAAAATGTCAATTACACCATACATCAGCCGATCGGGGGATATCGGTCCACGCGCATGCGACGAGCGAAAGAAGCGGGGACATATCTAAGGTTTACGCACCAGCTGCGATTAAATTATTAAATTAGCCATTGACTCTTTATAGGGCTCCTGGCCCCGGTTTTCGCGGGAGGGGGTTAGTGGACTTACCAGTGACGAACTTGAAGGGCTTTGTCTCGAGGACCTCATCGGGGTCGGCTTCCGGAATAGCACCCATATTTGCGACGTGTAGCTTCTTGAGAAACAACACAGAGAAAGAATTGGAGTGGAGTGGAAAGAGAGGAGGGGAGAAAGTGAGCCGGGAAGAGCGACGTTGGGTGATTGAAGCTGTGAAGTGCCGGGTATGACCGCGGGCGGTCAAGCGAGAGCCACTGAGCGTCTCGCTTTTACACCCGAGCCAGTCACGTTCTTGGAAAGCTGGTGTTCCAACCTCGTCCTCTATCCCACTCTTCTTCTACTACTCCAGTGTTGAACCACAGATCTCAACATGTATCCCACTCGCATGCTGCGGATGCAGCCCACTCGGGCCTTTGCTTTCCCTACTCCTGTATGTTCTTTCCCTCGGCAATTCTGTGATCATACGATCGGCTCGGTTACTAACTCTTCTCTGTAGAAGGAGCAACACAGTGGTATGCACCTCCATGATCACCGGATCCGGTCACCAACGGAGTCATGTAGAATGACTTTACTTTCATGAGGACAGCCATTGAACTAACCATGCGCCTATAGCTCACACTATCTCCCAGCGTCTGCGCCAGCTTAAGCGTGTGCCCCCCGAGTTGCTTCCCATTGGTATGTGTTATCGTCATGACTTTGAGATGGGAAAATTTAGCTAACTATCTGCTTGATGTCTAGGCTTCGTCCTCGCGTACGTTTCCCCCTGTTTGAGACTGTTTGCCGCTTGATCCCGGATCACATGTCCGACACATGCCGGAATTTCATCCCCTATGTCCCTCACTGGCAATCAAGCTCATGTATTTCCCTGATGCTAACTTAGAATTTCAGTGTTGCCCTTGGCGCTGCTGTCTACTCTTGCGGCAAGAAGCTGATGACCGATAAGACCCTGCGTCTCTACCGCAACAGCCCCGAGAGCCGTGAGCACTAAATGTACCACCATGTTTATTTGAGCTCTCAGAATACGATTCGCAGTTTTGGATTCTTGCTGCTTGTATTGTTGATTAGGAGAATTTGAAGCCGATGGGCATGATTTGAGAAAAGCCAGTGGAGATATCAGGAGGTCGAGATTGGAGCCTTTGTACAAATTCCAGCTTCCCGATCCTGGATCATAGTTGTGTAATTGGCAAATTGTACTGTCGTGTGTGACTTGTGCTTTTTTGTTTGTCATCTTCGTCGTAGCTATCGTAAAGTGTAACGTGCTTCACTCGGGCTTCGGCCCAGCAACATCTAATTGTTCCAATCCCTGCATAGCATCTTGGGGACGACTGCTTGCAGCCTGAGCCTCCTCCGCTGCTGCCCGATCTTCCTCGCTGACGGCATGCTTGGCCAAATACCCTTCCTATAAGATATACTGGTTAGTATAGATTGGGAGTGGATATAAAATCGAGCCCAGCGTACCTGTTCCCAGATCGCAGTCTTGCTGCCTAGTCCCTCGTTGGCATCCTTCTGTGGCTTTGCAGCGGCAACTTTTATGGTGCGCCCGTAGATCTCGCTGCCATCCATATTGTCGATTGCCTCTTTAGCGTCTTGTGGCAGATCAAATTCCACATATCCAAATCCACGGTGAGCTTCGGCCGAGTTGGGTTGCTCCGGTTTGGGCAGCGAGATATCAACAATTTCACCAAATGGAACGAAGGCTTCTGCGAGTGTATGTGCGGTCACTCCCTGGTCAAGACCTCCTACGTAGACAGTGCTCTTGAGCCGCGTTGTTTCGCTCATGATGTGTAGTTGCGCTTCGGGCCAAATTGATCGATCTTTGATTGGGGTGGCGATGTGGCAGGATCTCACAGGGTGGAGAAACTGGGGAGGAAATGGTGTTCAAACAACAAAAGGAAGCTTTTTGTTCCAGATTCTGAATCTAAGCTGTATCTTGCTATCAGCCCAGAACGGAAGATTGATATCACGTGCAGCACACCTCGGAGTGTTTTGGCGAGTCTCAAAGCGGTCTAGCGTGAGTTCCCCGGTCCCTCCAAGTCCAGGAGGCCACTTGGTTACTGCTATACTTGGAACATCTAGAGCATCACCCCATTGGCAATTATTCAAAGGGGGTGGTTTTTGATCCCTCTACTTCCACATTACTTGAATTTTATTGTTCCTTGGATCGTACCTCTCACACACTCTATTGGTCTTGATCCTCACCAACACATACTTCCCCTGCCATCATCATGGTACGTCTAAGGGAAATCCCAAGGACGGCCACCTTCGCCTGGTCGCCTGGGGCTGCGTCACCGTTGATCGCAACTGGAACTCGCGCTGGCGCTGTCGATGCCGACTTCTCTAATAAGACATGTCTCGAGCTGTGGGATCTGGGCCTTGACCGCGAAGATGCGAGCGAGGAGCTGCAGCCGCTAGCTAAGCTTGATACCGACTCTGGGTAAGTGGATACTTTGGGAACTTGAACGAATATGGGCACACTGACTGATCAATGTGACTAGCTTCAATGATGTGGCCTGGACAACGTCGGAAGATAACAAACGGGGTGTGATTGCGGGTGGCCTGGAGAATGGCTCGCTGGAGCTGTGGGATGCCGATAAGCTACTTGCTGGATCCAGGTTGGTTGAATTGTACACATGGACCACATTCCTAGGATATTCCGCTGATCGATCAATTCTAGTGATGCATTGATCTCAAGAACCACTAAACACAGCGGCGCCATCAAGACCCTCCAATTCAACCCAAAACACCCGAACCTTCTGGCAACCGGTGGCGCAAAGGGAGAGGTAAGCTGCGACTCAAGGACAACGAGTAGAATAGGTGACTAATTACTGGATAGCTCTTCATCTGGGATCTAAACAACATTGAGAACCCATTCCGTCTGGGTAACAACGCGGCCCGTACCGATGATATTGACTGTTTAGATTGGAACAGGAAGGTTCCTCACATTCTAGTCACTGGTAGCAGCTCCGGCTTTGTGACGGTCTGGGATGTCAAGACGAAAAAGGAGAGTCTGACACTGAACAACAAGGGCCGAAAGGCTGTCAGCGCAGTCGCATGGGACCCCGAGAGGGTATGTTGTCAGCTCCTACATGCTTACTCCAGGATTGCTGACCATTTTCATGTCTAGCCCACAAAGCTTATCACATCTTCGCCCCTCGAGTCAGACCCAGTACTCTATGTCTGGGACCTGCGCAACTCCCACGCCCCAGAGCGGGTAGGTCACTCTGCCAGGCTCTAGGTATGAATTGACACTGATGTTTATTTTTTTAGACACTTACCGGCCACGAGTCCGGTGTGCTCTCACTTTCTTGGTGCGAGCATGACCCGGATCTCCTCCTGTCTTCCGGCAAAGATAACCGTAATATTTGTTGGAACCCGCAAACCGGTCAAGCATACGGAGAGTTCCCCGTGGTCACAAACTGGACCTTCCAGACTCGCTGGAACCCCCACAATCCGAACTTCTTCGCAACCGCATCGTTTGATGGAAAGATCTGTGTCCAAACCCTGCAGAACACGAAGACCGATAACGCCCAGGCCATCGCCGATCACAACCAAGCCTTGGACGGCGAAGACTTCTTCAACAAGGCGCAAACGCAGCCCCAGGTCTCCAAGTTCTCTCTCCCGAAGGCCCCTCGCTGGCTTGAGCGGCCTTGCGGTGCTACTTTTGGCTTCGGAGGTCGGGTTGTTTCCTTCGGTCTGACCGAGAAAGGATCGCGTACATCCAGTATCAAAATCACATCGTTCCAAGTTGATGAGAGTGTTGGCAAAGCCACCGAGAACTTTGAGACCGCATTGAAAGAGGGCGATATTCGTACCATCTGTGAATCGCGAGCTTCAGGTGCTTCCAACGAAGCAGAAAAGGCAGACTGGAAGGTGATGCAAGCTTTGATTTCTGAAAACCCACGTAAGGGCTTGGTGGAGTACTTAGGGTTCCAGGATCAGGTTGATGATACCGCCGATAGTCTCGCACACCTCGGGTTGGACAAGAAGGAAGGCGAGGACACCAATGGCGCTGCCGCCAAACCGGCTGGGGTCAAGAAGCACAAGCGTTTGCAATCCATGTTTGATCCCAACCCTGAAGGTGACAGCTTCCTTTCCGAACTGGCGGCTTCCAAGGGTGCTCAAACCAACAACCCATTCCAAATTTTCAATGGCTCCGAAAGCCAGGCAGAGCAAAAGATCACTCGGGCTTTGCTCCTTGGAGAGTTTGAGAAGGCTCTGGATGTTGCTTTGCGAGAGGATAAGATGTCCGATGCTTTCATGATTGCTATTTGCGGTGGCCCGAAGTGCATCGAAAAGGCGCAGGAGTACTACTTCTCCAAGCAGGCTAACGGCCCCAACTACATGCGCTTGCTCGCATCTATTGTGGGTAAGAACTTGTGGGATGTGGTACATAATGCCGACTTGTCCAACTGGAAGGAAGTTATGGCTGCCTTGTGTACCTTTGCCGACGAGAAAGAATTCCCTGACCTTTGCGATGCTCTTGGTGACCGCCTGGAGGAAGAGATCCAGAATAGCGACGATAAGAGTGCTCGAAAGGATGCTTCTTTCTGTTTCTTGGCTGGCTCGAAGCTTGAGAAGGTTGTTGCCATTTGGGTTGAGGAGCTCCGCGAGAATGAGCAGAAAGGACTTGAAAGCGATACTGACAACTCTTCGTTCTCTATCCACGTCCGTGCTCTCCAGGGCCTAATCGAGAAGGTAACTATCTTCCGCCAAGTCACCAAGTTCCAGGATACGGAGCGGAACAAGGACTCGGATTGGCGCTTGAGCGTCTTGTACGACAAATACATCGAATATGCCGATGTTGTCGCAACACATGGACGTTTGGAAACTGCCCAGAAGTACCTCGACCTTGTCCCAGAGAAGCATCCCGAAGCTGAGGTGGCACGCAACCGTATTAAGCTTGCTACAAGACAGGCACCCCAGAAGGCCCAGGCCGCTGTCGGGGCCAAGTCTCCCTTCAAGCCCCTCCCGCAACAGCCTAATATGTACCAGCCGCAGCAGACATACAGCCCTGCTGCTACTCCAACACCTGCTGCTCCCCCCTAACATTTATGCGCCTCCTGCGCCTGCAGTGCCCCAGCAGGCCAACCCATATGGCCCTCCCGCGACCTCACCAGCTCAACCTGCCAACCCCTACGCTGCTATGTCGACCGGAGGTGCCAGTGCCTACGGACCAGCAGCTGGGTATCAGCCAACTCAGGGGATGAGACCTACCGGTTATAATCCAGCATCTGCGTTCGGTGGACAGCAGCCCACAGGTGCTGGTATCCCTCCCCCTCCGCGTGCTTCATCTAACCAGTCGCCGGCCAACACAATCACAACATACACCACGGCCACTGGTCTTCCTGCATGGAATGATCTACCAGAAGGTTTCGCGAAGGCTCCTACGCCCCGTCGTGGAACTCCTGCCGCAGCCTCTGCACCCATCGCCTCTCCTTTCCCCAACCAGTCACCCAATTTGACTCAGGGACCTCCCCCGGTTGGTGCTCCGCGCGCACCATCCGTGCCTCCCCCACCAAAGATGGGCTCGGTGCCTCCGCCGCGAATGATGTCGCCGCTCTCTGGTGGCCAAGGTGTTTCTAACATCCCTGGACCTTCCCCGCCACCACCTGCCAACCCGTACGCTTCCCTCCCTCAGTCACCACCGCTGAATCAGGGGTCAACCATGGCTCCCCCGGCATCGATCCCCCGCGGAGCGTCGCCATACAACGCGCCTCCCAGCATGCCACCCCCAACCAATCGGTATGCACCAAACCCGGCTGCCCAGGCTGCAAACCCCCAGATGCAAGCACGCGGCTCGGTGGCCCCTCCTCCTCAGGCCGTTGCGTCGCCATACGCCCCACAGGCAGTATCACAACCACCTGCGGCAAACCCATATGGGCCCGCGACGCCTATTGCTACACAGCCTCCGCCCATGGCCCAGGGCATCCCACCCCCACCTCAGGGATCTCGACCTCCCACAGCCCAGTCGCAGAGGCCAACTCCTCCGGCTCCCAAGTATCGTGAGTAATCCTGATGAACAATATTATTTCAGCGAATTGACCCTTACAGCACCCGGTGACCGTTCACACATCCCCGCAAACGCACAGCCTGTCTACGAGATTCTATCGGCGGACATGCAGCGCGTCAAGTCCCGTGCCCCTGCTGCGTTCAAGGCACAGGTTGATGATGCTGAGCGCCGCTTGAACATCCTCTTTGATCATCTCAACAACGAGGATCTACTCAAGCCTAACACCATTGAGGACATGGCGAACCTGGCCCGCGCAATTCAGCAACGTGATTTCAATACCGCCCTCGCTATTCACGTTGATATCATGACCAACCGGACTGATGAATGTGGCAACTGGATGGTGCGTGAATATTGGTCCCATGAATTTTGAACGTTCACTAACAATTATCATAGGTCGGTGTGAAGCGACTGATTAGCATGAGCCGCGCTACCCCGTAAATGACACCCTTCTACCTTGTCGAGTGGAGGGAATGCTAAAGGCTTGGTATAACTCATGTATTTCTGGCCTTGTTTTCTCTATACTTCAGCGTTTCTCTAAATTATCTCATTTTCCTTGTCCATTTTATAATTAATGTCTTGCGTATCTCCCTCCGTTCCCCTTCTCTCCTGGGGGCATGAGTCCAGTCATGAGCAAAGCGAAACGTTACCAACGCCTCTCAAGTGTGGTTGGTAGTCTTAGCTCCCTGGTGCGTGTTTATTTAGATTGCTATATAGAAATAAATCAAATGCAGGTGAAGAGAATAGGTATACTAGGATCTGGGCTATGATCTGGCAGAGTCAATCGAGCAAATGAAGATAAAACCTGGAATCTGAGAGAATCCCCTAGGCATCCTATTATGATCTATTTACATTCATGATATAACGCCGAAGCCCCATCATCCAACCGCATCACCGTCCACCGACAGGAAGACCACCAAGCCGTCCACCTCGACTGGCGGGGAAGTTACGCGCACTCAACAGCGCGCCCTTCACACCACGAATATCCGCCCTAAACCCAGCAATAGCCTCGTCCTCCGCCTTTCGGTGACCGGAGCTATCACTCGAGCCTGAGTTATTGGAATTCCAAACCCCGTACGACGACCCAGAAGAGTAGGTTGGACCACTATAGATCAACCCGTCGCAATAATGATGCAGCTCCGTGAGGCGTGTACGCATAGAGTCATCTAGCGTACTCGCTTCCTTCTCCGAATTGACGATCTCGCGCAGCTTCGAAGTAATAGACTCAACGCGGCTGATGTGGTTGTTCACCGCCGTTGATGGAGAGACGGCCGAGTCTGCGGAGTTGACGACGCCGGCGGTGCTCGGAACCGGAGTGGGCTCTGGGCTCGTCTGCGTTGCGACGTCTCGGTGGAACAGCTCGGTTGGGTCTGAGGTGATCGACGAGGCGTCGTCGTCTTCGTCGCTGTAGGGCTTGAGCTTGAGTTCTGTTAACTCTGCCGGAATCACAGATACGGTCTTCTCCAGCTTCTCGTTTAGCTTTTGCAGGTTTGCTTCGGCTGCGCTGGCGAGTTCGTGTCGTGCGCTTGTTAAATTCGCTAGCATTGGTTTCACTAGGTATTCGCTTGCGCCGTAGAGACTGGCTCCTAGACCTGCGGCGCCGTATAGTGTGTACAGAAGACTGCGCATTGTCACTAGCGGTGGCGGCTTGGAGGACTCGAAGAGGAATTCTGGGTATGTGATTATCGGGGGCACGTCGCGGGGGGCGGGAGTTGGCGTTGGCGCTGGTGCGGAGTGCGATTGAGGCATGGTGTTGGAGGATGGCAAGGATGTAGTGGGAGGAGAAGTAATGGCTTCGGATTGAGTAGGTGGGGTAGATGGTGTCTCTTCCTGTGGTTTATCTTCCACTGGGGTTGAGCTGCTGCTCGCCTCTGCGTTGCGGGAGACACCGAGGACCTGCTCGATATCGTCTGAGCTGAGACCTTTTGACTCGAGGAATGACACTTTGCGATCTGTTGGTGCATCACGGATTGACACGTCTTCTAGGAATTTGAGTGCTTGGTCTCGGAGAGCTTGTCGGGATGTAGAGTCTGTAGTTGCGGGCGCATCGTCGGAGGTCGACGATGGCGACTCCTCGGCCGCCTTATTGGGCCTCTGCCATGAGGGAATAGATGTTGGTTTGGATGTGTCGTCGGGCATGATGAGGTATCTGAAGCATTCGCCAGAGATGTGAGAAAGTAAAGACGTTGGAAGGGAGCAAAGAGGAGGGCGAACCTTCCCCGGACTTGGGGCCATGTGAGCCCGACCTCGGCTGTTACGCCGGCTACACCTGAGGCATCAATATTGCCGTACATCTTGAGGAAAAATACATCATACTGATATGTGTTCACATTGTACGAGCTACTAGGATACGATATTCTTTAGAACAAGTCCAAATATATTTTTTATTTTGAATCGTATTTGGGCCGCCATATCCATTTATTCGAGATAGAAAACGAAAGATACACATGCGCTGTTTCAACTATACCGAAAATAAGCCTGTGAGACCAAGCCATAACCCCTGACTCCAGCTCCTATTGAGGGCTACAGAGTCCTATACACTAACTATTTCTATATATATTATCTGGAGATACAATTGAATATTGAAAGATCATATAGTTTCAATGGCGTACTCGAGACCGCCCGGCAGAATGGACCGCGCAGTACTCCGTACTTCATTCGTTCATCCAGCGTCAGCGACTGGACACTTGAAGAATCCGAAAACTTATAGAAAAGTACCTGTGAGTATGGCGTTTTCCCCGTTTATCATGTTGCGTTCCTTTCTATCTGCCCAAGGCTCCCCGCGGGCGTTCATTAGACCCCGAACCCAGGGGAGAAACCTCCCAAAAGCCTGATCCCCTGTAACCAGTGCGCTTTGTTCGCACTGGAAACTCCCCTATAGAAAGCAAATCTGTATCTTCCCGGTTTGCAGCTCCGCATCGGAGTGAATGAAGTGATTGGATACTTTTCCTTTCTCTCTCTATCCAGAATCCCCCTCCCCCAAAGGGTTAATGGCTTAGTTCATACTGCCACACACTTGCCTATCGACCTTCCCTGTCCCGCTTCTTTTTGCTGTTCTGGCTTTTGCATTTTACCTTTCCCAAGACTTCTGTCACACTTGATAAAGCCGCCACCATGTCGCTCCGTCGGTCTCTTCGATCGCGAAAGACACGAGATGACACTCCGGAAACAGATGCTAACATGACCACCAGGGCTACGAGACAAACTCGGGCCTCTACTTCTGCCTCTACCTTAGTCTCGGTCTCTCGATCTGAATTGAATTCAGGAGATCGGAAAAGATCTCTCCGTCTTACTGTCAAAATGCCCTCCAGCAAATTGCGGGAGGCCACGGGTGCTGGTCGCGCTGCTGGACGGCGCTCAGTCAATGTGTTCCGTGAAGATCCCATTGTTTCGGGACCCCGCTCCAGTCGGAACCGAAAGAAGATTGTAGAAGTTGCTACTAGCGACGAAGAAGAAATTGACGATCAAGAAGAGGATGAAGTGGACGATGAAGACGCCCCTGGAGATGACGATGATGATGAAGATGCCGATGCCGACGCTGACGCTGATGCTGACGGTGACATCGATATGGATGACATGCCGCCTCAGCCGGCTCCCAGGCGCGGTAAGATCAGTCCTCCATCTCGCGCCAAGCCTTCCAAGAGTGTGGAGGCCAAGGAGATGGAAATGGATGAAGATGAAGAGGATGACGAGGATGACGAGGAGGAGCCTATTTCCGATACGGATGAAGATGCCGAAGCGGAAGGCGAAGATCAGGATGAAATTGCAGTTCCAGACCTCAACGCTGATGATCTGGATGAGCTTGACGAAGAGGATGAAATAGACGATATGGATAGCGATGCCCTCGCTATGCAAAGTGGAAAGACCACCAAGCGCCAGCGAGGGAACCTTGGAAATGATTTCTTGCAACTTCCCATGGGTGAGAAATCACAGTCAATTAACGATTAACCGAAACCGAAGCTAATTGAAAACAGAGCCCCAGGTCAAGAAGCATTTGACCGCCGAAGAGCGCCAGATGCGTCGCGCAGAGATGGCGCGGCGAAGAAAGAACCTAAGTGAGAAGCGCAATGAAGAGGAGAAGGTATGCGCAGAGTCACTTCATACTTGCATTGCAGTACGGCCGCTAACTCTGAACAATAGATGGACACAATTAATCGGCTGCTAAAGAAGCAGGCCCCCAAGCGGCGTGGTCGACAGGCGGCCGAAGCCGCTGATGGAACCCCCGGCCAAGAAGGTGTGGAGGTCGAGAAAGCTGACCCTACCCTAGTGCGATGGATCAGTGGTCCAAATGGCTGTAAAGTCAGCGTGCCAGAAGAATGGTTGGGCACCCCTGCCGGGCGTGTCTTCGGTGCACCTGCACTTCCCGGGGGAAAATGGTTGAAGAAGTTTGATGTCACATGCAGAAACTACAATGGATTGGCGCTTATGGAAGGATTTTCTATCAAGGTATTCGGGAATGGACTACATCATTGCAAGGGACTAGGGTTGATTTTCTGCGTGTGCAGCAAGCGGCGTTCAAAACGCGCCTCTTCCAAATGTCAAGGTTCAAAGATTATGCAATAATACATCAACTGTTTCAAGTGTTTCCAGATACACGCCGGGAAATCCGGCTTTTATATCCAACTAGTTGGAAACCCTCACTGGTACGCGGGCTAGTCGATTCTAGATCATCATTCAGTGCTTCACCCACAACTACATTCCATGTATACAATGGCCTCCAGGGCCACTCATAAGACCTGACAAGTGTGACACAGCGAGGCCTATGGTGCAGTGTGCGCTGGGACCTCGGAGCGCGGGGGCAAGCACAGTTTCCAATACAGTATAGTGCACAGAGAGCAAACTACTGACACGATCATGATTGTTCGTACTCAGGCCAATTTGACGTTCATATAGCACGTCAAGGGGAAGGCCGGTCATCGTCATTGAGTAGTCGACTTTGGATCTTGCTGAAAGTCGCCTTTGACGGGGGTCTTGGTGTCTTGCTTCAGAGCAGCAGGATCGGACGGAGGTGAGGTCTTTTGAGCTTGCTCTTTCTGATATTGAAGTTGTTGGAATGTCGGTTGGAAGGTATAGTAACCTGGAGCAGGTAGAAAAATTCGAGATTAGGGACTGAGACCATACAAGAGTTATCCATGCCGTAGAGTTGATTTACCTGTGAAGACACCCACTCCAATAGCGCAAAGGGCAGGGAAGAGATTGCGACTCATCTCGAAGGGATGAAGGTAGACAGCGAGGTCGAATTGCAGTTGGTGGTTGGAGGTTGCGGAGGTGATGCGGCCCCGGGGGAAATCGGTTATCAGTTGGCTGATTAGCAGCCGGCGCGTCTGCTAAATTGCTCCGTTGGCACGCGTCAGAATCAAATTCCCGGCACTCAGACAGTTTGAATAGTTGTTCGACGTTTAATTTTCTCATGTTTCGCGAATTTTGACCTGAACCCTCTTTTCCTCGTCTTCTTATCACCTCAACATCACCCAATGACTGTCTAGAGACATGGGGGATCCCCGCCAAGGATGCAAATGGAATCATGGCGACAACGAGGATATGTCCCCGACTCGGACGAGGAAGATGGCTTCGATTCTCTAGATACGAAGAAGGGTGATGTCGAGAATAGCTCTGCTATCGAAAATCTCGAATACATCGATAACCCTTCGTCATCGCCGAAGGAAGGGACGACGAGTATAACGAAGGAACAACGCGCTGAGAATGGCTCCGTCACACTCTCAGATACCGAGAAGGCGGCTCGTTGGGATACGAATAGAACAAGTCCTCATCTGATGAATGATGCGCATGACGAAACGACACCGAAACAAAGAAGAGGACGCAAGACTTATGGACTTCGATCATCGGCTACAAAATCAACGAATCACCACAGCAGCGAGTTGCGTGGTTTGCATATCGCCGCAAAGGATACAGGCAGCATATATGATTTCCCATCGTCATCGCAGGAACATGACAGGCCTCAAATAAAGCCCTCGAGCCCCGAGTCTACACCGAAGCCCTTGGAGACCACCTGGCCCTCGCAATCACAAGTTATAGTGGAGCCACACATCTCAAACGCCAACACACAGGATGGTACCTCAAGCACTAGGAGCTCCTCGCCTGACGAGTTAATGTTGATCGCTCAGCCAACTCGAAAGAATAAGCCTATGGTCAATCATGCCCAGTCAACAGAGCCCCCACCATTACCACCACCACCCCAGGAGGGCTCAGAAGATGACTCTCCGTTATCCTCTGTGCCGTCATCATTTTCCTCCCCGTCGGCCAAAAATTCAACAGAAATACACACCGATGTTGTGCTGGAGGCAGAACCAGAAAGACCGGCGGACAGGCAGGCAGAGATACGGAATGCAATGCTCGCTGAGCTAGGCGCCAACCCAGAAGATGTATTACCTCATCTTGATATTTCCGAACAGGTGTTGCGAGAATTGCCGCGTGCTGCGCAAAGAACATTTCGAAAGCGCAATGCCATCCAAATGCACCCGTACCATCTAGAACAGCTCAAGTTTGCCCAGCAACTGCAAGCGCGGGGTGTCAAGCCTTTTGGTCGACCCTCACAGCAAAAACAGCATGTTACCGATGAAAGTCAAGGGCAAGATTCATATGATCCTGATGCACCTCCGTCTAGTCCTCCCCTGGAAGAGTATCTTCCGCCAGTAAGACATGAACGGCATCGTGGCCCTCACTCTGCTGCACAGGGACAGGAACACAACGACGCTGAGCATCGTCGGCCATCACAAACTCATCTAACAAAGCGACAGAAGATCTCTCATTCTGGAACTCCTAAGGAACGTCGGAATTTACACAAACCGTCGAAACCTTGTGGCATTAGAGACAAAGATACACCTACTGGAAATAGAAATGGTATCTCCGTATATGAGCTATCCTCTAGCCCCCCACACACAGGCCGTTTATCTTCAAGCTCAAGAACCCCTCGTGCCTCAGAAGAAGGGTTCCGGTTTCCTCGTGGATGGTCGCCACCGAGTGAAGTTGCGAAATCCAGGGCACAGGGAACCGAAGAAGCCAGCGAGGTTCGATTAAGTGGTGCAGGTACAGGTGATGATGAGGAGGACATACAGTCCATCTCGTCCAATAGCCAGAGTGATCAAGAAGAAACCAAATCAGATGCCGAAGAACGTGAAATTCGACGATTCCAACGAATGATCCGAGGGGCGCTCCCCGCATCCCATGCTCGACTGGATCAGAAGAAAATGGCAGATAAAGAAAGAGCTGCGCAATTAGATCGCCATGCCTCTTCGCAACGCCTGGATGGAAAGGGTGTTGCGCGGAAGCTGATTCGAAAGGGTGATCGCTCAAGGCAACCAGCAACACAACAATCAAGAGGCTTGTTTGACCTTGGAGATTCGGAGTCGGACGATGAGGATAGCATCAATGATGTTACAGGAAATGCATCTACAGCCAATGACTCCAACCAGAGGCTGACTGGCACTCTTGGTCTCGAAGACCCCTTCACGCTGGAAGAGGGTGATATCTCGGAGGACAATCGAATCGATTACATGTTTGCGCCTGTCTCGCGCCACTCAACAGGCCCTCGGCATAAAGCCAACAGTTTAAAAAGGCCAAAATCGAAACACAGTCTGCTCAATGGAGAGAGACAGCCGAAGAGACCCCGACAAACCCGAATGACCGATGCTTCCTACGGAGCACGAAGGACCAAGAAGCCATCAAGTGTTCAGCGGCCAAGAATAGGGATATTGGATGCACCAGATGTCGCCACGAAGCCTCGCCAAGAGCAATCGCGACTGCTCCGGGTAGCGGCAAGACGACCACGCTCACGCAAAGATGGAGGCAGGCAAAGCCCCACTCAGAAGTTCGTGAAACTGGCATCAAGGGGGGACACAGTGGATGCAAATGAGTCTTTACTAGATTGGAAAAGAGGACTTATTCGACAGGCCAAGATTAGCCCACCTCATCCCAGAGCTCGTCGACACCGGCATTGGACGACAAATCTTTCAATGCTCAGTGCTCGAGCAAAATCGAACGCTAAAAATGGCCGGATACCGAACCAATTCCTTGATACGGAGGCAAACGCTGATGTTTCGAACACCGACACAGTGGAACAGGAACAGGAACAGGCACAGGCACCACCTGAATCTGGCGCAATCCCAGTCCCGTCAAACCAAGCTCCGGCGGCCGAGTCCTCCCGTCGAAAACCTGAGCAGCACGGTCACACATGGGTTATTCCTAGAAATGTTGCCATAACATCGTTGAAGAGGAACACCATTAGACCTGCGGCAACTAGTTTGGCAGGCCCTGGTAAAAACCGAAAAGTGGTTCCCGCCGTATTCAATCAGTCATTGTCTATCCTTAACCGACACTATAAAAACCAGCGCACATCTAAATCCTACAAGCCCAGTTTAACCTTGGATCGATATGTCTCCGACAATGGATCATTGAGTACCGAAGGAAATACCTCGCCCATGAACGCTCCAGCTGCTGCTGTTGCCGTCCTGGCTGAGACACGAACTCAAAGACCGACACGGCAAGCACCTGTGTCTCGACGGCGGTTGAAGAAAAATCCGCCCAACCGAATCAACCTCGATGCCGACGAATTCCGTCATAATCCAGATCCTGCTACCATAATCTCCGATGAATCGGAGCCTCCTACCATAACGCACGTTGGACGCACAGGTTCTTCGTCTTTCGGCGTCGGTGGGCTTTTCAACTGGCAACGCTTCTATCCGGTCGACTTCGGGGTATCACCCCTGCGTGACAACACATTCTTCCATGAGACCACATTCATAGGAAGCGGGGACTTCTCTCGCTCGCTACGAATCGTAGAGCGGGACTTTGACCGCAATGCCACTTCATTCTCCATCCAGCTCAAAGACGAGACATTCCAATGGAGCCGCTGGAACGACAAAGTATCGTCGGAGATGGGGCAGGTCTTTGATGTGATAATCAATAATGTTGAGCGAAGTGCTGTTACCTCCCCGGAGACAGGCATTACGGCTGCTCTGGGTGTGGCGTCGAGGTTATACAGATTGTTGGTCAAATACATCACGGAAAATCTGGTTTTCATCGACCCGATTGATCGTACGGGGTTTGTCACTAGAGTAATGGGGCTGGTCTCCCAGGTGAGAGACCCGTTAGCTGCGTTTCTGGCGAGTGATGAATACAACAAGAGCGGGCTTGTCAAGATTGCTTGCTTCAACATGATTTTCGCAAACCAGATCTATCAGATTGCTTCCCATCAGCTCGTCAGTCCTGCCCTTGCGACTGAAGCTTTGGATCTTGTCCAAATATCCGCTAAAGACGTTGCAGGCTTGATCACGTCCAAAGTCGGCTCTTCTGAGTTTAGAACGATCTTCAAGGAAAACAGCGAGCCTGAACACCGCGAGTCGGGGATTCGTGATGAGTATCCATCGGTGGAGGCTTACGTTGTCGTTAGACATGTTCTGCGCAGCTCAGACAACTACAAGGGCTGCTTTGAAGATCTGCAGCTTGAAACTTTCAACAATGAACTTGTTCGCAGTGAGAGGGATGTGACCAGCCTAGAGGCTGGATGGCGTGGTATATTCACTGTCCTACCCTTCAACGAAATGAATGCGCTCGGGATTGCGCACCCTGGTTATCAGTTGACAGCTGCGAATGACAATTGGAAATTAGTCAAGCGGCTTCTCGCTCCAGCCCTGGACGATTTCGAGTCCAACTCTAAGGCACATCCCATCTCATACAATAGCTACTGTCGAACCCTGTTCCTCCGGTGTCATCGGCTTATCAATATCTGGGGGTGGAGAGAATGCAAACCTATCCTGGACACGCTATTCGACTTCTTCGCCAAAAACACCCTTCACAATTTAAAACTCGAGGAAGCTCGTGGCTCACCTTCATTTCTTGACGAACTCGATAACAATCCCTCTCTGGATGCCCGAGTGGGTGAACCATGTTTCCACACATTTCTCAAGATTGTAGCAAGTGGTCTCCGCTTCTTGGCCAAGAGATATGACAAAAAAAAGATTCGCAACTTCGCCTGGCGTCTGCTACCCAACCACGGCCGTGTATACCCGAAAGAGCAGCCGTTGCAGCATGAGGATCTCGATGCACTAAGAAATCACCACGATCTTCTAAGCACTCTGTACTGGGCTGTTCCCGATGGGTGTCGCCCTCGACTGGAAACGATACGCAATCTGGTCCATCCTGCCACTTCACATCGTGAAGCGTGCAGCATCAATTTGCGCTCATGGTCAAGGCTTGTTCGATTCAAGCTTTCTACCGATGAAGATGTCGTGGGGCTAGATCCATTCGGAGACTGGTACGGCTATTTTGTTACGGAGCTGCAGCAACAGCATTCGTATGCTCGCAAAGAGATTGAAGCGCAGAACACAGGTGACAATCGTGTATCTCAAAAGCTCGTTGAACGCACAATCTCCCAGAACCAGCGACAGATAGAGACTTTGTTGAGCAGTGCGCTCAGTGGCCTGCGAATCGCTGTTCAATTAGCTCCGAAACTAGAGCATGCACACAGGCTTGTTCTGAAAGCTCCCTTCGAGTCTATCCTTACACTTTTCAACCCCAAGCTCCCGCGCGTGAACGTCGTTGTCTCGGAAGCACTGCAGGTCCTGGTCGCGTACACCCAGAAAGACGCTCCAGCTACATCCACATCAAATGCTTCTGCGGCAGTGAACACGGATGAGGACAGCCAAGAGTTTGGTGATTGGGATGCCATTCAGGCTGTTTGGGACCAGCAAAGTTCTCCCAGCGAAGTCATTGAACATGTAGAGAAGGCTTTCCATCCGATTGTCTCTCGTCTCGTTTCGAACTGCTTTGGCGAGGACCACTGTCCAGAGGATGCGATCCTCCTCAACGTGATAGAATGCTGGACGTCAATCGCCCAGGTCCTCATTCGCCATGGTCTCCGAAATTGGGACAATTATCTGAGCGAGTTCGGCGATGACTCCTGGACACGGCTTCGACAGACAGTTCAGACAAGAAAGTTTGCGCCGCTGTTCCTTGCGGCATGCATTGAAAAGGACGCCCATATTGTTTCCGATTGCCGAATCCAAGTTATGAGTATGTGGATGTCATCGCTTGTCGAGCGTTCCTCGATAATGAAGTTTCAACATCGTCTCACGGAGGCGCTTTTGAACGGGAGTCCCACAGATCCTTTGCTTGCCAATCTGCCGTTCTCCAAAGATACGAAGCTCGGCCGATATACAATCACATTGGAGGAAATAGGCTCTCGGCGACTATCTCTCCTCTCGAGCATATCGTCCAATATGCGTGAGCAGCTCCAGAGCATGGAACTTTCTGGCAATCGGAAATTCTCTGTGACGAAACAAGAGTACTCTGAGATGCTTCGGCGGGTGATGACTTCTATGAAAGACAATTACCAAGAGCTAGGTAATGGAACAGTCCAGGCTGCTCAAGGAGAATACGTCGAGTTCGTGCAACGGGTCATCGGTTTCCTTCAGCAACATACCAGCGACATCAAACCCATCGACCCCTTTTTCACGGACCCTGCTTCGTTCCCTTTGCCGTCTACCGATCCACGCTACATTGTTGCGAAGCTCAAACGCTACGAGTCGAAGCTATCTTCCAGCAAAGAGATCCAGACATTAACCGGGTTCGTCCAGAGCATTTCGGAGCGCGCCGCCATTGACGGTCAACAGAGCTACTTGGTTGATCAGTTGCACACATCGATGAAGGATACCTACGAAGCTGGTGACCACGACAAACCCACTCTACGCGCCGTCCTGTTGCAATGCGTGTTTCCAGCGTACCTGGAAGCGGCGTTTCCCAACCGTGCCGCATGGATCCTCAGCCGTCCTATCATCCAAACCATCACGCTGGAATTCAAGAACATGTTGTGTAATATAGACACACTGGACGAAGACTGCGTGTCTTCTGTTATCGATATGATCGATGTTGTGTGCCGAGCCTCCTGTCAAGCATTGGGTCTGGTCGCCTATCCTCGCCATCGTCTGCGGAGTCCTACAATTTTACTCATGCTTGCGGCCTTTCTTGATATGGTCTCCTCGGCCATGCCAGTGGTAGATTACATCGATCGAGCTGCGGGCACAGGGGAGTGTATTTTTGCACACATCAAATGGATTCGCGATTTCGCGAAAGCCGTGAGCAAATGTCTACAAAGCACAGATTTAGACATAGAATCGCCCTCGAGCAATGCCCACATCACATTCCCTGTGGTGCCGCCCTCCGATAGCAGGAAGACTGAACTATTCAGAACGGCTCACGGTCTCGCCTCGAATGACCTCCAGCTCTATCTCAGAAAATGGTCGTATCATCAAGATAAGTACTACTTTACTCGTCCGGGTCATGAGTCGCAGGAGATAACAATTGAGTCTGAGGTTGCTGTTCTGGTATCTAGTCAGGATGAAGCGCAGAAGGTCTTTGAGACTGCGGCGACGGGATTCTTTGATCATGCAAAGGCTCTGGAATTGGTGTCTTGACCGTGAGGTCATTCGTTTCGGTCTTTATATCCAAGGCGTTCTCGGAGGAGTTTTCACGTGTCACGAGTATTAGAAAAAGATAGATAATGTTCTCTTGTGCCATATTGTTTGTATGGGATTTATATAATGAAGACTAATTACTTTGAGTGGCGATTCAGTATGCCCTCTCTCCAAATTAAAGAACATGCCGTGAAGCAGAGAACCGAGTCCTGCATCATGCAATGCATTATGCCATCGGGTCCAATGCAAACAGCCCAGAAACAATGAAAGCCGCATGTCCAATATAGGCCTGGAGATGCAGGCCACCGTAGAATCCAATCTCCGCTGGTCGTCATCCACAACACCCTTTGATTTACCTGTGTTTCATATCCCATCTGTCATAAATGATCCCCCTAAGGCGCGTTTGACATGTTTGGATAATCCAGCTCACTAACACTTGCGGAAATCGAATTTCCCCGTGATGGATTATTTCACTTCAAAATTCAATCATGCGTGTAGGACACGAGTGAAAGCCGCAGGCAATGATCAATCGGCCAAAGTATATTGCACGGCGATATCGGTCTTGATCCCCGATTTGAGTTGTACTAATCATTTTCATACGCCTCACACATTCGTTTGCCTCGATCAGCTGGCATCTGAGAGCCTGATTTGAGGATAGCGTCTGTAATACTCAGCACTACTGTAGCATTTCAAGGATTTGAGTCCGTTTCCGCGGTGTGGTGAATCAGTGAATGGGCGATACCATATGGCAGCATATGCAAAATTGAAGAAAAAACAAACGTTGGAATCACAGGGGGAATCTGCGAATACTACACAATCTCACGTGGATGTGCTGGAATGTCGGGTGTTACAGTCTTGTCCGGCAAAAAAAAAGAAATCAGTTTTATACTCGCCGTTGAACTTATTGTCTAAGTCTGATATGAGTATTTCAAATGTATTCCTTCGTTTCAAGTCTAGTGTATTTTGGAAGTATAATAACATCCGTCAAGGGTGAATTGGCTATATAGTCCGTTGATAGACCTCGGAGATTCACATGAAGCAACTTATAAATCTAGCAATCATGATTTGGAAAGCTCTCTTCAGTGCGGCGCCCATATTGGCACATATACTATCAGCTTTAGCTGCCCCAACTCTGGATTCACAATTGTCTAGTCAATCACCAGGCAAATATGTCTTTGCCCACTTTATGGTATATCAACATATAAACACTCATCGTCCTCTACTACTGACATCCCATCTAGGTCGGTATAGTAAAAGACTACCAGCTATCAGACTGGAAAGAAGATATGACCGCAGCCCAAGCCATCGGCATCGACGCATTCGCACTGAATTGCGCAAGTATAGATAGTTACACTCCCACCCAGCTTGCCCTAGCCTACGAAGCAGCCGAACAAGTCAACTTCAAAGTATTCATTTCATTCGATTTCGCTTACTGGACCAACGGGGACACAGCAAAGATCACAGAGTATATGAAACAATATGCAGGGCACCCAGCACAGATGCAATACAAAGGAGCTGCCGTAGTAAGTACATTTGTCGGAGACAGCTTCAATTGGGATGCAGTACGACAAGGCACACCGCATCCAATTTACGCTTTGCCGAATCTCCAAGATCCCGCCGAGGCTACTACCGGCCCTGCCAAAAGCGCGGATGGTGCGTTCTCGTGGTTGGCTTGGCCTACCGACGGGGGGAATAGTATCATCCCAGGACCGATGACTACTGTCTGGGATGACAGATTTGTTCATTTCCTTGCGGGAAAAACCTACATGGCTCGTAAGAAACCCTTGAATCTGCGCAAATATCTGGGCGGATAGTAAACTAACGCAACGATAGCCGTCTCGCCCTGGTTCTCAACCCACTTCAACGTCAAGAACTGGGTGTTTGTTTGTGAGAACCTGCCAACATTACGCTGGGAACAAATGCTTTCTCTTCAGCCAGATCTTATCGAGATAATCTCATGGAATGGTACATTTGTCTTATGTTCCGGGCGAACGCTAAGAATGACTCTCTGCTAACGATATATCTATAGACTACGGTGAATCCCACTACATCGGCCCGTACTCAGCACACCACAGCGACGACGGTTCTTCACAATGGGCAGCTGACATGCCCCACGACGGCTGGCGGAATCTATTCAAGCCCTATATATCAGCCTACAAATCCGGTGCAAAGAGCCCTACCGTGGAGGCGGATGAAGTGGTGTACTGGTACCGACCTACGCCCAAGGGCGTTGTGTGCACGGGTGATACCCTCTCAGCACCAATGGGTGCTCACATGCTCAGTGATAGTATCTTTGTCGCGACTATGTTAACGAGCCCGGCTACCTTGACTGTCCAGAGTGGAAATAATGCTCCTGTTAGCATTGACGTTCCGGCAGGAATTGTCACCTCAAGTGTGGCTATGGGGGTGGGTGGTCAGTCTTTCAAGGTGACTCGGAATGGGCAGACAATTCTGAGTGGCCAAGGTGGCCTTGCGGTTAAGAACAGCTGTGTTTACTATAACTTCAATGTCTTTGTTGGGTCAATTGGGGGTGTCAATGGTGTTAGTAACTCGATTGGGTAGGAAATTGATATCTGCCGATATTAAGCGGATGGGCACCCTCTCAAGGCTAAACTACTTTCGAAAAGATCGGACTTATTCCCGCAGATATGGCAGACCCCTGTGCTATTCCTTTTCTTCTGCTATATAACATGTAGTTTTATTGCTGAAATTTCTACAAGCTCTTGACCCCTCGTCTAGCCAGGTCCATTTTTCTCACAATTCGAAATAAAAAGATGGCTCCTTATCGTCGAGTTGCTGTTATTGGAGCAGGACCTTCTGGTTTAGCAGCCGTGAGGGCACTGGAGCAAGAGGGCTTTGAATATATCCGGGTTTTTGAACGAAAGAATAGAGTTGGTGGTTTATGGTTAGCATGTCCCGTCACCTTTCTTATTTGGCCCCTGGGGGCCGTTTATACCAAGGAACTTTTAGATCAAACCTCCACAATTCACCTTTGTTATTTGAGAAGAATTACTGACCAGATTTCTAGGGCCTATGACCCAGAACCAGACAGTTTTCAAGTGAACACTCAACCTGAGGGCACTGAAATACCCAGTAAACTTGGACCTAGGACTCCATGTCTCATGCCAGCGACCCCAGAGCCTCAGGGTCTCCGGGGATCGGCCTATGATACCCTTGACACTAATGCCGGGGCCCGCACAATGGCCTTCACGCACACGGCAATCCCAATGGCCAATTCGATAGCCTCAATAGAAAAATTCGGCCGAGACAATCCAACTCGACCGCGTCAAACTGTGTTACGTTATCTGGAGGAACTATTTGTTCCATTTCTACACTTACTCGTGCTTGACACCACTGTTGAAAATGCCACAAAAACAGATGATGGTCAATGGAAGCTCACGCTACGACGCCGAAATGTCCAACACGGCACGTCAAATGCACCCAGAGATTACTGGTGGGAGGAGCAATTTGATGCATTGGTGGTAGCCTCGGGACATTTCACTGTTCCAAGTCTTCCTAATATCGAAGGTCTGATCGAGACCTCTGCCGAGTTTCCGGACAAGTTCGAGCATTCTAAATCCTGGAGATCTCCAGACTCATATGTCAATAAGGTGCGTCATGAGGATTGACACAAGGGAAAGCGACAACACCCTATTCCAATCACTTGCATGCTGATCCTGTCTTGGACGATTAGAGAGTTGTCATCGTTGGCGGTGGTATATCCGCTGCAGACCTTGTTGAAGACCTTCATCAAATCGTCAAAGGCCCGCTTTATGTCTCTCGACGTGGCAACGTCGGATTTCTTGAAGATGCATGGCGTCTTCCCAATGTGGTCGATAAATCAATCATTTCGCGCATATCTCCTGCCGCCGGTGGCACGGTAGAGTTCCAGGATGGAACAAGCATCAACTTCGACAAGATTATCTTCGCAACGGGATACAAACTTTCCTATCCATTTTTGCCTTTCGAGGCTGTAACTCCACAGAACAGACTGGACGGATTCTACCAGCACATTTTCCGTATTGGGGACCCTTCCCTTGCCATTATCGGACAGGTGAGTATCCCGGTTCCACTATAAATTACAGCATTCGAAGACATTGGATGCATAGGAGTCCGTACTAACTCGCCTGCAGGTCAGAGCAGCCATCAGCTTTCGCATCTACGAGTACCAGGCTGTGGCAGTCAGTCGCTTCCTAGCCGGACGTTCTCAAGACTTGCCAAGCATAGCAGCACAAGATGAATGGGTGGAACAGAGATTACAGTATAAGGGTCCTACCGAGCTCTTCCACGAAATAATGCCCGATTTTGTGGAATATTATGGCTGGTTGCGAGAATTTGCAGGCTGCGCAGAAGGGAAGCCCACCGAATATCTGTTGCCGGAATTTGAAGAAAATTGGGTTCAGAGTGATATAGAGATATTGCTGGCAAAGAAGCAGCATTGGGTGGCCCTTCGAGATAAAAATCGTGCGTTGGATTATGAACAACTTGCGAAGACTGGTGTCAATAGTAGCATCTCGCGTTAACTGCTTATCTTGAGGTCCAAGGAGACAGAACACGTTGAAGCGAGGCAGCAGCCTCTTCCTACTGCGTGAGATTGAATAAATTACACATCATACGGCATTCCTTCATTGTTCAGAGCTAAAAGGTAAATCAAACACCGGCATCCATGGATGCTCAGATTATGAACATGCGAAACAATAGATCCCCCAGAACAGACGCCAGAGCCAGAGCAACCCTAGGTGAAGTCATTTTCTCCGCACTAGCGTTGATGGCTATGCAATTAGTCATGATCCATCAATAGACATCAAGGCCCGTTTAGTTCGTCGGGCCAGTGGCACCTCCATTCCCGGTATCCTGGCTAGGGCGGCGATGGAATGGATGCGACCCGAAATGGAAAACTTTCTTCACAGCATTGGTAATGCTGTTCTTCCTCCTGCCCTGTGGCGCTTCCTCGGGAGAACGATCTGTGTTTTTCTTGGGCACAGAGGCATCATCAGCAAGGACAATCGATGTCACGGCGGGCTTTGGTGGCCATTGCCCGTCTGCTTTCCAGCCTTGGACCATGGCTTTGGTCAAATGGGCGAGGTTGACAGGGACTGTGGGGGTCATGCCTTGCACGACAACCTTGGTGTAAATCGAAGGGTAGATTGCGGGATTGATTGTTGCGCGAACTGGGTTGTCATCTGAAATAAAAGGAGGAGCAACGGGACAAAGTGGTTCATCGAGTTCTTCTTGCTCCTTTTCCTCTTCTGTTTGGTCTTCCACAGCCGGTAAGGTTGGTTGAGTGGGTACAATTGCGGCAAATTTCTGATCCGGCACTGTGATATTGGTCTCTGACGAGGCCTTTCTTTTAGCGCCCTCGTCTGGGGCAGTTGACAATCCTTCCTCTTGATCCTCTCGCTGTCCCGAGGTCAAATCCGCTCGATGTTGAAGCTCCTCACTTTTCTCTCGATCCGCGACAGAAAGCGAGGTCTCGGTTCGGGCTGCCAGATCAGAAGCGCCAATGCCCTCGCTGCCTTGACCAGACGGATTCGCATTATTTTCTCCCAACCCCACGCCATTGGATTGATCTGCTGTATCTTTCTGAGTACCAGCCAACGCACGCTTTGCCTCCTCTGCCCGAATCTGCCGACGAGTCTTCGCACCACACCACGCATCGCGTCTCGCCATCCATACGCGTAGCCCATCGTTCCATGCCATTTCGTCGTCTATCTGTCGACGACGCTTGCGACGCCGCTCCACGCCTGCATCCCCAGGGGTAGATTTCACCGCAGCTGATTCTCCATATTCAGCTTCGCTATCTGAGCTCTGTGGTTCAAGTTCCGAGGTTGGGGTGTCGAATTCTCGAACTCGCCATTCGCACACTTCACGGTTGTGGCATAGGGTGCCATCGGCGGACGACGGGGAGGTGACACCGGCTTCAAAATCCCAATCATTGCGTACGACTTCCTTGACGAAGACTTTGGCCTCACGGACTGAGGAATCGCGAGACCCGGTGGCCATCATTTTTGCGATCTCTGAAGGTGGGGTTTGGGGGATGAGGAAGTGGGGAGCTGTGGGAGCAGGGTTTTCCCCGTGCACCTGTCAACTAATAAAAGACGCAAAGGGGCGAAGAACAAGAAAAACACTCTAAAGGTCGAAGTGGCGGGATGATCAGACTCAAATGTCATATGGCACGTGCCGGAATGCGGAGATACAAGCCTTCCTCTCCGCCTTGATTTCCCTCCGGAGTACTCTTCTATGTCCCAATTTCCCAATTAACCCTACTGACTTTGATTTTCATGCTAAACTGTCTCTTGTCTCTCGAGACTCTGGCCTTGTCTTGGGCAAAAGGACCTCGTGTATTCGGCCCAACGTATGGAGTGACGCAACGCCAAGCGGTACTATCATTCCTTGTGGCTCACGCTATACAAGCTGGTTGGATGGAATACACGGACGCTGCATCATAAAATGTCAAAGCATGTGTATCCTTGCAAAGACATAGGGATCTAATTGAGCACGAGCCGAAAGACTTCAATATCACTATTTCATATCCAGTGCTTCGCCTACTAAGCCTTCTTTGGTACTTCATTCTAAAACAATATCTCCATGCATAGTACTTTGGCAACGCCGATCTTTTCCCCAGATCCATCTATTCTTGGTCCCCACTGGCCTCCGTCAAGAGGTAGTCCCAATCAAGATCTTGTATGCGATCTGCCTCAACAACCAAAACGTTAGGATCAACTCCGTGGAATTGCATCCTGCCAAGGGAGCGCAGGTTTTGCTAAGACCAATACAATCAGCACTTCAAGGCCATGCAATGGACACAGCGAGTCAAAAGGCAAATACCTTGAAAGGCGCGTGGCGATTCCTCCAACAGACAAACAGGGTCGTGTTACTACACAGCCAGTACCGAGAATCAGTAACAATATTTCACTGCACTCATCAAGTCACTAGTTTCTTACCGCTTCCCCGCGATCCCGAAATGATACTCCATGTCATAGATGGCATATCGTGGAGCCGGATTGCCATCATTGTCGGTTGCCTCCCATAGCTTATGCACAAAGGCATCGTAGTCTTCTTCCGTCGATGTTTCCTCGACTACAATGTCTTGGTTGTCATCGGAGATTTTCCAGATCATAAACTTGGGTCTGGTGGCTTCTGGCCCTGATCGGAGCTGATTGAACTCAGATATGCAGTCGGCAGCGCTGAAGATACTGATATATATTGATTAGTGGAATGTTCTTCCCGAATTCTTTCCTTGGAACTGTACAAGTGACCCTGTGGATACTGCAGAAAGCAAGATCTTAGTACTTGTATCCATGGCATGTAGCGGATCTACGTACCGACATCTTGGAGCTTGGTAACTGGTATCCTGCAACCACGAGATTTCTGCAGTTCAAATGAATTGACTGAGCAGAATGGATAGTGTTGTGTTGAATGGAAAGTGATGAGAAATGGGGAGCAAATAGCTACTTTGGTTATCTTATATCCCTGACTCTACATAGATTCCGCGAGCTTCTTCCCGTGTCTGACTAGATTGAGATATCTTACACTGAGGAACATACAAAGAAAAGGCTCCCTGGCACATAGATGTAGCAAATCGGTGAATATGCAACAACAAATGTCTCTGTCTGGGCTGGTATTGCTTCAGGATTGCTTCACAGGGCAAACTCCAACCAGAAAGGCTGGGGTATATTTTAAGTGATCAATTCTAGATAAGACTTACATGACAGGCACTCAAATATGGATTTTCAGTTTACAGACGAATAAATAGATAGTGATGTTATTTAGGTGCTACAGTACCTACATAGTAGTCGGTATAGGCACCCTCTCATTGAGCCTAGTGGTGGATGAGAACAACTCAATGCGGGCGTATTCACTATGTCTTCTTTCTGCGGACATTCATAAGTTATCGCAGAGCAAATTGTCCCTTTGAATTGTTCATTTGCATAATCGCCCTGTCATTACATATTGATCAGTTCGTCTCCTTGCCCGGACTGCATCAGGTTCAAGGACAAAGTCAACGAGTTCTTTAGTCTGTCTATACAACTATTTGCGGCACTTTGACTTGTCTTCAGAGCTAGTAGCTTATGACCTATCAAATGAAAGTATTCACGGTGTTTCGAAGAATCTAAAGAGGATTCCCTGACTTATATCATTTCTGTTTGACCCAAAATACAGTGTAGGCACTCGGCCAATCATACTGACCTAACATGCCCGTTGAGGTGATGTGTAATATCAACCATTGGGCCCTCAATCAAGTCACCGTTGCCGCTTTCGGGTAGAAAACGATACGTGGCTAGGGAGTACTAGACGAGCCCAGTAGTTGAGGATTGGCCCATTGTAAACCCGATTTAAAGCATCTCAACATGAAGTAATGGAATTGCTCCGTTGCCCAAAAGATTGAGGGCAATATATACATTTTGAGTAATGGTACAGGTCTATAATATCGCTAAAAGTACATAGGGAATCCCAGTTTCCCCCAATCCACGTAAAATAACCCAGTATACAAGCCGGTGAGAAACCTCCGACGAAAAGAAAAATCATGTCCGAACGCGCGCCGAATCAGCGGAGGCATCACTGGTAGCACCAGGAATGAAACCCCACCCAGGACTCTTCTGGCGACGACCTTTGCGATCACCATACTGCTCGTCGAACTTCCGAATCGCCGCCAGCGAAGACATATCTTCACTGATCGACGCGCTGATTTCTTCCATTCCGCGCTCGAAATGCTTACGAGTCAGAATGCGGCGCTCCGGGTAGCTATATGGCTCGTCACCGGTGTGCTTGGCCGCAGCGTCATTCTCCTCGCGAACGCAAGCTAGTGCAGCCGCCACCGACAGATTCTTCAAATCGGAACCAGAATACAGTGGCGTGAGTCGGGCGAGTTCAGCAAGGTCGACAGAGGGTTCGAGTTGTTCTTCTTTCAAATGGATTTTCAAGACTGCTTCGCGATCTTCCTCGGTTGGTAGATCGACTAGTAGACGACGGGGAAGACGGCGGAGGACAGCATCGTCTAGGTCAAAAGGTCGATTTGTGGCGACCATAATGAATGCTGATAGGTCGTTCATGCCGTCCCACTCGCGCAGAAACTGGTTGATCAGTTCGCGGTGGGAGGTGCGGCTGCTGGCTCCGGTGCGCGAGCAGAAGATAGCATCTGCTTCGTCGATGAAGACGACGCAGGGACTGAGCTTCTTGGCAAGTGTGAAAATCGCTTTCACATTCTTCTCGCCCTCGCCGACGTACATGTCGTACACTTCAGACCCGCTGACTTCGAGGACTGTGGCTCCGCTCTCGCGGGCTACGGCTTTGGCAAGTAGCGTTTTACCGGTGCCTGGAGGTCCGTATAAGAGGAGACCGGGGATTTTGTCAGTGGCGAGGACACCGTATGTGAATGCCTCGGGGCGGATGAGTGAGAGGGAGGTCAGGGTCTTCAGAGCTTCAATGGTCTCGGGAGGCACATGCACATCGTTGAATGTGGTCCGGATGCTTTTTGCATCAACTACACCGTTAAGTAGCTTTTTCTCGTGCGTGTTGCACGTTTTGCGCAAAGAGCTGATCAGTTGTTCTCTGCTTTGTCCCGCTTCGGACTCTTTCTGCTTTGGTGACTTCTCTTTCAGCCATTCGTTGGTGACTCTGTCGCTTTTCTCCATGAGCTGGATTCCACGTCTGATATGCTCGAATCCAAGGGGCTCGTTGGCTTCAGCACAGCCAAGTGCAAGGGTAGAAATCCAATGCACTTGATTGTACGACCAGTACCGATCCTCGATTCCTGATTCTTTGATAGTTGAAGGTTCCAGCGGCCACGCACGATCGCTGAATATGTTGTCTTTTACAGGCAGAGCCTGTTCATGTAATCGGAAGCGAAGCATGCTCTGTAGGTGGCGAATATTAATATCCATGGTGCGCTTCTTTCTGTCTTCTGAGAAGACCTCTTCGGCATCTTTCGAGCTCATGGCAGGGGTGATGAACAAGGTCTTCGAGAACTGATCATCGAGAACATTTTGCAGCAAACCAGCACCATCTTGTGAGGGCGAGTGATGGATTTCCTGCGAGGTAGTTCCGATCAACAGAATCTTGGACCCTGCCCCTCTCCGGTCTTGGATGACTTTGTGCAAGAGTGAAATGAACTTGGACCCCTCTCGGGTGTTTTGAATATCACGGTAGTCCTGGATATGCATAATGATGTCTCGAGATGGCAAAGCTTCGCTGGCCTTTGTCTCGACATTTTCTGTCGCTTCACTGGGGGCTGATATTGCTGGTGCGGATTGGCCTGATGAGCCAAGGAGCTCGTTGACTAGTTGTATCCACCGAGTTTCAGCGCGCTGACCACTTCGTGAGGCGCCGGCTCCGGGATCCGGATCCGTTTGGCCATTGATCGATCCCCCCAAGAGGGTTTTCAGCCCAAGCCAGTTGGGAAGAGGAATGTCACCTGCCTCTTTGCTGCTCTCGATTGTGATAAACCGAGGTGTACCAATATCACCGCGCATACCACGGGGACCTCCTCCAATTTCAGCCACGTCATCCTCGGCCTCGCCTTCGGGGTCTTCAAGTTCCGACCATGAAGGTGTGACGGGTTGCCGGTATACATCGTAGCCGAGAGATCGAATGGGCGAGGTTACTCCGACATCTGCAAGATCTTGCTCGCTGAACAATTGTGCGATGTCCTGGGCGTTGAGGGTCACCAGGTCAGTGCCCAACTCGTGGGCAAGCTTCTTCACCACCGCGTCTAAGAATGGTATGCCATCAATACCCGGGTAGTGTAGCGATAGATGTGACTTCTTCACGGAAGGCTCTTTAGCATATTTTGTAGATGGTAATCGTAAGCCTGCTTTAACGGAGGCCCGCAGCTCTTCCCACGATTCCTCAGCCACCGCATATCGATTCTCTGCTGCTGCTGGTGGTTCATTGGATGCAGATGGGTCAGAGCCTCCCCCAGAAGCCTGAATTTCATTTCCAAGTTCCCCCAGCTCCTTTTGTGATACTGACTTGGTTATCCTAACCTGTTGTAGTGATTGTGTAGGGCGGTCCTCTGAGGTGTGAGACACCTTATTGTGCTCGTAGAACCATGCGGGGACGGTTGTCGTTGATGTGGAAAGTTGCTGTGCGGACTTTCTGTTTCGCATCGCTCTGCGCACGGCAGATCCGTAGGTTTTGGTGATCGGTTTGGCCGACTCGGCAGAGGGAGATGTGGGCGGCGTGCCATTGTCAGAGAAATTCTCAGTTTTGAGGGAAGGGTCTTCCACAGTATTCCCGGGCGCAGTAGACGCGGCATCCTGGGGGTCTTGAGACGGAGATGCCAGCCATGTTCGTGACAGATGGAATCGTCGCGCGGACAAGGGTGCGGAATAGCGGCGGCGAGCAACAAATCGACAGGGGCGTGCAACTGACAGCCGGACTTGTTGCATTGACGAATACATCCGGGACAGTGTCACCGGAGCTTTATGTGATATCGCCGAAAGTAGTAGATATATGTATCAAGTCGAGAGTGGCGCAGGGTCTCTATCAGGCCTTACGAAGAATAAATCCTAGATCACGTGATATCTGATTTTCTAGTATCTGCTGCAGCCTAAGGTCCTTGGGATAGCAGGTATATTTTACGTGTGCCATACAAAAAAAACTGTTAGCTCAAACTTCACATAGCCTGTGCACACATCTCCATTTCGCAGGCGTACAGTTTACTGTCGGGTTTGCTCTCTATATATTCCTCGTCGAGGATCCTATCCGCTCCCATCTCCATTGCGTGATAGCAAAAGTATATTTTGTATTGGCTTCCCGTATAAAAGGCACCTCTTGTCAATCTTCAAGTTCCTGACCACAACATCTAAGGATCGACATTAGGAATCGCCTTTCCATTTCTAGTACAAGTTATCTTTATCTTGAAAGTGACATCATCACAGTGCTATCATATGAACCATCAAGGTCAGCCTCGAGCTATGCGGAAATCACATGGGCACATCTATGAGATGATTGGGCTTGATTTCCAATCACCGATTTATATCCATGTTCAGACTTATGTCTCCGTTATATATAGGTCAAATTCCAACTCCACAAATGGGTGACTATATTGCCATATTCAAAGCGTTCTGTTAAGAGTGGAAGGTTACCAGCAACTTGTCACCTTCCCAGCTACCCCGGGCGTGCCGCCTGGACATCATCCAACTCATTGTAGCCACTAATGGAACAAAGTAACTCTGTGAGAGACTTACAAGTAATCTGGTCAGACACAGTTGCCCCTTGACTATCCTATCTTACTGATTACCCATGAGAACCTTGCCATAGCCGTCCGCTCGCGCGGCCTTGTCATGTATGTTGAGTGGTATATTTTAGCACTTCCCAGATACTTTTTTCTAATGATAATTCTCTCTTCCTTCTGGGTTTCATATATACAGACTTTTTCTTATGTATATTCCCAAATGACATGCACTGAAGTTTGCTTGTACTTGAAAATTGGGTCAAGTTGATGACCTTGTCACGTTGAATCTTTCTAAGCAATAAAGCCAGAAAAGAAGCAGTCATCGTCGAACCAGCTGTTAAATACAGTGCAAAATGCGGGATGCTTCTGTGTGAAGAGCATCGGCCTCTGGCAGGCGCATATCAAAGCCTCATAATAACCAAAAAGACCTATTCAATCTTGCTTTGAAAGCACCGCAGGTATATGACTAGGACCTCTGAAACAAGATATGCAACAGATGACAATAGAGTGGACAAAATGTCTATGACATTATGCCCGGGAGCAACTGCAAAGAGAATCTCGAAGAATACAAATTTTTTAAAATGCAATACTCACATTGCTGGGAAACAAGCCATCCTATAGTGATTGAGACACAACTTCATGGAATTGAAGGCATTTTCTGGGCATCTGCACGATAATACCCTTCCCACTGTGGTTCGTTTGATAATTATACTGAAAAGCAAAGCCTTGCAGACCAAGACCGTATTTGAGTCTGTCAGATGGAAACTGCTCACTTGCTTTTACGTATGTGGTCTGCACCCAATCAGTACGCTATAATTTTATGATTGAATTTTTAGGGCCTGATCAATCATCTAACCTTCGGAGGCATATTCACATATCGTTTTGTGGCTTATGTTGTAGATGGTCTAACGATAGTACGACATATATAGGTTGATGAAGCATAACTTCAGGTACAAAGTGATTTTAAGCTACTCCATACAACGTACAAGGGGAAAGACATTCTTAAAAAAAAAAAGATTCATTATTCAAATATTCCACAAGTATATATCCAGACAACACACAGGTGTAATGGCGAATTGATCATCAGAAGGAAGGCAACGGAAATCTCTACATGGTTTTGCGCATTCAGAACAGGTCTGTGAGTTTACATCCGAAAATTTTTCGTCACTTGATCAATTCGCCATTACGACAGGCGATATCCTTCAAAGCATCATGGATTGTGTTTGTGAGTTTCTGTCAAAACTGGGAACATTATTAGTGAATGTTCGAGCCAAAACATGATAAAGATGCATTGCAATATAAGAGTTCTCAGACAATATGTACTGGCAAGTAGCAGACCAACCGGGAAGGAAGGTCCGTATTATCTCCGCATTGTCGATTTGGAGGGTAAAGAAGAAAAGGTTTTGTCATCCTTGAACGGATAGGAGGTGCAAATGCAGAATGAGAAAGGATGTAGACTCACGTTAAGCACGAGGTGCAAAGCACCTGACCTATCAGGTTGGTGGCGAGATTGGAGCATCGTAAGATACCCGTACTAGGAACATTGGTCATGCTATCCTCAGAAATCAGGTGCAATCTGCATTAAGAGAGCCCAGGACATCTGAGGAACGTAGAGCCACAAAGTCCAACGCGTAACAAGTCTCAATGAAGACTGTTCACAAGAGTGACAGTTCCCAAAGACAAGAATGTGCAGTTGAATAGAAAATAAGAAGAACTCTTTGTAGGAGTCTTCATTTGTCGTGTACCACTAAAAAAACATTGAAAGACAAGGAAGATGAAGAAGAAGAAGAAGAAAAAGAAAAAAAAAAAAAAGTTGTGAAGAAAAAGGCAGAGGATAATCACGTGATACCCCAATCGGGGATAGCGTGTTATTGTGATCAGAGCAGGAGGGAGAAGAAGAAAAAAGCCTCAAAAAGGGAAAAAGATTGAATGGAGCTTATACTTTAAGATCTATACAATTTCCCTATCTCATTAGTCCTTTATTTTCCCACTGTTTCTCTCTGGGATCGCGTTGTCGTCTCGGTTAGATCCTCCACCCTACGGACCCGGATTCTCCGTCCCCAGTTCTCTCTCTCCCACCGGGCGATCATCCTTAATTCCTGACTTGGGTGTTTGCAATACCTCTAGCCCCTAATATCAGAGATCCCTTAAGAAACTATCTTGTGAGTTGTACCTCTTTGTGATTCTGTCTGAGAGCCCAGCCCCTCCACCTCCCCTAGCCCCATCACTTTAAGGCTTCCCCCGACATCTTCTCCTCTTATCACTCCACACTGACCGCTCAGTTCTCTCAGGGAAAAAAAAGATTCTTCATTGCGCGGGTGAGTGACTTGGCCAGGAGGCCCCCGATCGATAATTCAGCACCTCGCGTCTGCTGAATACCGGTCCAAGTCGCTCGCTACGTCTTGGCCCATCCCCGAACGCTAAAAGCGGCCTGTTGTCTTCCTACTCCAGTCGCGCTCCACACCACGTTTCGCACACCACCGTTTCGCCATCGCGAGCGATCATTCTGAAGTCCCCCATTTGTGGTGACTTCGTCGCTCAGCAATGATGATGACGCAGCCATTTCCTGCCCACCAAGGCATGCCGCAACATGGGTTCCCCCCGGCCACCCAATGGCTGCGCAACATCCAAATGGACACCCGGGCGCTGGAATGGTACAGCAAATGCATCCCGGTGTATCTGCGCCGGGAGGACCTCAAGCTAGCCAACCGGGCCCGATGATGGGTGGTATGCCACCGGGCGCTGGGACAGCTGGTCCTGGTGGCCCCGGTCCAAATGCTCATGCCCTCTCCCATCTGAATCCCGCGCAGGCGCATATGCTTCAGAATCCCCAATTCCAACAAAATTGTTAGTATACAACCTCCTTGTTGTTTGACGCGATGGTGTGCGAGTGATGTTACGGAATACGCGATCGGCGCCCTTTGCGGTGATTTCTTTCCCCCGCTATACCCGCATCTCTTGCAGCCGTCTTGCTCGATCGCATACTTACGTCCTGATTCATCTATAGTTGCGAACAATCCCCATCTATTACACCAGCACCAACAACAGCAACAGCAACAATTAATGCGGCAACGAATGATGCTTCAACACCAGCAGCAGCAACAACAGCAGCAGCAACAGCAGCAGCATCAACAACAGCAGCAGCAACAACAACAGCAACAGCATGGTCTCCCTGTATCCATGCCCAATGGCACACAAGGGCTTAATGCACAAGGACTTACTGCTGCTCAAATGGCTGCAATGCAAGCGAACCCTGGAATGAGACCCGTCAACATGATGCAGCTTCAGCAGCAAATGCCACACGGCCAGCCGCCAAGTCTCCAACAACAGCAGCAATTTTTTGCTATTCAACAGGCTCAGCAGCAGGCCCAGCAGGCCCAGCAGGCTCAACATGCTCAACAGCAGGCAAATAATGGACAATCAGGCCAGCACACCCCGCAGCGTGCATCGGCACAACCCCCGAATCTGCACGAACAGAGTGCTACTCCACAGTCACAGCATGGCGGACCAGGAGGCGGCACACCACAACCCTCTCAAACCTCTCAGCCGCCACCCACCCAACCCCCACAACCACAGGGACCCCCTCAAGGCCACGCAACACCTAATCCCCCATCGCAGCAATTGCCGCAGTCTCAACAGCCGGGTCAGCAGGGGCAGGTTGGTCCACAGCCCCAACCTCCCCAGAGTGCCCAGGGCCAGCAGCCGGGTCCTCAAAATCAACAGATGACCGCGCAGGAGGCTCAATTGAAAGCACAACAGCACCAAAATGCTCTTATTATGCAGCAGCAACAGCAGCAAAGGAAGAATAACGCAATCTTGACTATTCACGCCTATGCCGAGCATCTGGGCAACTTCCAACCCCGCAACGAAACGCAAGATCTTCTGTACTGGCAATCGTTCGTCGATCGCTTCTACTCCCCTGTAGGTGTGTTGCGGCAGGGTGTTTGGAACAGCTCAATTGGATCTAAGCAATTTGAAATTGCGACTCCTGCTCTGGCACGTTATTATTTCACCCAATTTACCAGCGGGATTAGTCAAATCCAGATGGTGGTGGAAGGTGCTCGCGAGCGGGAATCTCACAATGGAGGGCATTATGTGGAAGCCCCAAAATGCTCATTCATTTATTGGTTCAAGAATGAGTGCCAGGTACAACTCGCATGATTCTTTTCTTTTCCGCTTGCTAATGTCTCATTCTGTTTAGCTTTTCACTAATGGCACCCTTCGTGCGCATTTCGATATGCACAACAAGCTCGAGATGCTTGATATTCATGTCGTCAGCCACAACGAGTATATTCCGCGGTCTTTATTGTTGGCCATGGAGGCGGATTCCCAAAAGCAAAGTCCGAAGGTCGCCAAGAACTCAAAACGTGCCCAGCCTAAGCAAGCACCATCATTAGTGCCAGACTCCAACGTGACTGCCAATGGCGTACCTACTCCAGTCATGGGATTTATGGAAGTGGCTGAAACAATCTCGGCGATGCAAATGCTGTTCCAATTTTCGCAGGCAAATCCGCAGCTATCGCCTCCCGACGCTTTGCGAAACCTCGTCAACACCCTTCAGGCACAAAATCCCAACCCAGGCTTTGTGCCAACTCCTATACCCATGAACCAGGGCATGAATCCGAACATGAATCCGGGTATGAATCCAGGCATGAATCCAAACATGAATCCGGGTATGAATCCAGGCATGAACCCAAACATGAATCCCGGCATGAACCCAAACATGAATCCTGGCATGAACCCAGGCATGAATCCCAACATGAACCCTGGTATGAACCCAGGCATGAGTCCGGGTATGAGCCCGGGTATGAATCCAGGCATGAGCCCGAGCATGAATCCAGCTATCAACCCAGGCATGAATCCCGGCATGAACCCAGCAATGAATCCAGGCATGAATCCAGGCATGAACCCAGCAATGAATCCGGGCATGAATCCGGCGATGCACCCGGGTATGAGTCCGGCCATGAATCCAGGAATGCACCCAGGCATGAATCCGGGCATGAACCCAGGCATGCCCATGCAAAACGTTCGGGGACATAGCATGGGTGCTCCGTCCCAGTTTGCCTCGCCGGCAATGGCTCATCTTGGTCTTCCCGGGCAGCAAGGCTCACCTCATCTGACTGGTTCAGCGCATGCGAGCCCAGCTCAAAGCAATCTTGTCGGTCCTCCCGGAATGCAACCACCAATGCAACCATCCCCAGCTGGTGTGAACAACAGTCCAAATGTAGGTGGCAAACGTCGCCGGGCAAGCACCGTCAAAATGGAGTCAGAGGATGGTGGTGGAGTAGAAGCTAACGGCGCTCCGCAACAGGGCTCAGCGAAAGTAAAGGCTAGCCCTCGGGTGCCGAAGCGACAAAAAGGGCGCCGCCGCCTAATCATATTGAGAGTTTTGGTTTGCTTCCCTTTGCTTTCATTTTTCCTCGCCGTTTCAAGCGGTGCAGGACCGGCGTACGACTGGATACCTGGGCGAGGCACGTCGCGCCCCTTCTTGTTTGTTTACTCCTCTCATCTAGGTCTTTCATCACATTGAAAGATCTATTTTGCTATCTCGGCACATGACGACTCAATTCACAATTGACGGGATTTAATTAGTGCTTGAGGCCCCCTCCCATCTTCCATGTCTTGGAAGTGGCATCAGGCCTCATCGATCCTGCTCAACTCTGACCTAATGTACTCTATCTTCCTTTCAGCGTTTCCTTGGTTGGCTTGGGATCATTGCCTGCCCTTGCATGTTTTCTATCTCTTTCCCGTTCGGTTTTCATTTTGATCCTCTTGTCATCCATGCCTGGGATTTTGACGACTTTTGGATTGGTCTTTGTTTAGGCTTTTGCCCATTGCTCGCTGTTTCCTTGGCAGCCTGTTCATTTCTCTTCTGAACAGACATAACTATTGATATCCGTGTTTGGCGAATGATATGGCGTCCGGCTCTTACGTTTCTTTGAGAATTACGTCTGCGTGCATAAGGGTGTTTCATGCTCCATTTGGCTTGACATCTCTCCGTGACTTATCCTCCTTCTGCCGCCTTTTGACGAATCCATAACCACCTGCTTTCTAATCATCCTGCATTGTAGTTTGTACGCTTAGATGTACGTTGAAGGGGTTATGCCTAGATATGGATAGGTTCTAAATTCCCAAATCATAGTTAACAAAGTATGAAACAGAGGCCGAGCGGCGAACTCATCGGCGAATTGCTCTCGGCATTCGTTATCATATCAGTTCCCCACACCGGTTCTTCAAAGCATAGAACTGCCCCTCCTCTGCATTTTTTCCCAAACATCTTTGTATTCACATCTACCGAGAGGTATCTAAGAAGCTCAACAATGGCACACTCTCACTCCCACGACGCCGGAATTGACCACTCCCACGATGACCCCTTCAACGGCCACGGCCATTCACACGATATCCTCGATGGTCCAGGCTCTTACGCCAACCGCGAGATGCCTTTGATCGAAGGCCGAGACTGGAAGGATCGTGCCTTTACTATCGGTATCGGTGGGTATGTATAGAACTTTGCATTCACAATCAACTTAATTCACCCGCTTCATGCCAATGCATATCCCTTCGTCCAATGACTGACACGAATCCAACAGACCCGTAGGATCTGGCAAGACAGCTCTGATGCTGCAGCTAGCTCGCGCCCTTCGGGACGAGTATAATATCGCCGCCGTGACGAACGATATCTTCACAAGGTAATACCCCACCTACAAACCCCACACCCAAAACAACACACCTCATATCTACCTGCTATACCGCATATCTCCAAGATCAACACTAACCACCCTCCTGATAAACAGAGAAGACGCCGAATTCCTAACCCGCCACAAAGCCCTCGCACCGTCACGCATCCGCGCCATTGAGACAGGCGGGTGCCCGCACGCCGCTGTGCGCGAGGATATCAGCGCCAACCTCCTCGCACTGCAGAAGCTGCAGAAGCAGTTCTCGACTGACCTGCTGCTTATCGAGTCTGGTGGTGATAACCTGGCTGCGAACTACTCGCGTGAGTTGGCTGACTTTATCATCTATGTAATTGACGTTGCAGGGGGTGATAAGGTGCCTCGTAAGGGTGGGCCTGGTATCACAGGGTCTGATTTGCTTGTTGTGAACAAGATTGATCTTGCTGAGGCTGTTGGGGCGGATCTAGGTGTTATGGAGAGGGATGCAGCGAAGATGAGGGAGGGGGGTCCTACTGTGTTTGCTGTTGTTAAGCATGGGAAGGGGATGGACCATATTGTTAATTTGATTCTTAGTGCTTGGAAAGGGAGCGGAGCTTATGATGTTAGTTTGGAGAGATGGAAGAATGGGGCTGTTAGGGGGTCTGGTAGCCTTGATGAGTAGATGTTTTAGAGGCTTAGATTGGATCAAGATTTTGGATAGATTTGGAAAGAGAACACGACGTGGAATTGGAAAGATTAGGCATTTATGAAGTTCAATATATTCAGTTGAAAAATGGCACACACGTTGACTACTTTTTCCTTCCGAATACAAACATATTCCCCGAGAACGCCTGGAATGCAGCTGTCGCCAAATCTCCAATATGTCACAGAAGCCGCGTGTGGGCTGGGTATCTGGTTTTGGGCAGAGGGAGGCTGTTTCTCTACTGCTCCGCAAGATGTCACACATGCAAGAAACAAACTCAGTGATCTCATTTGGCGAAACGAGACAGCGCCGGCCCAAGTTCTAGCCGTTCCTGCTTGAGCTTGTCCTTGGTGCGAGCAGCGTACTCCTTGCGCAACATCTCCGCCTTGACACGCTTCTCGTCGATGACGTTCTTTCCACCCTTCTTGCGGAGGTACTTGCGCAAGGCACTGTTGCGGCCACGACCACGGTTCTTGATCTTCTCCATGTGATCCTCGGGCTTGTGATCCGGGTTGCGCTGTTCCTGATACTTCTTGTCGCTGATGGTATCGAGCTTTCCAATAATGTTGGGGTCGAGCGAAATCATATCCGGCTGCAACTTGGTGAGCAGCGAGTGAACCTCTTGCTCCTGGCGCTGTCGGACGTTCTCGTAAGGGTTGGCTTCCAGTGAATCAAAGTTGGGTTCACCGGCGCCGGGAACGATGACGCTGGCAAATCCTTGGTCGTGGCCTACGCCAAGGATATCTTCATATGGGCACCAGCGCACGTTCTCGATGCGCTGTCCATCTCCGCCCCACGCCATGTATGGGCTCTGTACTTTGCCTTGGTCGGCTTGCGCGGCGTCGAAAAGTCCACGCCATACGCTCATTTGTGTGCCCCAGCCGACTGCAGTCAGGCCACGGTCACTGATCGCCACAGATGCACCGGGCTGGTAGCATGAGTATGAGTGCACCTCGCGGTACATGCGGATATCCCACACATTCATTTTTTGGTCCTGGCCTGTAGAGACCATGTAATGGCCTGTGCGGTCCATGGCCAGTGACCGAACAGGTCCCTGGTGCACAAGTGCCTTTACGAGAGGGGTTTGAGAGTTGGGTGACCAAAGGGTCACGGCTCCATTTTGATGTCCGACATGGAGGATGGCATTCCATGGGTTCTGCGCGAGAGCGGTGGGTTTACCCAACCGTGTAGCTAGCTCGGCGACGGTCTGGCCGGTTGAGGTATCTGTGTATTTGAGGTGACCGCTCATTTGCTGTATAAAAGCTTGATTAGCGGGGGCTATCTAGGGAATCGAAAAATCAAGGATACTCACAGCGCTTGCGAGGAGGAAATGATATGGCAGGAATTCCAGGAAGAGAGGTTCCAGGTGCTTGCTCAGACAGTGAATCTCAGTTCCCTGGTGGTCGTAGATATAAGTGTGCTTCTTCTGTGCGACAGCGAAGTACTGGTTGTTATGCAGCCAGCGGGCATCCCGCACAGTCTCGTTCAACTGTAATTCGCAGCCCAGTTTGCCTTCACGCCAATCCATCGTCGCAACATGTCCCTTCCGTCCTGCCAGCAGCAGGTCACGTCCGTTCCGAGAGTAGTCCATGCGGTAGGGGCCCATATCAGGAAGCTTCAATTCGAATCCCTTCTTCGCTGTCTCGATTCCAACGCTGTCCCGAATTTCATCTTGGCGAACTTTGTATGTCTTCTCGAGTTCACCTTCGGGTTCGAGGAATCCCTCCGAGTGCTCGAGCAAAATCTCTGCATCCTTGGCTTGGAGAATAGCCGCCTTGTGCTTGAATTCTTGCCTCTTGAGGTTTGCGCGCAGCTTCTTGTCTCGTGCACTCTTCGCATTGGCACCTTTGCCTCGTCCGTAGGTTTGCTCGGCTGCTGCGAGTCTCATCTTCGCTTCATGGTCACCCTTGGCGACAGCCATGTCGGAGGCTGTGTCGGCCATTTTCTGGCAATTTCTCAAGTTCGTTTGCGAAAGAACTCGGGAAGATAACAAGGCGGACGAAAAGCGTAGCTTCAAGAAAAAAAGTGTTTTGCCCAAAATTTCGCCAAGATTTGCGCTCACCGCTCGCTTATCCTCCACTGGCGAATTTTGTTTTCTTATCGTTGCATCTTTTTTTTTCTACAGAGGCACTTTCGTTTTTTTCTGTATTTGCCAGTTATAAGCTGCTCTGGCTAAAGATTTGTCGAGTTACCTCTGACTCGCCTCAATCTGGACTCCCTCCCTTTCCGATTCAAAGGGTCTAACGCCAATATGGCGCCTGCCCAGACTGTGCACCACCACCGCTCGACCACTAAGGTTTCGCACAAGCCCTACAAGAGCAAGCATGCCTCCAAGAGCGCCTTGAAGGATTTGGCTAAAGGTATGAATTACCAACCACCCAAGCATGATAAAAACTCCAAAATTAACGCTTATATCACTTTAGGCAAAATTGAAGGTGATGAGCGGGGCGGTCGTAAGACACCCCACCAACAACTCAAGACGAAACTCGATCGCCGTAACACCGCCCGCCAAAGACAGGCATTGAAGCACCAGGAAAGATCCCAAGCAACCAGCATCTTCGCTGGCCAGGGTGGTGCTCCTCGTCATGTCGCAATTGTGCCGTTGTCCGCCGATATTGATGCCGCCGCCGCTATTGCTTCTATCAACGAAAGTGTCGATGTTTTGACTGATGTCTCGCCCGATGGACCTACCCGTGTGCGCATTGAGCGATTCCGCCAAAGTGTGCAGTATATGCCCGCCAAGTATGACTTGATCAGCGCTCTTGACGTGTGCCGTATGGCCGACTTTGTCATTTTGGTCATGTCGTCTGAAGTTGAGGTGGATGAGGAGAGTGAGATGCTGTTGCGCTCGATCCAAGGACAGGGTATCTCGAATGTGTTGGCTGTCGTGCAAGGTCTCGACAAGATTGAGCCCCCCAAGAAGCGCCCCCAGGTGGCTAATTCGTTGAAATCTTTCATTAACCACTTCTTTCCCAATATTGAGAAGGTTATGTCTCTCGACTCGAGACAGGAATCTTCTAACGCTATCCGATCTATTTGCACTGCTACACCTAAGGGCATTCACTGGCGTGACGATCGCAGCTGGATGTTTGTCGAGGATGTGAAGTGGCCAGAGTCCAACCTGGAGGTGGTTGACGACGTCGTCATCACCGGAGTTGTCCGTGGAAAGGGCCT